TAAGCCAGATCTGTGGAATGGATGTGCAAGCAAGGAAACAAGACTAAAACCCAGAAGTGGCTGAGCAACCAGAACTTTGCCCCTTAGTTAACAGGCCCTGAAAAAGAAGAAGATATACATAGCTGAAAGGGATATCCTAGCCCCCTTACAAAATGATTAAGTCGGGGCTTAGCCGCCTGGAGTAATGTGTTTTCTTGGTGGGGACATTCAAAGACCTAAGGTTCCCCTACCTAATTAATTGCAAAATGTGCGAGGAGGCATGATTGCAGGTCGCCCTCCCCCTTTTTGTTTCAATGTTTTCTTACTTTATTCGGGGGAAGACTGAAGGGGTCTGAGCCTGCACCCAATGTTTGTTGCCTAGGGGCTGCGGAGGGCGTGAGGTTGAGGTCGCCTGTCCAAAGTTTGTTAAAGGGAAAAACCTGTCAATGCTTTCCTTCTTGGCAGTGAGCAGACTGGTTGGTTATGGCCGCAGCATTATGAGGTAATCGTCTGCCTACTGTTATGGAACTTGAGACCATGATAAACAGATATCTACCAAATACTCCCATAGTTTAATATTATTCAGAATAGAAGCTAAATGGGTACTCTACTTTGCCAAAAGGGATCCCACGAGCTCGTGAGGAGTCTTACATCTCCCAGTTAGGAGATAATCCTAACTCACTACCCAGTGGCGAGGCATGCATGTAATGGCTGTAATTGTCACTTACAATTTCCACTGCCAAAGAAAAATAATTTTTTACTTTTTATTACAAATCCACCACTCAGTTTACATCTTGAACATAGCTAAAAGAATGCTCATTGCAAGTTTAGACCAGTCATGTAGAAAGTGTAATGTGTTAAAGCTACCAGTTACTTGTAGGATGATGCTACATGTGCACACATACTCTCAAAAGCAACGTGATGAGGAGGAAAATATCATGTGATACCCTCTCCAGCATAATCACTACCTGCCAATGCTTACACATGCAAAGTGTACCTACCCTAGATGCATGTTTTAATATCTCCGGAAACGCTAACCTGGGCGGAACAAATGCCTGAGGAGGTCGGAGCTGCAAATATCCTAGCCATGCTGTAAACTGGCACAACGCACAACTTTGGATGAATGCAGAAGTTTTTTTTTATCTTACAAAAAAAACAAAAACAGCAACACAAAATATTACTACTCAGCAGATCAGATGCTTCATTTTACTGCAAATGTATTTAATATACTAAAATGTATAAATGAAAGCCAAATTCAATATAAAATAATCAATTAAAAAGCCTACTACTGTATAGAAGAAAATATGCTGTCACAAAGTGGCTATTAAGAAAAGCAAATGTGAAACCTTGAAAACAGAAATTCTCAAATTATTGGGGTTATCTGCCCTGCCATATGCCTTTAAGCTTTGTTCTTCAAACCATGGTCCGGGGATTGGCATCAACCTGCAGGGATTTCCTGGCAGTCCTCAAAAATTTTGCTCTGGAATGAGAGAAAATCCATCTTTGAGTAATAAAGCTTTCAAACTTGTTGTCTTTATTTTTTCTTCAAATTCCTTTTTGTGTAAAAAGATATTTTTAGCCATGCCTGTGATAACAACCAGAGAAATCATGTTACTGCAGTGCAATGTCAGAAACAACACTGGCCAAAAACTGATAGATTTTTCAACTTCTGATCAGCCCCAGATATTGCACTGGCTAAAATCTGTAACTGTTCGATATTGGACATACTGAGAAAACATGATAGGCAGAATCCCCTTGCATTGAAACAGTTAAAAATTAAATAAAGGGAGATCAAATAAACCTACAAAGTGATCATCCTCCACGTTATTATGCCAATGCCGCTAGAATCTACTCCCTCTGTGATATAGTGCAGTTCTGATAAGGACAACTCACCAGGTACCCAAGAAACAGTTTTTCTTATCACACATTTCTCTTATTCAGAAAGAGTTCAAGCATATGGTAATTGCTGGGATAAACAAATTATTTTTACAACAGAAATTCACCACATCTGAGATCACCTTAAGTGGTCTGCACCCTATTCAGAAAATGGTCAGTGGCCTCTTTGCATTCGATTCGGCAAAGTGTTTTACGCATTAATATTGCATGTGTATGGCCAACTTGGCATGACTGACTACTTCCATTGATGACAAATTGCAATTCTGATAGCAACTGTTGGTTCTTAGTGACTGCTTTATGCATTTACTGCATGTGCATGTTTTTGGATTTTGTCAGAATTTGTTTGTTTGTTTACTCATTTTTAAATCGAACAGTAAGGGATATTTTCTGTGATTTTCTTTTCAGGCACAGGAATTGAGCAATTTTGGGGTGACCAGTTTGCAATGAAGTTAAAACCTCAACTACTACTACTCTCCCTATCTCTAAACATTTGAATTTCCTGGGTTGACAAAATCTTTTCTAGCCCTCAACTCAAATACCATCACCAAATATGCATTATAACATGCCTTTAGGAACTGATCGCTTAGAGTAAATGGGTACTGCCCCCCCCCCCTTTTTTTCTGTCAATGGGATTCTTACGGAATAGTAACATTAATCAAGAGAAGACCATTAGCAAGTACAGAAGTTCTCCTGCCTGGGCTAAATGACTAGAAGAGAGCTGGATTTGAACCTGAAATATAAGCAACATTGTAGCTACACACAAACAAAACAAGCTTAAGAGAGAAACAAACTTTGATAGTATTATGCAACATCAATACTAAACTGTGGGAAGGAATAATCACCACCCACATCTGGTCCACAGCACCAAATGGCTCAGAAAGGTAGACTTTAAACAAGATGCGTTAAAGAAATTAAGTTTTTCAGATGTAGTTTTATTGCATTATATGCACACAAGCTGAATAAAAGAAATATTTTTAGGTGTCTGCACTAAAAAAGGCAGTTGTGTTGTGGTTTACAGCTAGGTTAAGGCTATCAACCAAACACATCAGATTTCAGCAAATCATTATCCACATTTTGTGACATGCTTGTTAAGGAAGCAGAGAATTTATATCTTCCTCCCCTTCCCCAACAGGACCCCAAAACCCACACAGGGAAACAAGAGATCAATAACACATTCTGGGGGACACTGAGCCATTGAACATCATTATAATCATCAATCCAGCATGTCCTTTACAGAACATCCCTCTCATCACAGCACATCTGAATGTCCCTCTTTCCCTAGCCAATTATCCAGCCCTATGTGCTTTCATAGCCAATGCATCTTCAGTGTCTTGTATCCAGTTTCGCAGAGGTCTGTCTCAGCTTTGTTTTCTGGAAACTCTACCCTCTATCACCATTCTCTCCAGACCACCTTGACTTTTAACATGGCCAAAATACTTCAGCTTATTAAACATAAAAAACAAAAACATCACCAAAGATATCTTGACTTAGCCCAATTGAAGACAATCACACGGAGAAACTGAATTGGATAGAGCAAGAGAAATAAAACATCCAAGAAAATAATGACACCACACAATCATGCAAGGATACTAGGGCCTGGACTTTGGCTGTGCTAAAGAAAACAGCTGAAAATAAGAACACTGTGGAGGAACATAATCATATACTGTCAAACTGTCAGCTTTGGATCGATACATCTGATTGCTGAATAAATCAACCGATGGAACTCCAAGAATTTAATGGAGAAACTAATATACAATTTTACACAACTATATAACCCTTTCATCCCACAAATCCTTTTAAACAAAATAGTCCACAATGCTGGAATTCCCGAAAAAATTCTTTAAAAAAATATTTTACACAGGTCCGAGGTTACAATTTATTTATAAACATAAATATTTTCTGAAAATATGATTTTTAAAAATGATTAAACATTAATGAGGTGGAGAATTAAATGGATGAAAGTAATCTAGACCTTAAAGAAACAACAAGTCTAGCAGGTGACTCATGTCATGATCTCGTGAGAACTCTAACACTGATGCTACTGGCAAATTGTGATAATCATAGTGCTTTAATAAAAGCTATTTTTGTCTCACAACCCCCCCACCCCCTTCCCCCCACACACATATACATACACACCTCAACACTATTTTCTAATAAATACAATATTATCCAGGGCCTCTTAAAAACTGCACAGGCATAAACAGAACCATTCCCACCAATTAAGATTGTCAGGGTTAAGCTACTGCAGCCATATCAGTTAGGCAGCACTTTCAGGGATTGAGAAATAGACAGGTCTGCAGGGTTTGTGGTTTTCATGGCAAAATGGTTCACTCAAATTTACGATTAAAAATACACTTACATAAAGACATTGAAATGCGGTTAGGAATCAAACATTTTCAAACTCTATAATAACAGGCAAATTACAGGGCACTTGTTTTTGCTCAGCAGTATTTAAGTGTAGTCCTTCTAAGACAATCAATTTAAACAGTGTGCAAATATGTGATTCAAATATACAGTATGTGTAACTATATCAACAGTTGGGGAACCCTCGAGATCAATGGAACAAGATGAAAAATAATTGACCAGGTAATGGTCCTTATCTTAGGGTAGTGTATCAGAAGTCTGGTCTTTTCAGACATGGAAAAAAGACTGACTCGTGTGCATGCTGTTCATCTCCTGACTGTTGGAAACTGAAAGAAATAGGTAAAACAGCTTCTATGGTGAGTTACAGATGGGTACAAGAGGTTGAGGTTGGCCTATACTAAACTGACATATGATGTGTGCAAATGGGATATAAATGATACAGGCATCAAGGAGGATTTGTGGGAATAGGATGCTATGGACCATATTGCATTGAAGGAGAAGGTTTGGAAGGGATAAGGATAAAACTAGAAAATGACTACAGACATGTATAGAGCTGAGCCTCTGAAATCTAAGTAAGTAAAGACAGTACAATGAAATGAACATGGGATGTTAATGTTTACAAATAATCATCTGTTTAGCATGCACACATGTTCATTTCAGATAAACAGTTTTCCCAGAGTGCAACTGTTCTTTAAAAAAAAAAAAGATGGAATAATTATTAAATAAATAACATTACTATTTCAATTTTAACAGGAAAATAATCAGTTATATTCAGAATTTCTTGATTCTTGAGCAAACGACCAGGCATCAGAGACAGCTGCATTTCCAACAGCAAGAGTAACGATTGATGCTTCAGGCTTGGATGGGCTGGTTTTATTCTGCCGAGGCTGGGATGCTGGTGACCTGACAGGATGCACCAAGACAGGATGGGGGTTATCAGCAGAACTGTCTGATGACGAGGAGTTGGCTGGTATAGGCGGTAGCACCAGGGACTGCTTAACTTTTATCAATGGGAAAACATCCTCCTTGGGTTGAGGAAGAAAAGGTGTGATATCTGGAGAGTCTGAGCCGCTGCTGCAGCTTCCGCTAAGAAGATTAGGGTTATGCTGTCTGCTCCGTAGGACAGTGGCACTGGCGGGATGAACAGCAATCACTGGCTTTACAGAAAATCTGTTTTCCACCACAGACTTCATTTGACTTGATCTTCTGATTCGAGATGCAGCTGTTGAAGAACTAAGCACTTTATCTGCAGGTGGTACTGGAATGAAATGATGATGAAATGGCGTCTTTTTTGATAACTGTGTAGAGTTTGGATACATAGAACGTGCATGTTTTGGGACCTCTGACTGAGTGTGAACTCTGCCCGGCTCACTGATACCTTCTGTGTTTGTCTGAGAGGTTTTGTCTTTTTGTTTTAATCGATGTAATTCCGTGGTAAGGTAAGCAATATTATCAGCTTTTTCCTTCAACTCTGCACGCAACGAATTGATCACCTGTAACTGTCCCCGACTCTCATCAAACCAACGCCTCCTTTGTGAACGAGCTTCAGTCTCCAGATGTTTTAGACATCTATCTTTTTCAATGAGCTCTTTTTCCAAACTGCTGATTTTCATGGTAGACGCATCAAGTTCTTGTTGCAACTGAAGCATTTTATCATTTGTGGTGCCTGCACAGAATACATGCAATAGCTTACATGAATTTGTAAAACAGATTTATAGAGACATATGGAAATTAAATTTATTACATAAAAATATACTTTCTGAATTTGTAAAATAAAACTCAGGAATTTAAATTTCATCCATTCATTAAGTGTCAATAAGCTAGGGTCTCCGTGGCAAAGTGGTCAAACCAGTTGTCTCGCGCTCTGAAGGTCATGGGTTTGTTTCATGGCTGCACCGTTCAATTCATAAATGCAACTTTTACAGAGATCTCTGGGGAGCTATGGAGTTTGTGTGATGCTCTCAGCAGGTGGCTTGCCATTCTGTCCAGAGAGAAAAAGCCTTCTGGGATAAAACCTGGTGTAATCAAGTCGATCTTCTCAACTTTAACCTTTAATCAATTACAGCAATAGATAATATGCTCTGGCTATCTGACAAAACTGTCCAGGTACCAACTGCCACAGAGAGCCACTTTGAAGAAATATCATGAACATGCAGCAAGGGAAAGACCATGAAAAAAGATTGCGAAAGATGGCATCTTCAAAACAATTTGTCAAGGTAATCGGATAAAGAGAAGAAGAAGAGGAATCAATGAGCAGACTGGTGTTGAAACCATGTGATTATCTGCCTCTATTTAAAGCAATGTGTCTATACAAAAAAATCCTTGCTTGTTATCACAAAGATCCTCAAAATGGCAAACATAAAGCATAAAGAAGTTAACAAAATGGCCATAAAGATCTAAAACGTAGCAAATAACAAAAATTAAAAAATATAGTTAACAGATTAGTTGCCTATACTTTACAGGAAATTGCAGACCCAACCATAACCTTTTCTGGCTGTTTGGTTTTACTAGGCAATTTTATGTTTTTCGTAATTTGCCACTGCTCTCTGAACAGTCAGCTCTCGATTTGATACTGCTGTAAAAATCAACTCAAAGCAGTTCTGCTCCAAAATTGGCTGCAGGTGGAATCGAAACTGAATTACGAAGTGCATTCACAATGCCACAGATACCAACAACTGTTACGTCAGCTGTAATAACATGAACATGTCAGAAGAGTAATGATGACCATCTTCTTCTTCCTCTCTGGAGGAGTCATGGTGTCTTGTCCACTTCTGGACCTTGGTCTTGTTCCAGAACTTGAGTATTACATTTGACAGATCTAGCTTATCTGTGTGCAGACTGTTGGTTCCTCCCCTCTCAATTTCAAAGAGAGCATCAAGCTTATCAACGCCGGCCAGGTGCCTGGTTAGGACCCTGTTCTTAAGATGAATGTGGAGAGGTGCAGATGGGTCTAGACCAGTGTGAGTCCACATCTGGCTCAGCACCCATACATCCACAGAAATTGAAAATCTCAACATATCTAAAGAACAATGTGACAGCAAGATATGATATTACCAAAAAACATACAAAATCAAAATGTGACATACCTGGCTCATCAATGGTCAATCCTTGCATGGTCAACTGAAATGTCAAATCTGGAAAACAAAGAAGATGCATCAAACATATACATCATATTTTCAACATAACATTATTCCTGTTAAAAACTGTGGATGCAATACAGGATGATGTGCTTTCGTGACCTAGATTTGTGTTCCATTGAAAGACCAAGCTGTTTCTGTTGTGTCTAGCAGGTCATTTCTCTAGGCTAGCAACAGCCTCTTGTCTCAACTGAAGTACTTTAGGCATACCAAGATCCACAGTATTTTTGAAAAAAATAACAGCAGAAGGCATGTTACCAGGAATGAGGGGCAGAGGCCAACCAGCTCAAAGATAGGTATAGGATGGAAGTAACAAATTGGGTAAGAAAGTGCATGAGGTAATAAAGCTGGCGAGAGACTGAGTTTCTTTCAGGCAGACGATGAAGACAGCGAGCAACATTCTGCAAAGCACTTGCTGCAGGATGATGAAGCATTTTTTATCACTTTTTCCCTTTACTTCCCACAGAAGCAATAGTCCTCAAACAACCATTCTTATCATTCACCATCTGCAGCTCTTTCTATGCCCCCTCCTCCAAGCTGTACCTACTCTTCACAGCTGAACCTATTCTATTTTGTTCTGGTATTATTCAAATAGCATGTGCTATTCATATTTTAATTTTAATAGGAGGTTCAAACCTGGCTGAACATATGAACCTGACTGTAGAAAAAGAAATGGATAATATGAAAACAAAAAAGTGAAACAAATAAATCTAGGGAATAATTTACAATATTTGGCTGTTAACAACAAAAATAATCACTTTAGAATAATTTTACCTGTGCATCGTTTCTGGAGAGAAGAGATTTCTTCATGTAGGCCTTTGATCGTTGCAGCATGTTCCCGCTGCATGAACAGTATTGAACTTTCAAGGTTCCGCTTGTATGTGGCTGTTTCTGTACTCATTTTGCACCCCTCTTTTTGTTTGTTTACCTTATGAGAAAGAAATGTACACACATAATTTCTTATAATCTGTGCTAACTTATTTACTGACAGGGGAGATGTGGTTTTTGAAGAGAATGCACAGAATACCATGGAATAACAGAAAACAAATGAGGCAATCCTCCTCAAGACAGGCAATCCTCCTCAAGACAGGCAATCCACCCCAAGACAGGCAATCCTCCTCAAGACGGGCAATCTTCCTCAAGACAGGCAATCCTCAAGACAGGCAATCCACCCCAAGACAGGCAATCCTCCTCAAGACAGGCAATCCTCCTCAAGACAGGCAATCCTCCTCAAGACAGGCAATCTTCCTCAAGACGGGCAATCTTCCTCAAGACGGGCAATCTTCCTCAAGACAGGCAATCTTCCTCAAAACAGGCAATCCACCCCAAGACAGGCAATCTTCCTCAAGACGGGCAATCCTCCTCATGAGAGAAAAAGCCATGAACTGATAAGAAACATTACATGCAGACAGTAGACAGCCAGTGATTTCGGACATGTTTTGAGAAGGAATGGGCCTGAGACCTTTGTTACTTCTTTAACGTCTAGGCCGTGTGGTGTTGATAGTCATGTTTATCCACTACCTTCTTTTTAATGTAGTTTCAATCAACTCTGATACAAATGATCCTTCATGCCATGATGTCAAACTTTCCAGCATCTTTTCTCTCGGTTTCCTTCTGCATGTCCTCCTCTCCAGCTTTCCAACTGTCACGATGTATTCGCACTTTTTCTCTCTTATCACATGACCAATTAATGTAGATTCTCTCTTTCTGATGTAGGCAATCAGTTCCCTTCATGAGACAGTTTCTTTCAAGACATCTCCATTACTCCTTTTATCTTTTCAGGGTATTCACATCATTCATCTATAAAATCACATCTCCGCAGCTTCCAAATAAGTTTTCACTAATTGACCAACTGTCCATGATTAACTCACATATAGCAAGATAGGATTTATACAGCTTTAAAGATTTTTCTTTCTCATCTCAACTGACAAAGAAACACTGCATAAAATATTCTTCATTTTTCTAAAATGCTGCAACTTGGTAACAGCTGGTATTTATAGAAGATCACGAGGTGGGTAAAAAAAAAATAGATGAATACCTGCATGACCTGCAAGAACATTGATATGATCCATGATTCTAGTAATTGTGTGGAATGGCAAAACATGACAGTCTAAGCTTTTGGCAAAGCATATGAGGATGTTAACCCATTCTAAACCATCAAACACTGATCATTGACAACAACCTACCACTGTTAACTCTTCAACTCCTTCTGTCCCAAACAATGTATTATGTGGGATTGGATATTATTCAGGTGTATCAGTCAAAAAAAAAAATTTTTTTTAAATGCTGGAGTTAGTAATGCAACATCATGCCTTCTTCTTCTTTATCGCGTTCACCAGCTGTAAACTCCAGCAGAAGGTTCTGGTTGTTCGTCCACTTCTGGACTCTAGGTTCCAGAAACATGGTGTTGCGTGCACATCTGTTTCATAGACCTGATTCATTTGCATGTAGACTGTTGGTTCCTTGCCTCTCAGGCAGATGTACTCTGTTTTCGAAGGAAGCTCCCAATTGTCGACACTTATGATACGCTTTTGGACAGGCAGTGGGTCTATTCTTGTTTTCCCCATAATGGGGCTCCGGAACCCACATGGGAAGCAACATCTTGTAAAGGATATGCAACCAGTCAACATGTTATGTTTATACACTGTATGTTCAGTGAGTGACCCTGAAGAACTCTGAAAACATGGTTTTTCCTGCAGACATTGTACATTTGGTCCCTGTGGAAGTAGTATGCCCATGAGTTTAGTACTGCCATTCTTAACTCCCTCAAACATTAGCTGGGACTTTATGGGACTGAAATTACCTGTGACAGGGAAAGTGCAGTATTAGCCTCACTCTCTTATCCTTATTTCATTATATATATATATATATATATATATATATATATATATATATATATATATATATATATATATATATATATATATATATATATATATATATATATATATACAGCTCCCAGTCTTTACCAGATATATACTCAACATCATGCCAGTCTCCTTTACTTCCAGGACTGTACCTGCTACTTATTTAAGGCTAGGCCCACCTGGGAGCCAAGGTTATTTTTGACAAAAGTCCTGCTGAGTCAGGGCCCAAAAACATGACCTTCAGATCCGCAGGCGAGCATCTTGCCACTACACCACAGTGCCCCAACCCCCACAGCAATAATAAAACATTATTAGTTTGAACAGAGGACTTAAGAGTAGACTACAGTGTATTGACTGCTTTACTTTGACTTACACTTATCAAGGAGCACAAAGTGGCAAACAAGCTGGGCTTCCTTTTTTTTTTTTTCCTGACTACGCAGTACCAACACATTTTTTAAGGCCTCATTTGTTTCAACTCTACTGTGTAATACGAACAGATAGACACTCTGTGATGAGACTGACTGTGTAATACGAACAGATAGACACTCTGTGATGAGACTGACTGTGTAATACGAACAGATAGACACTCTGTGATGAGACTGACTGTGTAATACGAACAGATAGACACTCTGTGATGAGACTGACTGTGTAATACGAACAGATAGACACTCTGTGATGAGACTGACTGTGTAATACGAACAGATAGACACTCTGTGATGAGACTGACTGTGTAATACGAACAGATAGACACTCTGTGATGAGACTGACTGTGTAATACAAACAGATAGACACTCTGTGATGAGACTGACTGTGTAATACGAACAGATAGACACTCTGTGATGAGACTGACTGTGTAATACGAACAGATAGACACTCTGTGATGAGACTGACTGTGTAATACGAACAGATAGACACTCTGTGATGAGACTGACTGTGTAATACGAACAGATAGACACTCTGTGATGAGACTGACTGTGTAATACGAACAGATAGACACTCTGTGATGAGACTGACTGTGTAATACGAACAGATAGACACTCTGTGATGAGACTGACTGTGTAATACGAACAGATAGACACTCTGTGATGAGACTGACTGTGTAATACGAACAGATAGACACTCTGTGATGAGACTGACTGTGTAATACGAACAGATAGACACTCTGTGATGAGACTGACTGTGTAATACGAACAGATAGACACTCTGTGATGAGACTGACTGTGTAATACGAACAGATAGACACTCTGTGATGAGACTGACTCCAGAGGGGCAGATGAAGTGCAAGGGGGTTTAATACAATAAAGGCTGGCATATGATATCACAACGTCTAGTTTGAGAATGGAGGTGGAGGCAGTCACTGCTGCAATCCGCTGGCTTGAGTATCTGCTGTACACACATGCCATAATTGTAACTGACTTACAGAGCATGTTGAGAAAGGTGGAGGCAAAGTGGCAAGCATCACCTCAAAGGTCTCAGGTATTTAGCATCCTATGGATATTTTCTCCAGGTCATGGTGGTGTGTTGGGAAATGAACAGGCAGATAGACTGGTGGCGAATTGATGTCTGACAAACTAGATGTTGTGAAGGCCCCTTTGGGAGCGGTTGAACAGTGCGTAGGTACTGACATAGCATTATGGTGTAAGAAGAATGGCACTGCGGGGAGTTACCAGGGGATCTGGCTGATGCTCAAGGGAAAGGCGAGGCGAATGTACAACTAGACATTTGCTGGTACTATCGGAATCGGAACTCTTCGCTGGCTGCTGAAGATGGGGACGAAGCGCTTATCGGCGTGTCACGAGTGCTAAGAGTATCATACTCAGTTACAGTATGGGTGGTTCCTCCTAAACTTTCAGCTCCAGAGCACTACACAACCTACAAACAGGCTTTTACTATTGCACTAACAATAAGTGATATATAAATGCAACATACGTGTTATTGCTACAACAGCATATACATCCTTGCAACCGTTGAGGATTTCCTTATAAAACACTCACATATCAGAGACAACATAATATACGAAGCACAACTGGCATCCCTGACAACATTGCGGCGGCCATTGTTATTGTTGTCCTCACGACAAGAATGTCCGGCATGTCATTATGGTCCAAACTTCAATTTTTCATTTGCTCTTGGTGATAGCTTGCTGTTGTATTTGTTAAAAGAAATGCGATGACAACATTAGATTTATTACACATGTGGTCTTTTCTGTCAGGAGTCTTCTTTATTAGTGTTTTCTATTATTCGTTTATTTCTGTTTATTTCTATTAGTATGTATTTTGATTGTTGGAGTTTCTTGTGTTGTATTTTTTTTTGTGGTGGGGGGGGGGGGGGGGGGGGGCTGATGCTGCTGAGTCGCCTTCTCCTTCTCCTTCTTCGTGCGATAAAAAATCAATACTACTTAGATAGCTTTTTTTGCCTTACAAGAAGAAAAGAATTATGCAAGCAAGAAGTTCTTACAGGAGAAGACAAAATGTGAACGCGGGAGTACACCTATCTATTCTTTGGATACACCAAGAGAAGAGAACGCTGTAATACAACATGACAACAGGAAAGTTGGGGGGGGGGTGGGGGTAGAAGAGGGGAGCAAGAGAGTCTGGCATCATGGAATGGAGGAACATCTGTATCAAAGATGCCTGACGGTATTCGAGACAGAAATCTGTTGACAGACATGATTCCCAGCTCCACACGCGTTGACTAGAAAAAGAGGGAGAAGAAGACGAACGAGGAGACCTTACGAATTTGCCTCAAGAAATCACGCAGCACTGCTCCAGATCCTGACGGCATCCGATACGACATGTTGATGATGTTGAATGCTGGTTTGAAAAGCGTGGCAAAGGAATTCAATATCAGCATCCAGAGTGGCAAGTTACAAGTGGAATGGCTCCACAGTTATTTGTTCCCACTACAGAAGCCGAATAAAGACCACTCAAATATTTGCGGCTACAGAATCATCTCGATGCAGAATACTGTTGGCAAACTTTTGGAGAAAATTGTCTCACGAAGATTGACTACCTACTTGAACTACTCGATAAGTTCCCATCAACACTTGGAGTGTACAGGTTGAATAAAGAGACATGGTTCAATGCTGCAGTTTTCGCCTATGATGTTTACGGGAGATTTCAGAATGTAGAAGAGGCATGTGCGGCAGCGGTGGACTTAAAAGATTCCTACAATAAGTACCATATGAATGTTTAATGCAATTACTGCTTAAACTAGAAGTAAATCCTATTCTGATCCGCTGGATTGCTGCGGTCCTGTTCCAGAGAAAGTACTCAGATGTGGTAGCTGGTCCTCAGAACCGCAAACGATATGTCCATGCTTGCCACAGGGATCACCGCTATCACCAGTCTTATTCAACGCGTATACGGTGATGATCACTGAGCAGCAGTTGAATGGAAAGGGAAGGACTTTGTCATTTGCTGATGTCATTTTGATTTATCGACGAGGGCGTGATAGACAGGAGATCGCATGCACAGTGCACACAGAACTCGATCGAATTGCCACCTGGTGTGATGGTTCCAATGCCTATGTCAATCTTTCGAAGGCATCAGTGTCATAGTTCTCTATGAACAATCACATTGTCAAATCAGACTTACCAGAAGTGAAAATGCGGGATAATGTATTGATCAGAACCAATGTTATGACGTTTCTCGGGGTGAGGTTTGATCGCAGCTTGTCATTCAGGGAACATATTGACCATGGGATAACAAAAGCAAGCAAAGGTGTATCTGCAATGAGGATTATGGCTGCTTCCAATATCGAGCAAAGACTACTAATACTTCTTTTCTACGGTCTGGTCCTTTCCCCCATTGAATACGCTCTGGCCATCCTCACTGTCAGTGCTACCCAGATTGAACGACTTGAAAAGGTGCAAAATGAAGCCATGCGCATTATTTTGGGATGTACAAGAGACACATCCTGTGGAGCAATGAGGTATCTACTTGACTTTGTAACTATGAACCAAAGGATTACAATCTGGAGGGCTCGGGCATACCTTAAAATTTGTGCTGATAAGAAACACATACTGCATCAAGCGCTTTTTTAATGAAAAGGGCAACAGGCTGAAGAGGGACGAATCATGGCTAGGTCGGGCAGAAGATGTTATTAGGCAAATATGCAGCCTAACCGACATCACTCCTGGATACCCGTACCTCATGCGTTTATTTGTACATTTTACTGTATTGCCACACTCAACCGGCGATGCAGAGAAGAGAATCCTGTTGCTGTTAATGTAGAGGTCAACGCTTTTATCAGTGAAAATTCAGACGAAGCAGATGTACTAATCTACACAGACGGATCCGTTATACGCCAAAAAAGAAGCGCATGGGCATTCACAGCACGCTCAGAACAGTCAAAGAAGCCAACGGCGGCTTCTTCGTGACAACCAGCAGCATGACGATGGAAGTGATGGCAGGGACGCAAGCGTTTGCCTGGCTTGAAACACAAAAATACACCCGCGTATGTATACTCAGTGATTCAATGAGTATGATTTGGAGGGTTCAGGCAGGTTCGGTGCTAAGACAATGACTTGAATCATTACAGAAGTCCACTCTGCGTGGAGTCACCTTTATTTTTGTTCCGGGATACGCAGGCGTCGATGGAAATGAAAGAGCTGACGGGTTGGCTGGATCACTACCGTCGGCCAACCCTTGGATCATGCGGATATTATTAATACCCTCAGAGAAATGGGAAGGATCGAGGACTTTGGGGCAGTGAATCCATATCACTCGCCAGAAAAGCAGACTTGGAAATTAAGATCGGCATAGCAAAAAAACGAGACGCACACGAGAAGACTTGTTAATCAACATATAACTGGTACTATTAGCCCTCGGACGTCGTGGTTCAAACTGAGGGGAGGATCTGAGCAACTATGGACAAGTCCGGAGTGCAATGATGATAACCTAACTAACTAACTAACTGTAACTTCGGACTGGACACTGTGGTCTTCGAGCACACCTGCACAGGATAGGCATAAAAGAATCTGCTGCCTGTGATTGTGGAGCAGAAAGACAGACCCCTGGGCACATACTACAGTACTGCCCTGACCTCTCCCAGCAAAGACTGCGGATCTGGCCCAAGGGAGCCACATTGAAAGAGAAGCTATGGAGGACCGGTGGCGACCTTAAACGCACAATCCTATTTCAGACGGGACTCAATGTTTAGCATGACTGATGTCGAACGCAGAAGAAGAAGAAGAAGAAGAAGAAGTAGAACTAATTGTAAAGAATTCGGCCACTTAGGCAATGAAACCTGGCCAGTGAGACGGCGGCGGCGGAAAATCTGAACCGTCTGCTCTCTTGTTGTGTTTTCTGAGATCATACATTTACCGCCTGTGTGTCATATTCTGTTTTCTGTGGATTTTTTTCGTATGATGGCAAAGCCGGGGAAGAAAAAAGAGAAGTCGCAGGTATTAGACTGTGTCTTTCTTATGAATTTATTGAATGTTGGATTAGTTTGACTGGGAACACACTGAGTGCGGCTGCCAGAGTGGAGTCGACAACAAAAGCGACAAGTTGAGTGAGAGTCTTATGATATGATGATCACACTGAGTCGGATCTGAGATATAAATATAAACGTGAACGGTTTCTGTTAGCAGATAAAAACAGAAGAAAAAAAAACTGTACTTAATACAAACATACTTCTCTGCAAAGCAGAAGTGTTCTAGTTAATTCAGTCAAAAACGTATTCGAACACATTTCATTACTCATTACTCACATTACTGTCTGTCACACATGAGACAGAAAAACTGAGTTATAATTATAACGTGTTGCAAGTGTTGGTTGCATTTTTACATACATGTTTGTAGTTTCACCCTTTATGTTTCCTTTCCATGTGACAATAACAATACAACTCTTCCAACGTTCGCATTTCCTAATTTTACATAGCAGGTAGCAGGGACACTAAAATTGCATTGAATCACATAATAATTATGATGCTTACATATCTTACCGTTAGACTAGTTAGTAGTACTAGTAGTAACGTTAACACGTTGAACATACTTTTCAATGTATATCAATAATTTTCCATCTTCTCCAGTTACACTGACCTATAGACATAATAAAATTCTTTTTTTTCCCACCAGCTGTAAACTCTTGCGGATAGTTCCTTTTGTTCATCCACTTCTGGACTCTGGTCTTGTTCCAGAACTTGAGTGTGGACAGTCCTTTTTACAGATCTAGCTTATTTGTGTGCAGACTGTTGGTTCCTTACCTCTGAGGCAGCACTCTTACTTTGAAGGAAACCCCTAATTGGCAGACTCTTACTACATTCTCTACATTATTATTAGGGAGGCAGTGGGTCTATTCTTGTGCTCTCCCAACAGTGGGACCTGCAACCCGCACAAGGAGGACATAAGCTGAAAGCTGTTAAACTGTAGGTTGATATAGTATATCATATATATAAGTTCACATCATAGTGTTTTTGTTAGCTAGGCAAAGTTCCTTAATTAGTAAGTATTATACTGTAACTTTTTTTTTTTTTTTACAGAAAGATGAAAAACAGACAAAGATTTCAGCATTTTTTGAGGTAAATATAAAAAAAAAATGAATACAGATGGTATTTAATGTAAATTATTCAGAGTGCAGAAAAGAGCTGGAAAATAATTTCAGAGTAATTGCATAAATATCACCAGGTACCCTGCTGACTGGCGTCGGCAGCATTCATGTATCTCCACAGATCTCGGTCCCTTGTCGTCTGGATCAGTTCCACTGATGATTTTCCTCCTTGCCAGTGTCACAGTCTATCTGTCATCATCTCTCTCGATTTGCCTCTCCATTTTCTACCATTGGTCTTCCCAGTCGTCACAGTATTCTGCAAAGCATACCCCCTTCATCACATGACCAAAGAACAGTGCTTGTATTTTCTTTAAGGCTGTATATATTGTTCTGCTTTCATTAGCTTTCTTCAAGCAGTTCTCGTTAGTTACTCTGGCAGTCAAAAAGATTCTTAACTTACGTCTGAAAACCATATCTCCTTCAAATCCAAATTCTTGCCAATTTGTGCATTAACATTCCATGATTAACTACCATACAACAATATGGATTCTACATAACATTTGAGTACTCTCTTTTGGACATCCTAAGAGAAGGACCTTTTGCACAAGATGTTCTTCATTCTGTGAAATGCAGCCTTAGCCTGGCCTATTCTGCTCTTAATTTCGGACACACTACTTTCGTCTTATGTTATGATTATACCCAGATATATAAGACATTAAATTGTTCACTATAACCATCTGTTAATCTGTCAGTCTAAACGCTTTTTTCCGTGGCTTGTTAATTTCTGGACTTGTAGACAAAGATGTACAGCATTTCAGATGCCGATAATAGCATTAACCCCACTGTAGGAAAGAAAAAGAATAGACCCACTGTTCCGTTAATAAGCATGTCATAAGAGTTGACTAATTAGGGGCGTTTGCTTCATGGAAAACATCTGCCTGAGAGGTGAGGAACCAAGGAAATGGATATGCACACAATCCTCAAGTTGAGGAATAAAAATAAAGTCTAGAAGTGGATGAACAACCCGAACTTGCAGCCAGAGTTTGCAGCCGGTGATCCTGAAGAAGACAGACATCACCCTGGCTATTCAACTGGCGGCCTGTGGGCCAGATCTGGCCTGCAGAGACCTAGCAAGTGGCCCGTGATTCATTGAGTTTGGGCCTCTGGCTTGTGACAATCCCCATTTTCAAACATTTTGGACATGAGTAAACAAATGAAAAGCCCTGCCATACGCGCTTTGTGCAATGCATTTGGCAGGCAGCTGTTCTGAGGAGAGAAACTGGGCTATATGGGGAACCCCGTGTAATGAAGTATGTTCTCTTGACTTTAACTTGAAGAGCTCATATTCCCCTTGTGGGTTCTGGAGCCTCATTTGGGAGGGGGGGGGGGGGAATTATAGAGCTACTGCCCCTAACAAGCATTTAATAGTATGTGACTAATTAGGGTTGTGTAGAAATCAGATGTGTTGGGCGGGAAGGGCATAGATATCGCAGCCCAGCTGTAAAACACAACACAGTGTGGCAACCACCATTTAATAGCGAAGAAGATGTCATATTGTGATAAATGGGCACACTGGCTTTTAAAATATTTTAGTAATATCTATTCACCTTTGCTGGTTATAAAAATGATCTGAGCCAAACTTCGGAAATGTGGTCTCAAATTGAGATCTTGTCTTGTATGGTAAAGTAAATAAAGGCCCCTTCTCCACACCTCGAGGCGTATTGGGCATATAGGGCTAGACCTCTACTTTATAGACCAGTTGGCACTCGGTCGGTGATGTGTTCAACATGTTAACTAGTATATTACAATTTATATTTATTTTTAGAATCTGCTTATTAAGAAAGGCCAATTACCTATGCTTCGTGGACAAGTGATCCGGGCTAAACTTGTGAAATATGGGCTGAGATCTATATCTCATCTAGTATAGTGATTGTTTTATATGTTGAAATGTATGGGAATTTACGTTTAACTAGTATATTTCATATTTGTTTTTAGAACAAGCCCCCAATGAAGGCAGAAGAAAGCAAGCTCTTCACTAGCGTCTATAATGTTCCCGTGAAAGGTGCCCAAAGACTGACCTCTGTCAAGGACAGACATAGAGAATTGGGAATAGGAGCAACTTCCAAGCATCGGGCAGCAGAATTGGCAAAAGGTCACAACTCCAAATTCAAACAGTCTAAGGAAAAAGATGATGATGATGTTGTCTTTATCGATGCTGAAGAACCAGTGCCATGCATGGATGAGAAGTCAAAAGACAGAAAAACAATTCTTTTATGCAGAGATGACAAAAGTGACACATTTTGTAGAAGTTTAAAAGTTTGTGAAGAAAATAGTATTCACAACATTAGCAATACTTTAGGCTATAAACACAGTGAAAAACATAATTCAGATTCTTTGCCCATAAAGTGTGGGTCAGATTCATTTTCTCAGGTCAAAAATAGGTCGGACAAGAACCATGTTGCATGTTATAGCCAGGAGGCTCACAGCTTCAGTGATGAAGTCCTTGCAAGTGACTGTGTACAAGCAACATCTTTTGAAACTGCTGAAGCATCATTTACCACTCCAACAAAGCAAGCTGTACAAGGAACCTCTTGTGAAGGATCAGATTCTAGTCCAGACATTATCTGTGAGACCCCCAATGTTGACAGGGTTCTAGGTCCTGCAGCTGTGAGGAGAAAGAACGCTCAGGCAAGCAGAAGCTTCCTCTGCCCGAAAAACTTGTTGGGAGTTCAGCCGGGACTTAAGCCGGCACATCTGAGAATGAAGCAGCTGAGAGGAGCAAGTAGCTTAGCAGGGAAGGTTAGTATTAGCTTCACACCGAGCTTACAAACAGGAGAACCTAGCGCTGGTCAACTCAGAAATGTTTCAATGGATGTTGATATTGATACTGTACAAAATGATACCACTGGTCCAACTTCTTGTCTTGGCAGTCAACTGGTAGAGCATGCCAGCTTAACTCATATCAAACCATTTCAAGACAGTCTTCAGAAAAATATAAATATGGGTAAAGATGAGACAGCTGTCAAGGAAAAACCCGAAATACCACACCCTGACATGTTTTGTATTCCAGAAACTCAGTTTTGTGATGTTGTTCCTGATTTAGAAACTAAAAGTGATTCAGAAGAGGACTTTGAAGCGAATCAAGCAGTTGGCAGAAACTGCCAGATGAACATACAGCCACAGTTCCAACCTACTGATAAACTTTGGTCACCAAGACACAAAGAGGCAATAGAACAATACATTAAGGAAGTTGACAGTGCCAGCTTTAATGACCTAGAATTCAGGCCAAATGGAATAATGCACAGTAACCCCAACAAAGCAACACAAGGCTTAGCTACTGAAGTTGATTTTATCAGTAATGTAAACAAGATTGCATCCAAAACAAGCAGTCTTCACACACAGACTGTTAGGAATGGCACAGACCCCACTTTTGAAATAGTAAAAACACGTTCAAAGTTAATAGATGCTTTGGAGGCAGCTGATTCTAAGGCAGAAATAAAAGAAGAGAATCTATGGATGGCAGAGAGGCTAATGAAACATTTTTCTAGCGATGATTTCTCTCACAGTATGGAAGAACAGCTGCAAGATCCTCAGACTACTCCTGTAAAAGTGTACGGTGAGGACAAACATGCCATCAAAAGACAGGCTAAACCAGGCTTGTCACCTTGTTCCAAGCGGCAGCTCAAAGATTCTTTCACTAACTTGAAAGATGAAGCCTCTATGTCCTCTTTGAGTAAAGGTCCTTGGCGAGACACATTCACAAAAACACACAGTCTTGAAAGTCTTGGACCTGATACCCGTCCAACTAAAGGCAGATTAACAGAAAATCGAGCATACCAGTTTGGCTTTAAGAAAAAGGGTAATCTTGAGAATAGGAAGGTGACCCTGGAAAATGACAAACTACTATCAGAACTTTTGGGGCAGTTGAAATCACCTAGCAAATCTGAAAGTAAAGCTACTTCCCATGCATTGAAAGAATTAAATCCATTTCCAAAACTTGCGTTTGACAAAGAAAGATCCAGTGCAGCTGTATTCAGTAAAAACAGTAAAATGTGTAAGGAGATGTCAGCTAAGCCTTCAGACAACATAAAAAGTCTACTTCAGAATGATATTGAAATACTTCACCAGCTGTTCGGACAGGATGTGCCAGATAGTGAAGAGCCTGAACAAGAAAATTCTACTGTGGCAATGTGTACGGAACTTCCAGTTCTTCAACAAGATTTTGGCAGGGATTCCAAAGCCAGTCATACCTTTCCCAACAATTTTCTAACCAGTAACGAATCAGCACAAGAAGATGCTATTGTTATTTTGGATGATACACAAAACATGGATGTGGAGAATAGTGAATGCTTTATCGTCGAAGACAACTCAGATAACTGTCTTGGAAACCCATCCAGGACAGCTGAATCACACAAAACATGTGAATCACATGAAGCCCCTGAACCATCCAGTGTCTTTGAATCACATAATATTCCTGAATCACAGGACAGTCACACAGCTTCACACAAAATAACTGAAAGACACCCCGATCTCAACCAGACAACTGAAACATTGCCTGTGATAGAAACATACAATACAAAAGAGATATTGTTGCCAGATAGCACTCCACACATCTCATATGATTTTACTTCCAAACCATTCAAGGCCACATCTCCTCTAAATGTGATAACTGAATGTGATAAACATTACACAGGCTTGGAACATAAACCAAGTGACAGAAATAAACAGACAACTGTTTCAAATTTCCCATACACAATGATTTCAGAAGCATCTAGTCAACAGTATGTCAGTATTAGAGAATGTGCTGCAGAGGAAAGTAGACAAGCTGCACAAATGTCACACAATTCTGACTTCACTAAGGGGGATTTTGATGATGACTCCACATGGAATATTAACAGCACAATAAGAACCACCGATTTGTTCGATAACATTGGAGCAAAAGCATCTACATCAGAGGGTTTTGTTTCTGCGAAAGATGTTTCAAATATAGAATATGGAAATGTTGCAAGCATGCGTGCCGAGGATAGCATATCAGCAGCTGACATCAGAAAGTGCACTGACGGTAAGGAAAGCGTGGGGACAGGCATTGATGACGACAGAACAGAGCTGTCTACGTCTGTGTGTGACATGATGACTGACACCTTTGATGAGGACTTTGATGACTTTGACGGGCCTCACGTGTAAGTTGTTCATTGTCTTCCTTCTCTGCCCTAAAGAAAATGTAACAGTGAAATTAAGATATTTGTTTCAGCTTCAGCACATCTTTGAAATGTTGTATCCAGTTGAATGGCTAGTGTTGGCACTCATGTAAGAGTAAGAGATGTGTTCTTCAGTAAGGGGCGGTGATTTTTTATGTTAGCCTTCCCTACAAACACGTCATAAGAGTTGACTAATTTTGAGCATCCTTCATGGTCAAAGTGTATCTGCCTGAAAGACAAGCAGTCAACAGTCTGCATATATACACCACTGACTGTAGAGACCTGCACCATATACCACTGACTGTAGAGACCTGCACCATACATCACTGACTGTAGAGACCTGCATCATACATCACTGACAGTAGAGACCTGCACCATACACCACTGACAGTAGAGACCTGCACCATACACCACTGACTGTAGAGACCTGCACCATACATCACTGACAGTAGAGACCTGCACCATACACCACTGACTGTAGAGACCTGCATCATACATCACTGACAGTAGAGACCTGCACCATACATCACTGACTGTAGAGACCTACACCATACATCACTGACTGTAGAGACCAGCACCATACACCACTGGCTGTAGAGACCAGCACCATATACCACTGGCTGTAGAGACCTGCACCATACACCACTGACTGTAGAGACCTGCACCATACATCACTGACTGTAGAGACCTACACCATATACCACTGACTCTAGAGACCTGCACCATACACCACTGACTGTAGAGACCTGCACTATACACCACTGACTCTAGAGACCTGCACCATATACCACATATACCACTGACTGTAGAGACTTACACCATACACCACTGACTGACTGCTGGCACGAGCAAAGGCTTTGTTAACATTACAGTAATTGTTGCACTTTTGTTTCTCTTTTATATCAGATCAACAGAATTCAAATTTACAGACCTTTGGAACCGGTTCACTGTACTTGATGTCGTTCATGATAGGTGGGTAGTCATAGACTATTTCAACTTCCCCTAGGAGTGCTTATGAGCCAGAGTTTGGTGATGTCAGTTCTTCGTCACAGTTGTGTACCAATACATCATTTTCAGTCTGCATCATTACGGTTTTCGTTATGTTTGCATACAGTATCATTCTCTAAATTGTTACTTGTCAATACAACAGCTGTGTGAAAGATGGGAGTTTGGAAGGGCCGGCGTGCCTAATTTGTGACCCTTTGAAAATAAAGTTTGTTTGTTCCCTTGTTCGTTCGTTCAGTATTAACATTGAGCATCCTTCATGGTTGAATAGCATCTGCCTGAAAGGTAAGCAGTTAACGGTCTGCATACATACACTACTGACAGTGGTGACAATTGTGGTGTCAGTGGTGTATGATGCTTTCCTAGTAAAGAGCTATTCAACTGGTGGCCCGCTGGCCTGTCTAACATGCAGAGGCCTTGCAAGTGGCCCATGGATCACTGCCAGTTGTATTACATTAATTTTCTTTGAATGCCTGTGACAATGCCCATTTTTCAAATGTTTGCCTCCAAGTAAACTATGTTGAATAGCTCTGTACTGGCACATTGGTCTGAAACATTTATCCTCCATCATTCATCCAATACAGCAGACATCTCAGTATCTTCATGCTTCCCATGCTCATTAGGTGTTGACTAACAAGTTTTATACTTTGGAGACGAGTGCGTCATAGGTTATGGTGTCTTTTTCAAGCAGACCTGCTATGTCCCATTTTGTTTTCATTATTGTTACTCCTCCCGCTCCCCCTCCCCCTTTTTTATTTTATCATGGGATAGTATAAGAGCTAAAATAACAAATAATGTGTAGGAGGAGTCGCATCCCTTGGCAGTTGAAAATTGAAACGACCGATTTTTTTCTGCTTTTTATCTTTCAATCACAAGAAAATTCCCCTAAATGCTATTTTTTAATAGTAAATATATTCATATCCAGGCCTCATAAATGCTACACAGGCCCAAACAGAACCAATGACATTAAACTACTACAAGTCACTAAATGTGCTAGTATTGTGGCCTTTACAGAGATGTAGCAATGACCGAAATGCCTGACTTGTGGCTCTCCAGGCGACAGTGTTAAGGGTTCCCCAGCAACCAGTGCTTTCATAAAATCTTGATTCTGTCTGTCTGTTTTTCTGACAGAGCAAAGGATGAGGTCTGTCTGACATTGGCATGTAGCAGGACAAGAACAGTTTCCCACTGCAATCTGAGAGGATTTTGGTAAGTCCAGTGTTGATAATATTCCTTTTGTTTTCTCATATTGTCTTTGTAGAATATATATACATGTCTGTGTGCAGTCAGTGTTGATGATATTCTAGTACATTTGGGGAGGGACCAGGGATTCTGACCAAAACACTGCACCCAAGAAACAGTGATGTTAATAGTGAGTTAATTAGTAAGTTGATGTTATCAGAGATTGATTAATGAGTGAGATGATGGTTGATGCTATTTTACCAACATCTATACACTTAATTAAAATGCAAATAAGCAACCTGGAGACAGGCCTCTATATGATACACTATTTCAATTCTGGTTTTAAAGAGGTGGCCACAACTGTAGGTCCATTCACTAAGTCTGTCAATCAGCCGGAACTGAAAATAAATAATAGTATTTGTAGTTCATATGTCTACACAGCTCAGACTGTGTGGTTATGTGTTGTGTATAAAATGTCATGCATACTTGCCAGCTCTCCTGCCCCCTTCTCCCTGCCACCTTCTATCTTTTTATCTCTCTCTTTCTCCCTTTCTGACATTCTTTCTGTCCTCTCTCACTGTAATTTCTTTGGAAGATTTGTTTTTCAAACGCATTATCTTTACAGCTGATGCTTTCACCTACAGTTCTGTCATGCTAGTCTATACTAAGTCTGATGTCATCACACACAGACAAGTGGGATTTGTCATTTTTGATAAAAGTTTTTATCTTGTTAACAGCTTAACCTTTTTGTCCTGAAACTGCTGGAAAATTGACACTTTTCCATTTTGCATATTGAGAACTGTTTACGAGATGTATGGTTGATGCAGTTGGCTGAGTTTGCGAGTATGCAAATGTTTAGGAGGTCAGGATAAAAATAAGTTAACTAACAATAACATTTAGAGTTGTTTTCCATTGTACTGAAAGGCTTTTTTTTTTAAAGCCAAGGTAAGTTCAAATTTTCTCAGAAGCCTCATTGGTAAAGGTCACAGGGTCACAGCATGAATCATCAGATACATATGTGTTTTGTTAGGCCCCAGGGGATGTATTCAATGAAATACTGCACCCTGTTCATGTTTATTGACTACTCCTTTCAGAAGTCTTTATATACTTTAAAAAATAATTTTAGAATGTTGATAAATACATTTTCAAATGAATTGATTAGTGACTTGCGTTGAAAATTGTGAGCATACATTTGAACCCTTTTGCCTCCCAGAACACTTTCAAAAATAGGTGTAATGTGCTCATGTATGCTCACAGTTAAGATAAGTGGTGAAGGGTTATCCTTATTCAACTAGCAACAACCGTCTGGCCTGGACAAATTTAAAAAATGTCCACTCCTGAAACTGTGGGTTGTTAGATACCAGCAGCTCAGAATATGGATCATAAAATCATGACACAAACATTGGGAACAAGATCATAGTTGAAACAAAATAAATGACTGAAACAGAGAAGCAGAAGTTCACCAATTAAGAACTGTTGTTATTAGAGGTAGTAAATATTGAGGGTTGTAGAGGACACAAGACTAGTAAGCATTGATAGAGTTCACATGGACTAATAATTACATATTCTCTTACCTGGAATAGCTCAGAGAATTCTGTTCTCTCAAACTTAATAGGGATAAAGGGATAAGGTCTCACCTGTGGATGTCTTCATGAAAGCTGCTGGTAGGGTATGGAGATATAAAGCAACTTGTGTTCTTTTATGCCTTTTTATCCCTTTCTGCCATTTGCTTTTTCCGCCCAAGCCCTTCTAGACGTAGGAGTCTTTTAGCTCTGCCCCCTGGTACATTTGGCAATCTCTGTCCTGCTGTCAGTCCTTCGTCCACATCTTCAACTTTCAGGAATTCTCTGCATCACTTGTTTAGTTTCCAAGCTCTGCTCTTGTGATAGCATACCATGCTATAATACCACATCACTTGGGTGGCCATCTGGCATTCTTGTCTATCAGTGCCTGTTATCATACTTCAGCTTGGATTGTCAGTTCATGTGAACGTGCAGTCATGTTTGTAGATTCCCCTTCTGAGTTACCTGCTAGGCGCAAAATTTCGGATTATAGCAATATTTTCACCAGTTTTAGTTGGCCCACCTTTTCGCAAATGCACTTCTCTATTTGAGTTGGAAATTTATATTGCTTATCAAACATAAATTAATTCCCTGGGTTAAGGGTAAAGCTGATACTACATTCTATTAAGATAAAGACTGTTTTCGAATTGCGCTCAGCTACCTAATCAGGTCTTTAGTTGAAAGGTTTCTTTGTAGTTTGATGCTTTTCTTTTCTATTACAAAGAACAAAGGTGAAAATTCTTGAACCATAAAATGCGCCACATGACAGTATATTTCTAGGATAGCTGCTGATGAGTATGCAGTTAATTTCCATGTTAATTTTTTTTCTTTTCTTAAATTCTTTCTTTATTTGTGTATTTGTAGGACAGACACTGTTGTCTGTAAAGATGACACTGTCAACATTGTGGGGAGTTTCAACAACAACCTTTGCATTATCGATGACAAACATGGCCTCGTTATAGTCAACCCTGACCTACTGCTGTCCGGGACATTGGTTGTGTCTTCAACATTCTGTGCTCGCAAGTAAGTCCGCCTGTTTCGTCTCCTGTATAGACATATTTCCATGTCGTGTCACATTTGATGACAGGTTGACATGGAGAAAACATATCAACAAGGCAGCAACCAAAGCCAGGAGGAAGACAGCAATACTAAGAAAACTAAGTGGAACTACATGGGGAGCCGATGGGAAAATACTCAATAAAGTATACAAGCAGAGCATACTTCCACACTTGGAATATGGGTCAACTGCATTGTGTTCAGCATCTAGTACCACATTAAAGGAGTTAGACAAAGTGCAAAATCAAGCGCTCAGAGTCATCACAGGAGGGATGAAATCAACCCCCATATTAGAAATGGAGAAAGCTGGGAAAACACAGGCACCGAGAGAACGCAGAGATACAAAGTTGCAAATACAAGCTGAAAAGTTCCTCAGTATGCCAGATCACCTGATGGAAAATAGATTTAAGAACCAGCCTTGGGACGGTTAAAAAGAAGCAGTTTTATACACCAAGCAAAAAGAATATGTAGACAAACTCCTGACCTTCCAGAAATTGGTTGCCCACTTAAAAGTATTCCAGAACAAACCCCATGGAGAGAAAAATGTAAACTAACAGTACAAACCCAGACAAATGTGAAAGGGATATTTGACAAGAAAGAGCAAGATAGTGTACAACGCAGAATGGCCATCCTCAGTTATATTGATGAAGAATACCCACATGAACAATGGGTCAGAGTCTATACAGATGGATCCGCAGAAAGTGCAGTTAGAAATGGTGGCGCTGGAGTGAACATCAAATTCCCAGATGGTACTAGGGATAAGTCCAGCGTACCAACCGGGAAGTACTGCCATAACTACGATGCACAAACCCAGGCTATCAAGATAGCTACAGAGAAACTGCTAAATACCAACCTTGGCTCACAGTATGTGGTAATGCTGACAGATGCTAAATCAGTACTTGAAGCACTCCAGTCTAAGAAACTACCAGAATTGCAAACACTGCGACACAACTCAGCGTTCAGCGAAGAGTCGTAATGCAGTGGATACCATCTCATTGTGGAGTGCCTGGAAATGAGAAAGCTGATCAACTGGCAGGGGAAGGTGCGACAAAAGAGCAGCCGGATGTACCAGTCACATACCACCAAAAGAAAAGAATCATTAAATCGATCAGGAAACCACCAGCACCAGCACAAGATGGCTATTTTATTATGGACAGACCAGAACAAGTCATTATCCTCCGCCTCAGAACAGGGCACAACCGATTACGTAACCACATGTACACAAAATTCAAGATAGGTGTATCAGCTATGTGCAACTGTGGAAATGTGCCCCAGACAGCAGAGCATGTACTCCAGGACTGCACCGATTTTGACACATTAAGGCAAACCTTTTGGCCAGAAAGAACAACAGTGGAACGTAAACTCTATGGACCACTGAATGAACTAACAACGACAGTGAAATTTATACAAGAGACAAAACTGCTGATATAGACAACTTATTTCAGGCGAACGAAAGAAGAAGAAGAAGTAGTCTCCTGTATTTGTGCTGGCTAGTAAGTCGGCTCCTGACCTATGGGTGTGAGTCATGGGCAATGACAACAGCTCACAGACGCCAGCTGCAGGCCTCGGAAATGAGATATCTGAGAAAGGTGGTCCAAGTGACAAGAAGGGACAAAGTCCGCAATCAGACAATGCGTCAAGATCTTGATACCCAGTCCTTACAAACCCGAGTGGATCAGTCACAGTTACGATGGTGTGGACATGTATGCAGAATGGGAGAAAATCGGCCACCATTGCAGGTATGGGAGGCTAAGAACCAGGGAACCAGACCTCCAGGGCGACCCAGGGCGATCTCTCTGGCAAACCTCTACACCCCAAGGTAGAAGAGGAGCGACTAAGTAAAGTAAAGTAGTAAGTCGGCCTGTCTCATCTCCTGTATTTGTGCTCGCAAGTATGACCGCCTGTCTTGTCTCCTGTATTTGTGCTTGTAAGTATGTCTGCCTGTCTCATCTCCTGTATTTGTGCTCGCAAGTATGTCCGCCTGTCTTGTCTCCTGTATTTGTGCTGGAAACTGATTTTTCTATTGCTTGTATACTTTGTATATTTAAATTTTGGTCAGTTTTACCCTTTGTACAAAGCTCTTTATCACCTTTAAACTTTTTAAATGAACTATCTTTCAGTTACTTTTACCCTTTTACAAAGATGTATATCACTTTCACACTTTGTAATAAGCTATCTTTTAATTATTTCTACACTTCCCCATTGTATTTCTTCTTCTTCTTAGCTTTCACCAGTTGCAAACTGTGGTGGAAAGTTCTGGATGTTCATCCACTTCTGGATTTTGATTTTGCCCCAGAACTTGAATTTGTACATGCACATCCATCTTACAGGTCTGGTTTATTTATCTGTGTGCAGATTGTTGGTTCCTCACCTCTCAGGCAGATGCTGTCTGACCTCTGAGGATAAGTCTCTCCAGCATATCTGTGTGCAGATTGTTGGTTCCTCACCTCTCAGGCAGATGCTGTCTGACCTCTGAGGATAAGTCTCTCCAGCATATTTGTGTGCAGATTGTTGGTTCCTCACCTCTCAGGCAGATGCTGTCTGACCTCTGAGGATAAGTCTCTCCAGCATATTTGTGTGTGTGCGCACGCGAGCTTGCAAAATTCCTCTTTTCGAGGAGCTGTAAAACAACATGTGGTCACAGTCAGTACACCTGACAACTAATCTTTAGTGAAATCTAAGAGGCCTCGAACTTACAACCCAGTTTGTCTGAGCCATGGTTGATTAAGCACACCACCAAACAGTGCTGAAGAAGATGAAGATAATCTGTGTTGTATGTCCCAGCACAGTTTTAGGGATGTCATTGAAATGTTGTGTGTAAAACATGTTGGTTTCCATTTCATTGTGGCTAGGCCAGGTATTGTAATACATAGTTGGTACCATGCGAAAGTCACAGAAATGAGTACTTGTTTCGAGAAAATCATGTTTGAACATTGAGAGCTCAGGGGAGAAAAACTTTACTTGCTTGAAAAATAATACTTTTATTTTCACCTTTCTGGAATTGGAATTCTCAATAACAGCCTTGAAAATGTACTTAGGTAGAAATCACCACAATTGCTCTTGTGTGACTTTGGCCTAGTACTAACGAATTATGAATGAAACCACTACAAAACTAAAGAGTGGGGTAATTGTTCATATATCTAAGGTATGCAGATTTTCATATAAGAGTTGCCAAAAAAGTCAACATAATTTATCTATTGTTTTCTTATAATGTTGCTACCATTTTATTTTTGTTGTTGAATAAAATGTGTTGTAATTTTATTTTTCAGGTCAGTGCTAAATGAGAAGTTTAAGGTAACTTTCTTTGTTTATTAGTTTCAAATAATTATTGATTGCTATTTTAAAGAAATTGACTTTTAAAACTAATAGTTAGTTGTCTTCTACAGCGCTCAGAATTATTTTCAAACAAATATTTGATACAGTATTTGTGTGGGGCCTGTTTATTGTAGACAGTATTTGTGCGGGGCCTGTTTATTGTATGCAGTATTTGTGTGAGGCCTGTTTTTTGTATACAGTATTTGTGCTTGGCCTGTTTTTTGTATACAGTATTTGTGTGGGGCCTGTTTATTGTATACAGTATTTGTGCCGGGTCTGTTTATTGTAGACAGTATTTGTGTGAGGCCTGTTTATTGTAGGCAGTATTTGTGTGAGGCCTGTTTTTTGTATACAGTATTTGTGCTGGGCCTGTTTATTGTAGACAGTATTTGTGTGAGGCCTGTTTGTTGTAGACAGTATTTGTGTGAGGCCTGTTTATTGTATACAGTATTTGTGCGGGGCCTGTTTATTGTAGACAGTATTTGTGCTGGGCCTGTTTATTGTAGACAGTATTTGTGCTTGGCCTGTTTATTGTAGACAGTATTTGTGTGAGGCCTGTTTATTGTAGACAGTATTTGTGTGAGGCCTGTTTATTGTATACAGTATTTGTGCCGGGTCTGTTTATTGTAGACAGTATTTGTGCCGGGCCTGTTTATTGTAGACAGTATTTGTGTGAGGCCTGTTTATTGTATACAGTATTTGTGCGGGGCCTGTTTATTGTATACAGTATTTGTGCCGGGTCTGTTTATTGTAGACAGTATTTGTGCTGGGTCTGTTTATTGTAGGCAGTATTTGTGCTGGGTCTGTTTATTGTAGACAGTATTTGTGCCGGGTCTGTTTATTGTAGGCAGTATTTGGGCTGGGTCTATTTATTGTAGGCAGAATTTGGGCTGGGTCTGTTTATTGTATACAGTGTCTGGGCTGTTAAACAGGCTTCTGAGTTTAAATATCTTGGAACAGCATTCACTGAAGATGGTAAATTGATGAAGAAATTGACATCTGATGCAGTAAACCTGGCCAAGTATTGGGACAGCTAGCCCCCCCCCCCCCCCCCCCCCCCCCCCCCCACCCCCCCCCCCCCCCCCCCCCCCCCCCCACCCCCACCCCCCCCCCCCCAGCACAAGGCAAGTCTAATCAGCACAAAGAAACATCTCATACAAAGCATATTCATTCCCACCTTATGCTACCAGTGCCGGACATGGTCACTCACAACAACATAAAAGAAAATTAGTGACCATTAGGTGTCTGAGAAAGACTGTAGGAGTGACCAGAAGAGACAAAATCAGGAATGAGGTCATACGAGATAAAGTCGGCACAGAACCAGTTCTAAATTACATACAAAGACACCAAATCAAATCGTGTGCCTGCCTGGAGAGAATGCCTTCTGATGCTAGATGCTATACCATAAAATGCATTTATTAAAAGATGTAGAGCAAGAGGTAGACCAAGAAAATATAGAAGGATAACATCAGAGAAACTCTACAGCACCATGGTCAAAGCAGCCAGAAACGCACAAAGCAGAATCTTATTTCTCCCTCGGCTCCCGAAGTGAAAAAAAGAGGACGTAAAGAAGAAGATTTGTGCTGTGCCTGTTTATTGAATACATCAGAGCTGCAATAGATTTGTGCATCTTTAGGCCAACACACCTGATTTCATTCCAACAATTTTTGACTATTAGCCTTCTTGGGTAGTTTTAAGGCACTTTCTGTCATCTCAATATTCAGTTGTTTTTGTATTGTTTGTTATTTTGCAAATAAACCACTGTCATAGTGAAGTCTCCGTTTCTCAGAGGAAATGTGGTCCTTGTGGGTTACCACCTGAATGCTATTGTTCTAGGCTGGAGTCTGTTGACAAAGAGATATCTAAGATCTGAATGTAAAAGGTCGCTGACCAAAGCCTACTGCCAGCCACTCTGTGTGTCTTGTACTGAATTATGACTTAATCACATCCCAATACATCTATCCATAAATGTGAGATCCCAGTCTTGCACATCTATGGCTTTGTCAGCTTGGAGAGAGGAAGGAGAGCTCTGCAACACAGTTCCTGTGGAAATGGTACTTGGTACATCAGCTAAGAAGTAAAATCTCTACACCAGATGTGCTCTAATAGATGCAAGCATTTGTCAGGGGCTCCAGAAATCACTGAATGTCACATTGAACAGTGAAGCTGTCCTCCAGGGATTCATCTTGCAGACAGCCAACACTGTTGGTCAAGTCAAGGACCCTTTCCCACACTTTGAGGCGTATAGGGCTAGACGTATATTTTCTTGACCAACCATCACTTGGTGGGTGATACGATCAGCATCACGCCTGCCGCCTTTATTTCCTAGGATTTTTACCTGGGACCCACTCATGGATGGGTCGACCTTGGAGAAGGTCATTATTGAACAAGAAAAAAATCTGGCTCCATCAGGAACCGAACCCACAACCAGCTGATTTGCAGGCGAGCGTCTAGCCACTACACTACTATGGCACCCCAACACTGTTCTTTATCATTGCCAACACACTGAGTTCTTCCATCATTTTGATTGTTCTCTGTTCTCTTTCAGGGGGTGGATGGTGGGAACATCCAGATGCTCCACGGCAGTGTCATTCACAGCTTATTTCAGTCTGTGCTCAAGGAGGGTGTCAGGGATGAGAAGGCTATCTGGAAAATGGCTGTAGCCCTGCTCAGATCTAACAAGTTCCTCCATGAAATGTAAGAAATTGTCAACATTTTTCTCTTTCTTTTCATAAAAATGTACCAGCACAACCAGAAAAATTGGTTATAGATGTTGCTGAATGTCTGTGTATTACGGGCATTGAATAACAGGAGCAGACAGAAGCTGGGGGCCACAGAGATGTTGCTTCTGCATAAAACAAAATGAAATCTATAGATGGCTAAGATGACCAGTATCCAGATACTGAGAGACGCTAGTCAGCAAAGACTACTGGAGTGCTTAACTGGCACCCTGTGTAGATTCCAGGACCACATCTTGGGGGGGGGGGGGGCTAGACTTATTGCCAGCCTGCAGAGACTTATTAGGGATGAATCCTTGGAAGTTGGAGTACATCTACGTGAGAGGCGAGGAACTATTAGTCTACCCACAAATAAGCCTGATCTGTAAAATGGATATGCATGCGAAACTGAGGTTCTAGAAGAAGACAAAAGTCCAGAAGTTGATGAGCAGCCAGAACTTTCCGCCAGAGTTTACAGCTGATGAACACGAAGAAGAAGAAGATGAAATTTGGTAAATGTTATCATGAACCCCTTAAATCTGTTTCACTGATCACCAAATGATAAAACTGTTCCAGAGGATTCACCACACAAACATCCCTGAACTACCCTAGCACATGTTGACTTCTGTTGTTTGTTCACCACACAAACAACCCTGAACTACCCTAGTACATGTTGACTTCTGTTGTTTGTTCACCACACAAACAACCCTGAACTACCCTAGTACATGTTGACTTCTGTTGTTTGTTCACCACACAAACAACACTGAACTACCCTAGTACATGTTGACTTCTGTTGTTTGTTCACCACACAAACAACACTGAACTACCCTAGCACATGTTGACTTCTGTTGTTTGTTCACCACACAAACATCCCTGAACTACCCTAGCACATGTTGACTTCTGTTGTTTGTTCACCACACAAACAACCCTGAACTACCCTAGTACATGTTGACTTCTGTTGTTTGTTCACCACACAAACAACACTGAACTACCCTAGTACATGTTGACTTCTGTTGTTTGTTCACCACACAAACAACACTGAACTACCCTAGCACATGTTGACTTCTGTTGTTTGTTCACCACACAAACAACCCTGAACTACCCTAGTACATGCTGACTTCTGTTGTTTGTTCACCACACAAACAACACTGAACTACCCTAGCACATGTTGACTTCTGTTGTTTGTTCACCACACAAACAACCCTGAACTACCCTAGTACATGCCGACTTCTGTTGTTTGTTCACCACACAAACATCCCAGAACTACCCTAGTACATGTTGACTTCTGTTGTTTGTTCACCACACAAACATCCCAGAACTACCCTAGTACATGTTGACTTCTGTTGTTTGTTCACCACACAAACATCCCAGAACTACCCTAGTACATGTTGACTTCTCTTGTTTGTTCATACCAGGTACAGCCAGGGTGTACAGGATGGGAGTGTCATGGAGGAGATAGGTCAGTATATTCCTTCGCTGATCTCATGGTTGACCAAACATACCCCAGCACCTGGTCAAGCTGGTAGAGCCAGACTGAAAGAGTGAGTTGAAATCATCATGTCATGGAATGTAATTAATAGGTTTTGTTAGCATTTACATGATTTTGATCTATACACGATATAAGCATATTAAGAAATTCACAACCTATTTACCCGATAAATGAATCAAGAATTGACATAACTGCACTTGGGGCATTCCCACACGTGCCCCATCCCCTTCTTCAATAACAAATGAAGAGATAACATGCTAATAGTACCATTTGCATGCTGATTAAAAGTCCATCTCTATTTCTTCTTCAGTGTTGAATATCTTCCAGATCTTCTTTTTACCACCTCCGTGCGTTAAATTTGTCTTTCAGTGTGTGGATTCCCTATTTGTTCGTTTGTACTGTCCATTTGATTCCATGGAGCCTTCACAACATCTGCTTTATCATATAATAGCTCACCACCTAGAGGATGCGACAGTAGCTAATCTATCAGCCTGCTAGTTACCTTGCACACCTGAATTTCCTGGACAGAAAATTCATGATATACTCTTGTTCTGGGTCTTATTGAGTATTGCAAGCTACTTTGATTGCAGGACACCAGTTTCAGTTTTCCAAAGCATGCTCCTTAGGTCTGTTAGAGTTGCATGCCGGGCTATGCATTATTTACCTATCACCTAGTTATGTGAAGTCTTAACACTTCATGTTTCATGAGATAACCTTTACCATTGTATGTCTGTCACAGGTCGGATGTGCTCATACAAGAGATACATGATATTGAGGAGAACATCTGGTCCCCTAGGTAATGTGTCGGTGACCCTATGGTGCATGACTGATTTCAGTTTGTGGACTGTGTATTGTGTGTTGTGACAAAGTTGTGTACACAATGGTGACATGGTCCATCCAATTGTGACTGGTCTATAGATATAAATGGACTAGTCCCATACACACAGGTCAACTCAAGATGTGAACAGAGGTGGGCACAGAGTGTCAACCAGGTGTGGACATAGGTGTGCACGGAGTGTCAACCAGGTGTGGGCATGGGTGTGCACAGAGTGTCAACCAGGTGTGGACAGGGGTGTACATGGAGTGTCAACCAGGTGTGGACATGGGTGTGCACAAAGTGTCAACCAGATGTGGACATGGGTGTGCACAGAGTGTCAACCAGATGTGGACATGGGTGTGCACAGAGTGTCAACCAGATGTGGACATGGGTGTGCACAGAGTGTCAACCAGGTGTGGACAGGGGTGTACATGGAGTGTTAACCAGATGTGGACATGGGTGTGCACAGAGTGTCAACCAGGTGTGGACAGGGGTGTACATGGAGTGTTAACCAGATGTGGACATGGGTGTGCACAGAGTGTCAACCAGATGTGGACATGGGTGTGCACAGAGTGTCAACCAGGTGTGGACATGGGTGTACACAGTGTCAACCAGATGTGGACATGGTTGTACACAGAGTGTCAACCAGATGTGGACATGGGTGTGCACAGAGTGTCAACCAGGTGTGGACATGGGTGTACACAGAGTGTCAACCAGGTGTGGACATGGGTGTACATGGAGTGTCAACCAGGTGTGGACATGAGGTGTGCATGGAGTGTCAACCAGGTGTGGACATGGGGGTGCATGGAGTGTCAACCAGATGTGGACATGGGTGTACATGGAGTGTCAATCAGATGTGGACATGGGGTGTGCATGGAGTGTCAACCAGGTGTGGACATGGGTGTACATGGAGTGTCAATCAGATGTGGACATGGGGTGTGCATGGAGTGTCAACCAGGTGTGTGCATGGAGTGTCAACCAGGTGTGGACATGGGGGTAAATGGAGTGTCAACCAGGTGTTGACATGGGGGGGGGGGGTGTGCATGGAGTGTCAACCAGGTGTGGACATGGTTGTGCATGGAGTGTCAACCAGGTGTGGACATGGTTGTGCATTGAGTGTCAACCAGGTGTGGACATGGGGGTAAATGGAGTGTCAACCAGATGTGGACATGGGGGTGCATGGAGTGTCAACCAGGTGTGTGCATGGAGTGTCAACCAGGTGTGGACATGGGGGTAAATGGAGTGTCAACCAGGTGTTGACGTGGGGGGTGCATGGAGTGTCAACCAGATGTGGACATGGGGGGGGGTGCATGGAGTGTCAACCAGATGTGGACATGGGGGGGGGGTGCATGGAGTGTCAACCAGATGTGGACATGGGGGTGCATGGAGTGTCAACCAGATGTGGACATGGGGGGGGGGTGGTGCATGGAGTGTCAACCAGATGTGGACATGGGGGGGGGGGGTGCATGGAGTGTCAACCAGATGTGGACATGGGGGGGGGGTGCATGGAGTGTCAACCAGATGTGGACATGGGGGGGGGTGCATGGAGTGTCAACCAGATGTGGACATGGGGGGGGGGGGGAGTGGTGCATGGAGTGTCAACCAGATGTGGACATGGGGGTGCATGGAGTGTCAACCAGATGTGGACATGGTGGGGGGGGGGTGGTGCATGGAGTGTCAACCAGATTTGGACATGGGGGGGGGGTGCATGGAGTGTCAACCAGGTGTGGACATGGGGGTGCATAGAGTGTCAACCAGGTGTGTGCATGGGGTGTCAACCAGGTGTGGACATGGGGGTGCATGGAGTGTCAACCAGATGTGGACATGGGGGGGGGGGGTGCATGGAGTGTCAACCAGGTGTGGACATGGGGGTGCATGGAGTGTCACCCAGGTGTGGACATGGGTGTGCATGGAGTGTCAACCAGATGTGGACATGGGGGTGCATGGAGTGTCAACCAGGTGTGGACATGGGGGTGCATGGAGTGTCAACCAGATGTGGACATGGGGGTGCATGGAGTGTCAACCAGGTGTGGACATGGGGGTGCATGGAGTGTCAACCAGATGTGGACATGGGGGTGCATGGAGTGTCAACCAGGTGTGTGCATGGAGTGTCAACCAGATGTGGACATGGGGGGGGGGGTGCATGGAATGTCAACCAGGTATGGACATGGGAGGTGTATAGAGTGTCAGCCAGATGTGGATATAGAGTGTGCACAGAGTGTTAACATAATGTTTTTTAAAGAGAAATTAGTTATGAGGTAAATTGAGAAATGACATCACAGCATTCAGGATATTCCCATGCCTGCTCCAGTGATACTAGTAGCATGCTGACTGATGTCCATCTTGCCTTACCTCCAAGTGTTCAGTGTTGTCCATATCTCAGGGTCACTTCCTACTGCAGCATTCTTTCCAAGCCATGTTAATGTCTTGTGCTTCCGTGTTGTTGACTTGCTTGCAGAGATCATTGACCACATGTAGCTTGTCATACATTAGTGTACCACCAGGTGGTGCAGGACCAGCCAGACTGGCCATGGAGAAAATATTTGTATACAAAATAAACAATGCTAACTAGCTGAGACCTCTGAAACCATGCTTGCCTACAATTGAACATGTTCACTGTTCTCATCTGTTTGCAGGTTTGGCCTGAAAGGCAAAATTGACGTGACTGTGAAAGCCAGGGTATGTTGCTACATGTTACTCTTTCTTTCTTCTTTCTTCTTCCATTCTCACTTGATATTGTCTCTGCTTGTCTTCTCTTCTCATGTTGGTTTATCTTCTCCCTTTTTTTATTTTATCTTCTCTTTTTCCCTTGTCTTAATCTCTCTTCATCTTCTCTCCCCATCTGTTCTTTTTCAGCTCATTACTTCTCTCTACCATATGGTTCTCTCATCTTTACTTCTCTGTTCTGTATTTCCTTCCCTTCCCTTCCCTGCTGTCCTGTTTTTTTGTTTTTAAATTATTTTTCCTCATCTTTCATTTTATTTTCTTTCTCCTGTCTATATATATATATATATATATATATATATATATATATATATATATATATATATATATATATATATATATATATATATATATATATATATATATATATATATATATATATATATATATGAATAGTCAGCATTTTGATAGTTTATTAGTAAGAAAAATATTCCACATATTACTAAGTACTATATTTGTCATAAAAAACAAATATAATTAATCATTTAGTGAGTTTCATTAAAGACTTTTGTTAGAGGTCGAGTTTGACAACAGCAATAAAGAGTTGGTTTGTATATCTATTTGATCATTAGCCATTTTGATTTTATTGAAAAGAATGATTGATTTCATAATTTTCATAACTCTTACATTGTGAAATTCTATCTTTAGCTTCCACTTTAATGATCAATGTTTAACTGAAAATATTATTGTTAATTGATTTGTTTTTGCCAGTTAAGGAAACCAAATAATGTTGAAGAAGTCAAGATTTTACCTCTTGAACTGAAGACAGGAAAAGCCAGTTTTTCTCATGAACATAATGGCCAGGTTGGTGCTCTCTGATAACTAATGTTTTGAATGTTTAACAAAATGTGTAGTTTTCTTTTAACCTGTTCATTCTCTAACACTTTGTTTCATTGTATCATCTTGTTGGAATTAGAATGTGTAGATTTTCACATACTCCTGAGCTACAGTAGGGCTAAGTAAATGAACAAATCCCTGAGGAAGTCAGGCCTATGGTCGCAAATATTGCTTTCCTGTTAAATGGCATCATCCTAGATGGGCGCAACTCAAATTCACCCCCCCCCCCCCCTTTTTTCCCAATGGTCATTACCTGGCTGCACTAGCTTCTGCGACAGTTCCCAGAAATTGTCCTATACTTATTTGATCAATGTGGACTGCACCAGTGCTGTACCGTTCAGGAAAGGAATCCTGAGTCAGTTTCACTCTTGATAAGTAAAGCTGACATTATGACCCTTATTATTATTTCTCCTTCTTTTACTCCGACTTCTTCATTCATTCTATTGATTGTCATTGTTGCACTGTGTAGGTGATGCTGTATTCAATGATGTCATCAGACCGAAGGGAGGACCCAGAAGAAGGCATCCTACTGTATCTCAAACATGGACAGATGGAGACAGTACCAGTGAAACCACAGTCTCAGTCTGGTAGGTTCACCATGTCACCATAATGTAGGCAGTACCAGTGAAGCCACAGTCTCAGTCTGGTAGGTTCACCATGTCACCATAATGTAGGCAGTACCAGTGAAACCACAGTCTCAGTCTGGTAGGTTCACCATGTCACCATAATGTCGGCAACCATCAGTTCCTGAGGACCATGGAGCTGGGCCACTTTGTTGGGAACCCCATCTGCTATGACTGAAAAGTCCAGTGTGGAAGTGGCAGGCTCTGCCACATAGTCCACATAAAACGTTGATGCTCTAAATCTGGTTTTCTCAGACATCTCCTCTCTACAGCTTGCTGCCTTTGGCCTCTTTGAGACTGTCAGTCCGTCTTTCACTGTCTACCTCTGATTGAGTTGGTCTGCAGCTGATCTCTCCCAAGTATATGTATTCCTTGACATCTTTCAGGTTGGGTTTCTACCTGTTGAGCTTATAATGGCATCTGTTACCTCACAGAACTAACGCTGTAATGTACCATGTGACCAGCTAACTGGTATATTAGAACTTAGCTGTGTGATATCATGGATGATATTAAGGGTCAGAACTTCTCCAATACACAATCATGTCAACCCACTATGCATTGTAAAAAAAACACCATGATTCAAATTCAACATCAGAATCGCCAATGTATACTCCAGACCACATTTGACCAACAAACAAAAAAACCCACACACACACACACACCACACACACACACAAGATGTCATATGTCATAGCCTAACATAAGTGAAAGTCAAACACTTCATATTCCAAAGATGTTGCATGCAATGTAACCAAAAAAAAAAAATTTTTGAAGCAGTTATTACTTAAAATCTACTCACACAATTAAAAAAGAACAAATTTTGGGGGGTGGGGGGGGGGGGGGGGTGTGTGTGTGAAAGAAACCTTTGTAAAAGAACAACTTTAAGCACGTACAGTGGATTTCAGTTTCCTGAATAAAAACTAGTTGGTTTTGAAGTTATATTGATGTAGACTTTTCTGATAAAAATAAAAGCTTCGCCACTGGCTCTAAGGGGACATGATGCTGGATGCTATTATTTGTAAAAATGCATCAGCACTTGATGGGTGATGTGGTCAACATCTGCCTTTACTTCCCAGGACATTACCTGGTACTTCATCTTGTGACTAATTCACACTGACAGATGTGTTCTTGTGGCAAAATTGGCTGTATTTGGTACACTTTTAGTTCCTTACAGCTTTGTTTGTAATGTTGACTTAAAAAAAAAAAAGTAAAGTTCCCTTTTCACGCCTTTCGGCGCATCGGGCATATGGGCAGAGCGTCCCATATTTTTACAGACCATCAGCACTCTGTGGGTAATGTGGTCAGCATTACGCCAGCTGTCTTTACTTTCCCAGGACAGCACATCCTGGTACCCATTTTAGGCTGGGTAGTTGGCCAGTATTCCCTTCTTAATTGGCTGTCCAAAAGACATTCCTGCAGGATACGTTCTGTAATTTGAACACTAGCCCACACAGGCACAGCATGAACTACTTAGATGATTCCTGTGCATATGCTTGTTAAGTTTGTTGTTTCCTGTGCTGAGACGTAGAATAATGATCTGCTCCTGCTGGTCAAGTAAGTGGTAGTCATCTCTGACCCGATTCTGTTCACTTCAGATAGAATGGATGCCTGTTTTCTAAATAAAAGTATGCTACTGAATTGCCCCTTAGCAAGTTTATCTGCGCTTTTGTTTCCTGGTATACCACAATGGCTAGGTTCAGATCTCAAGTGAGGGAGCTTACCACTCTTAAAGGCTTATAGCACTGGTAGTGCATCTGTGAAGATGACCACTTGGTGGCAGTCAGAACTGGTGTTTAACATTTCTGCAGCCTGCTCTAGTGCTAGGATCTCTGCTTCATAGGTGGAACCTGGTTCTAATTTTAGCCTGGGTCCACCTGGGAGCCCAAGGTCAGTGTGAACAAAACTGAATTTTTCTTTTGCGTAACATTGTGGTCACAGTTTTGAGCTTGCATCTATGCTGCTTTGCTGGCTGTAAGATAATTTCAGCCAAGATATAATAAATCCATCTACAGGACTTATACAGTTGAGAAATAATTTGGCTCACTATCTGGCACAAGGAGTTCGGCAAGAGACAACAGCAACAGGTCAGCTGACTTACCAGCTAGGTCAACTGCCTCAACCAATCAACAATCAGAAAGCCTGCAGCAGATGTGCACATCTGCTCAACTGTAGCATCTATCAGAGGTACACAGATAACATTAATTGTGTGTTGTGTGGAAAACAGTTAACATTTAGTGCGTGTTATGTGGAGAACATATAACATTCAGTGGGTGTCTGGAGAATAGATAACATTCATTGAAGGTTGTATAGAAAAAATATAAGATTTAGTATGTATTTTGGGAAGAATAAATACAATTCAGTGGGTGTTGTGTCAAGAATAGATAACAATCATTAGGTGTTGTGTAGAAAAGAGATAACATTCAGTGGGTGTTTGTGAGAAGGGAGTGTGTAACAAAGCTACATCACGTATCTACTTTGACGCTTGCACGTTGCTACTTGCACTGCTTCTACTGTCTAGGATTAACAACACATCACAGCTCTCAGTTTCCTGTATACATTCTGTCAGTTTTGTTCCAACAATAATTCGCACACAGCCATCACTGATTGATTCCACAATATGACAACACTAGTCATTCACTCGACTTTGAAACTACATCTTCAAATACGACAACTGTCTTCCTCGACTTCTGGTATGCAACTGACCACGAGTCAACCTCAGGCTTTCCTTCGTTTACCTTTCCAGCCCCAAGTATCTCGTGCAGTCGTTTGTTGCACAGATTTTCTGCTCAACTTGCTGTAAGCGTGGAGACCATGCTAAGCAGGGTCATCACAGGTGTCTCTGTTTAGATGACATTTAGTGGATGTTTGTGATAAGGGAGCAGGTGTTATCATGTCAAGGAAGTGGCTGTTTTGAGATAAAATTCTTCTTTGCATTCACCGGCTGTAAACTCTAGTGGAAAGTTCTGGTTGCCAATCAACTTCTGGATTCAAGTCTTGCTCCAGAGTTTGAGTTTTTCTTGCACATCCGTTTTACAGATGTGGCCTATCTGAATGCAGACTGTAGGCTTTTCAGTCTCAGGTAGATGTGCTCTGAATTCACAGGAAACAACCTTAATTAGTTGACTCTTATGACATGCTTGTTAGGAGAGCTGTGGGTTTGTTCTCTTTCCCTCATATAAAGTTTTAGCTTTGCTTTTATGAGATTTGTGTTGAAAATACACTCTTTAGCAAGACCAACCCTTTCAACAAATTCTCAAAGAAGTCAAACCTTAAAACTTCATCTTTTTTTCTCTCTGAGATTCTCAAAAAAATGTATTGTCTTCTTCTTTGTTCACTGGTTGTAATCTCTGGCAGAAAGTCCTGGTTGTTTGTTCACTGGCTGTAATCTCTGGCAGAAAGTCCTGGTTTGTTCACTGGCTGTAATCTCTGGCAGAAAGTCCTGGTTTGTTCACTGGCTGTAATCTCTGGCAGAAAGTCCTGGTTGTTTGTTCACTGGCTGTAATCTCTGGCAGAAAGTCCTGGTTGTTTGTTCACTGGCTGTAATCTCTGGCAGAAAGTCCTGGTTGTTTGTTCACTGGCTGTAATCTCTGGCAGAAAGTCCTGGTTGTTTGTTCACTGGCTGTAATCTCTGGCAGAAAGTCCTGGTTTGTTCACTGGCTGTAATCTCTGGCAGAAAGTCCTGGTTGTTTGTTCACTGGCTGTAATCTCTGGCAGAAAGTCCTGGTTTGTTCACTGGCTGTAATCTCTGGCAGAAAGTCCTGGTTGTTTGTTCACTGGCTGTAATCTCTGGCAGAAAGTCCTGGTTGTTTGTTCACTGGCTGTAATCTCTGGCAGAAAGTCCTGGTTGTTTGTTCACTGGCTGTAATCTCTGGCAGAAAGTCCTGGTTTGTTCACTGGCTGTAATCTCTGGCAGAAAGTCCTGGTTGTTTGTTCACTGGCTGTAATCTCTGGCAGAAAGTCCTGGTTGTTTGTTCACTGGCTGTAAGCTCTGGCAGAAAGTCCCGGTTGTTTGTCCATCTGGGCTTTGGCTTTGAGCCAGGGCCTGAGTTTTGCATGTACATCTGATTTACTGGCTTGTTTGTGTGCGGTAGGTTGTTTCTCTCCGTTTGGGCAGATGCACTCGGACTTGGAAGGAAGCCCCCCTGTTAGTCGAGAGAGGCAGTTGGGGAGGCAGCTGGGTCTGTTCTTGTTTTCCCCACAATGTGGGACCCCAGAACCCGCACAGGGAACATTCTATTCTAGAATGCTTTCCCTTTGCTGGTTCTGGGTGCTCTGTAGATGTTTGACACTTCTTAACTGTTTTCATTGACAGGGCAGTAGATCATGTTGTCCACCAGGAGAGGCATGCAATGAGTGTACTAGTTCCAGAGGCCCTGCAGCATCTCACAGAGATGGAACTCAGCTACTTCACTCACTGGATGCTGTGTCTGGATCTAGAACAGCAGGAGTCTCAGAAGAAACACCTCAGCCAGATCTGGCGGGCCTCAAGTCTAGAAAGGTTGCACTCATTGTTTTCATCATCAAAACTGAAATTTGTAACAGTGGTATAAAAATGCTACCTTTTATTCAATGAATAATTTGTACTACTCATCACTTCTGGTATCAGTTACCAATAGTTTTGTATGATTAAGTCTTCACTGAACCTCTACAATTTGTTTTTAGGGTTGCTCATGTAGGCCAGATTTCTATTTTCTGACTAATTTCTAGTTTTCTGTGGCTTCTGTCTTTAAATACTTATGACACAAGCAATAAATTGTACACTATTGTCTAGCATAGTTCTCAGCATCTTGCCAGATGCATTACTACACATTACATCAACATGAAATGAAGCACAAAACATGGAACCTTTTCACCAAAGGGCCTAAATTACGTTATCTCTCTCGATGCATTGTTTGACTTATCGCCGCAAGGTCAAGATAGTCAGGTGGTTTACCATGCCAGATTTAAATTTACAATATCCTTCTGCTTGCACAAAACAGGATTGGTTTAATTAACAAAGCTGCTGTCAATCATTCCTGTCATTATGGTCTCCTAAGCATATATTATTGCTTCCTAGACATCACGCCGGCCACCTTTACTTCCCAGGACATTACCTGGTACCCATTTTAGGCTTGGCTGACATCGAAGCCAAATAATTTTTGTTGTTTTTAAATTCTGACTTGGGGCAGATTTGAACCTAACACCCTCGGCCAAAAGGTAAGCACTTACATGTTACACCCAGTGTCTGATATATAGTCACTTGTGTGTATACATTTGATGAGCTCATTGTTAATTTACATTGTGTTTTGTGTTGCATTTACAGGGAAAGAAATGGTGAGTGTTTGGGCAACTTGATGATTGCTGGCTCGGAGCTGGACATTCCAGAATCTCAGTGCTTTAATGAAGGGAGAGGATGTTCTCTCACGTTCACTAGAGACCCCAGGTAGGCAAATGTGTTCTCATTTCTGTTAGTCTGTGCGGTTGTTAGCTTACATTTATATTTATGTCTATTTCTGCATTTGTCTGGCATTTTTTGTGCATATATTTTCATCATGCTTGGTGTGAGAGAGAGAGAGAGAGAGAATGTAAACTGTGTACATACATAGTGTGGCTGGCACAATTCCATATGCCCAGATAATAGTGTTGCACTGTGCTGTAGGGAAGCATGCAGATCACAGCCATGGAATCTCATGCACTTGTTCTGGAAGATTCTTCTTAATGTGAGCAGGCCTTGCTAGTCAGACTCCTCATTACCACAGGCTGTGGTTTCCCTCTCTCCCTTTAGCACATCAGTTTGCAACCTGTGGGTCGCGACTGTTTTTGTTTTGTTTTGGGGTCAAATGACCCTTTCACAGGGGTCACCTAAGACCATTAAAAAACACATATTCACTGAAGTAATGAAGTAGCAACGAAAATAATTGTATGGTTGAGGGTCAGCACAACACGAGGAACTGTATTCAAGGGTCCCAGCATTCAGAAGGTTCAGAACCCCGGCTCTAACACAATAAAATGCTGTCTTCTAGAAAGATGGAAAAGTGCCAACAGATTTTAGGAAAGAGTTTGGAGGCATTGTGCTTTCTGAGATAAAAAGAGATTCAGTAGGTGACATGTGCAAGTGCACGCAGTGTATACACAGACACACACTTAGATAATAACCTAAAATTGAGAATTAGTGTTATTCTTGTGTCGTTAAATATCAGCATGTACTTTAGCTAAATGAAACACATATGAACTATCCTGTTTCCCTCCATCTTCAAGCCAATCAGGGACACCGCTAGATACTGTCGGACTGGTGACAAATGACATGGTTGTTATCAGCAGTGAAGATGGCCGCTACATTGCTCTAGCAACCGGCTTCGTGCGGAGAATATCACATCATGTGGTTGAGGTTGTCGTAGACAGGTCAGTAATGTTTCACTTGCTTCTGATTGTCCATGATTCACTTCCATATATCAACTGCAGTGGTGGCCAAAAGTTTAAAACCACCTAGTAAATTGTTGACAATTCCACTCTGTTATGTATTCCATCAGCTTGGGCAAGAAAAAGACAGGCAAACTTTTAATCAGGTTACAATTAGCACCATCGGTATGGGAATTCTTCATTGGCTACTGAGGAGGGGGAACGGAGCACATAAGCAATGACTTGAGTACCGCAGTGTTAGTTCTTGATTGATTATTTCACTGCATCAGCTGCTGTGTTGGGGCAGAAGGATGACCCAGTGATTGCCTTTAGTGGACCCTAAATTAGCAGTGGTTGTAATTCTCCAGAACTGGAAAAAATCAGTTTTTTTACGAGGTGATTTTAAACCTGTGGCCACCATTTTTGTGTCTGTATATTCTAAATTCCTGTGTGCTGCAATCTGTATTATTGCAGAAATAATCTCCACAATACAAGCACTTTTCTTAACCTGAGATATCTGTATATACATTCATAGCTATAATTTGTTTTGTTTTTTGCAGAGATTATCTCCACGACACAAGCGCCTTTGCTAACCTAAGATTCCGGCTGGACAAGAATGATAGTTTCAGTACTTCTGGTTATCTGTGCACTAACTTGTCCAGATTGATGGAATCAAATCCCCGAGCGTGAGTCATTTTGGTTTTGTGGTGCGGGTTTTCTCCTGTTGCTAATTCTTGATGATAAATGAGCTCTTAACACGGACAAGAAATAAGTTTGTCTCTCTCCCCACTTAGGTTCCGGGGTTCCCATTAGGGGGGGGGGAGGAGAAGGGTAGACCCACTGGCCCCTGATAAGCATGTTGTAGTTTGAAGAAATTGGATGTGTTGGGCTGAAAGGTGTAGATGTTGCAGCCAATCTGTAAACCACAATACAGTGTGCCAAATGCCATATTAAGGGAAAATGCAGAGAAAAAAAAGAGGAGGTTACCTCCAATGAAAAGAATGGGAGTCAAATATAATACGATTTACTTAGACATCGACGTTGACCCTTCTCTGTATAATACAGTGATGACCCTTCCCTGTATAATACAGTGATGATCCTTCCATGCATAATACAGTGATGATTCTTTCCTGCAAAATACAGTGATAATCCTTCCCTGCAAAATACAGTGATGATCCTTCCCTGCAAAGTACAGTGATGATCTTTCCCTGCAAAATACAGTGATAATCCTTCCCTGCAAAATATTAGTGATGAGCCTTCCCTGCGAAATACAGTGATGATCCTTCCCTGCAAAATACAGTGATGAGCCTTCCCTGCGAAATACAGTGATGATCCTTCCCTGCAAAATACAGTGATGATCCTTCCCTGCAAAGTACAGTGATGATCTTTCCCTGCTAAATACAGTGATAATCCTTCCCTGCAAAGTACAGTGATGATCCTTCCCTGTATAATACAGTGATGATCCTTCCCTGTATAATACAGTGATAATCCTTTCCTGTATAATACAGTGAAAATCCTTCCCTGCAAAATACAGTGATGATCCTTCCCTGCAAAATACAGTGATGATCCTTCCCTGTATAATACAGTGATGATCCTTCCCTGTAGAATACAGAGATAATCCTTCCCTGTATAATACAGTGATGATCCTTCCCTGCAAAATACAGAGATAATCCTTTCCTGTATAATACAGTGAAAATCCTTCCCTGCAAAATACAGTGATGAGCCTTCCCTGCGAAATACAGTGATGACCCTTCCCTGCAAAATACAGTGATGAGCCTTCCCTGCGAAATACAGTGATGATCCTTCCCTGCATAATACAGTGATGATCCTTCCCTGCAAAATACAGTGATGAGCCTTCCCTGCGAAATACAGTGATGATCCTTCCCTGCAAAATACAGTGATGAGCCTTCCCTGCGAAATACAGTGATGATCCTTCCCTGCATAATACAGTGATGATCCTGCTTTGCATAATACATTGATGACCATTACTGCATGTCTGCCTACTTACTGTCTTGTCTCTACTTCATCTATCTGTCAGTTGTCATATTTGTCTGTCTGTCCAGCAGTCCATCTATCTCTGGGTTTACTTCACTATCTTATTTCTATCTTTTTGTGTGTGTAAGGGTGGAGATTAACACAAGTGACAATCTCTGTGAAATATTTGGGTTTTTATAGTTTTGGATGAAAAACATGATATGTCTTTATGTGAGTGTGGTCAGAACTGACAATCTGTATTTTTTCTCCAACAGAACATATTTACGTGATCTAATCATCAAGTTAAGGCCTCCTGAGTTTGAACTTCAGTTCTCAAAGTCAAATTTTCAGAAAGGTTAGTGGCATACAGTAATATATCAACACTCCCCCCCTCCCCTTTTCCCTGTCCTTTTTATGTTGTTTCCATTAAATATTTTACACAGATTATCATAATCATACAGTCGGAAATCAGGTGGCAATGAAGAGCCAGACATGGAGAGCTATGACCTCTGACCTATGTGCCACCTTAGGCTCAAGAGGAAAGGCTAACTAACTGATTATAATCATGTAGCTTGTTCATTAAAGGACTTTACCCCCATGAGCATAAGCTAAAAAGACTCTGTCGCTTACCAATTCCCCTACCTCATATTGTTTTAATATGAATTTAGGGGCAAAGGGTTAGAGATGCCAAGCAATCATAATATGAGACACATGACTTACCGTCCATTTGGTGTGGAGGTGATCCATAATTCTGATGAGTTTGTTGGGATGGTAAAACATGTCTGTCTATGCTTACTAACATGGCACAGGCCGATAATGACTAGCTTCAGCTTAGCTGATTTTTCTTGCTCCTAGTATTTACGGGCTGTAAACTCCTGTGGAAAGTTCTGGTTGTTTGTCCACTTCTGAGCTTCGAGCTTGTTCCACAACTTGAGTTTTGTGTGCACATCTGTTTTAGAGATCTGGTTTATTTGTATGCAGACTGTTTGTTTCTCACCTCTCATGCAGAAGCGCTTCAATGGAGACAGCCCTAATTGTCACCTTTTATTACATGCTTATTGGGGCAGTGGATACCTGCCCACTGCGGCCTGCCTCAGAACCCACACACAGAGTTCCTCTAGATTTAGTTTGCTACCACTTGTATCCACTCTATTGTCATTGCCTCATTAAATGTGCAGAAGGGACAGCAACATTACCATCCTGCACGTGCACACTCTGATTATTTTAACTCTCACTGCTAGATAGTGATTGTTACTTTAACTCCTTTACTACTAGGTGGTGATTATTTCAATCATGACCCACTGTTATATTGTTTTCAACCAGCCATTGATTGAATCAGAGTTAATAAATTTCCACCTTCACATTTCAGTGGCTGGAGTACTCAAACCTCTCAATAAGCAACAGAGGAGAGCCATACTGAAGGTGAGTAGCGACCATTTTCTAGTATCACATTGTGAGTGGTGAATGTGTTATAACTTCACATCTGTTGTGCTGAAGGTGAGTGGTGAGTGTATTATAACTTCACATCTGGTCTCAAACCTCTCAATAAGCAACAGAAGAGAGCCATACTGCAGGTGAGTAGGGACCATAATATAGTATCACATTGTGTTATGCTGAAGGTGAGTAGGGACCATAATATAGTATCACATTGTGTTATGCTGAAGGTGAGTAGGGACCATAATATAGTATCACATTGTGTTATGCTGAAGGTGAGTAGGGACCATAATATAGTATCACATTGTGTTATGCTGAAGGTGAGTAGGGACCATAATATAGTATCACATTGTGTTATGCTGAAGGTGAGTAGGGACCATAATATAGTATCACATCTGTTATGCTGAAGGTGAGTAGGGACCATAATATAGTATCACATCTGTTATGCTGAAGGTGAGTGGTAAATGTATTATAACTTCACATTCTGTTATACTAAGTCTGGGTGGAAAATATTATAGTGTCACACTGAGTTATGAGTTAGATTATCTTCACAGCACTTCAGACACATCCATAGACGCTCAGATTCCCCTCAACATATTCATCAGCGTCGAGCGGTTAATAGTGCCATTCCTAGTGTCACACTGTTAATACACGCTGAAGGTGACAACTTGTGACCTTCTCTGTGTATTCACTCTTCCAAGTTCATTCACATCTCCCATATCTTCTTCGCTTTCCTGATACAGTAGAACTCTATTATTTGTCGATGCCAATATTCGTCTTTGTTGCAATCCATCCTGTATTTTATTCCTTTGAAATCTTAGATTTTTACCCGAAAAGTCAATCCCTCCTCTGATGCAACCGGCAAGGAGGCTTATGGAATGAAGGTTACAACAGTGAATATAAGGAATATAAGGAATATAACTCTAAACTGCACTCTGTTTATAAGAGTGATGTTTTCCTGGCAGCTTAGAATTCTCATACATGCTACAATTGTGTTCAAATATTCAACAGGTTCTGATGTGCAAGGACTATGTACTCATTAAAGGCTTTCCTGGAACAGGTTTGTGTAACTTTTTATATTACAAGCTTTTAAAAAAAGGGGATGGGGAGTACATTTTGATCAACAGGTTTATCCCATCTCCAGGAAGGCTAACACAGGAAACTGATGCCTAAAGAAGTCAGATTAACAGGCACATTTCTCAGTACCTGTTTGGGTACATGTCACGAATGTCACCCCATCTGGTGGTGTGGCCATTTCCACGGGTGTTCCTATGTTATAGGAGTGTTGTCAATCTTCTCTGTTGTTAGATTGTGTTACTTGCAAGACAGTTCATGAGTAACGAAACTGGGATGCTTTTGTATTCCTATGTTCCTTTGCAGTGGTTTCTTTTTCTGAGGGAGGGGGACACAGCCTACAGCCAAAGAACGTAGAAATAAAAAAACCATCCCAGTTCCAAAACTCATGTGCAGTGCAGTATGCCTTACTTGTGCACAGGCACCTGAAACTGACTCATGACAACACAACCTCCCACAAACATTTGCAGCGAACGAAGCTGTCTCGTTACACCACCACAACAAAGGGTAGCCACAACATGAATGGTAAACACACAAAATATCGCGCCGACAAAATAAGATGACATTCATGCCCTGTACCTCTGTTTGTAACTGGGACACATAAAGCAAGCAAAGACTGGAGACACTGCACCCAACCAGGCGTGCTGGAAGAACTGGCTAAGTAGGGCGGGTGAAATTGGTTTCCTCATCCCGTAGATAACTTCTGCTACAAAATCTAACCAATCATGAACCAGTTGTTAAAAGGGTGTAAGCATGGAGATAACGTATAAAAGAAGACATTAATCAAACTATTTGCCATAAAGGCTAACCCAAGCAACAAATGCCTGCAGAAGTCTAATGTGACGGCCGAAAGATGCAAATATCGCGGCCTTGTAAACACGCACATTTTCATCTTTGGAAAAACGTATAAGAAGAAGAAGAAGATGCTATCTCTGGAACTCTAATTGTAATGTAGGTTGTTTTTATCTAACTTATTCTGGCCCCACATGTGATACTTATCTTCTTTATTATTGGCACCTTCCTAGATGATAGTGTAATGCTGTAGCATGGGAAGGTTTGGCAAAGGCCGGTGACTGGCAAGACCGGCTCAGCCATAGCACAAAACCTGGGCTGTATTTTAGACACTGTGTGTTGCCCATGCATCATGTTCTATCTCTTAGCCTGCCTTGTTTACTCCAAAGGAAAGGTAAAACCAGTGCATTTGGAACAAAGCATGCTCAAAAAGCAGTGCTGCCTGTCAAGAGTTTACTTTTTGGACAACTACCAAACGGCTCCTGTAGTGTTAAGATTTTAGGTTGCATTTCTTCTTCCTTGTTATCTTGTGTAATGTCATGACAGTTGCAGGGGAAATGATTTGTCTGGTTTATTCTCTGGACCTTTGCAGGAAAGACAGCAACCATTGTGGCGCTGGTGAAAATCTTGCACCTGATTGGTCAGTCAGTTCTGTTGACCAGTTACACCCATTCTGCGGTGGACAATATTTTACTGAAGTTAAAAGAGGTGAATGGCAATCATTATAGTGTGCTACATGTTGGTGTGTATGTATTTACGGGACTACTGCTAACCCTTTTTGTCCATCTGTTGTATTCTGCCTTTTCTCCTATTCTACATTTCCACAAGCTTTGTCTTGTTTTTTTTTTTTTTTTTAATTAATTCTTATGTTGTAATTTTTTTAATCTTTCTTCTCTCTCTCTCTCTCTCTCTCTCTCTCTCTCTCTCTCTCTCTCTCTCTCTCTCTCTCTCTCTCTCTCTCTCTCTCTCTCTCTCTCTCTCTCTCTCTCTCTCTCTCTCTCTCTCTCTCTCTCTCTCTCTCTCTCTCTTTCTTTCTTTCTTTCTTTCTTTCTTTCTTTCTTTCTTTCTTTTGTTGTTGTTGTTGGTTAATCTTCTTCTTCCTCTGCTGCTTCTGTCTCACCCTCCCTTCTGATCTTCTTACCGTCACTACAGACATGAAACTAATAAAATGAATGACACCAGCTATTGTCGTTCCCCAAGCTGGATGAGAAAGGAGGAGGCTTGGGCATGGGGGCCAGCTTCCCCACTCTGTAGTAAAGAGAAATTATTTGCTACAGAAACTTGCAGGGAAGGATGCCATGCTGGTAAACAAAATAGAGGAATTGAGATATAAGGACGTCTAAAAGAAGCTCTAAACGAACATTGATGAGAGAGGCCGAAGCTGCTGGGCTGGATTCCATGCATGATGTTGAAGAGATCACACAGGATTGAATGGAATGGAGGAATAGACTGTGAGCCCTATGTGACATAATAAAACGATATGATAATGATGATGATGATACCAGCAGTGTTCTTGAGATTAGTACTATCTTCATCAAGCTTACCCTCAAATGAAACAGACGTGATCCAGAAGCATTTTATTTCTTCGTTTGTCTAGTACTTGAGCATGTTTACATGGTCAGCTATTATTTTTTTAATAGTATAGTCAGATTTATCTGGGTGTTTTTTTTTTCAACTTCATTCACTTGAAAAAAAAATCAGTTTAATTTCTTTTAACTTTTTAACTTTTCTGTTTTCACCATAGTAAATATATTTGTGCTTAGTAAATTAATATCAGTGTTTCTCTGTTGATGCTTTCAGAGTGACATCCCATTTCTACGGCTTGGTAGGAGAGGTCGCATCCACCCATTAATTCTTCCACATTCTGCCGAGGTTCTGACTTCATCGACAGCTATTAACACTGTGCAGGAGTTGAAGAAGTTTTACAATTCTTATGTAAGTTATCTCTTATGTATTGTTTTAGGATTCTTATGAAAGTTGTCACTAATTTTATGGTTTATTATATGGAATTGTACTGAATGTTTTATTTTTTTTTATTTTTATTTTATAATATTCTTAGGTATGCATAAGTTAATAAATATTTATCTTTTTTTCATTGTATTATAACATTGTCACTTAAACTTAATAGTTGTACTCAGATATGACTGTCTTCTCTTTATCCCTCATGAAAATAAAGACCCCTAACTGCTTAATGCCAAATCTTCATCAATTGCCCCCTCCTACAGCTCCCTCCGTGACCTCCCAATAATGTTCATCTGTCTCAGAAACTACATCTCTGCTGCCTTCCTCCTCTTCTTAACTCATGTTTTAATTCATGCCATCAGGAGAACAGGTCCCTCTCTTTCTGTTCAGCGGAAGTGACTAATCACATAAAATACTTCTAATTTTCCAAATGCATATTTATAGATAACACCCCTTGGTGGATGTGGAAGACCAGTGAAAGCCACCATATTCTTTCCAAGTTTTTATGAATCAAAGCAAATTATTTGCAGAAAAATGTTAACCCTTTTTTTGCCTGAAGACACCACTAATCCTGCACACCGTCCGTTACAAATCCTAGAGAAGATGTTAAATCAGCATTGGTCAGTCCACTAGTTAAGATGTTAGTTCTGTTTGCACCTACACAGCGTTTAGGAGAGCCAGATATGATTATATTTACTAAAAGTAGCATTTGGGGTTATTGTGGAAAAACAAACATTTTATTTGTAAAGCCATTATAAAACCATAATTCCCTTTCAGCAGTAGCATAAGTGACCGAATTCGGAGGATGAGTCTCTGTGTACATTTTTTCAGGCCCAAGGACAATTATTCATTTTATTTTGTGCTTTATTCATGTTTATTGTACTTTATTTCTAAAAATAATTTTTTTTTTAATATATATAATTTTCTGAAAAAATATTAGTGACCTCTGTGACCTTGTTTTTTAATTTTTTATTCTTAATAAATTTTTGTTTTTAAAGTGTTTTTCACCAAATCAGTCCCTTGTTAAGAGCCTTTTTTCTTCAAGGGTTCCTTGGTTAAGAAACACATGGAAATAAGAAGTGATTGATTTGACAATTCCAGGATGTTGTAGCTACAAGTGCTCTAGGAGTGAACCATCCGATGTTCAAACAGAGACAGTTTGACTTGTGTATCGTGGATGAGGCATCTCAAGTTTTGCAACCAGCATGTTTGGGACCCCTGTTTCACTGTCGCAAGTTCGTCTTGGTTGGCGACCCAAAACAGTTGCCTCCAGTGGTGCAGAGTAGAGCTGCCAGGTACTGCTTTCTTTCATCATATTATTGCTGCTGCCTTCAGTCTTTAATCTTTCTTTCTTTGTACATTCTCTCTTATTTCTTTTGTAGTCTATTCCCTCCTTCTGTTATTTATGGATCTCTTAAATTTCATCTGTCTGTCTTATTCCTTTCTTCTCGCTTCGTTCTGCTTGTCTCTTTTTGTGCCTGCATACTTAATTCCTCCTTATTTTATTCCTTATCCTTCTCTGTCTGTGTGTCTGTCTCTCTTTCTCTCTGTCTCTCTCTCCCCCTCCCTCCCCCCCCCCCTCTCATTTTGTCTCTGTGTTTGTAAAAAAAAAATGCTAACACTTTTCCCATTGTTATCTTGTTCTGTTTTTCTCTCGGTGCTAAAAATCTTTGAATCCCATTGTTTATCTTGTTCCGTTTTTCTCTCAATGCTAGAAATCTTTGAATCCCATTGTTTATCTTGTTCCGTTTTTCTCTCAATGCTAGAAATCTTCGAATCCCATTGTTTATCTTGTTCTGTTTTCTTTCAATGCTAGAAATCTTCGAATCCCTTTGTTTATCTTGTTCTGTTTTCTTTCAATGCTAGAAATCTTCGAATCCCATTGTTTATCTTGTTCTGTTTTCTTTCAATGCTAGAAATCTTCGAATCCCATTGTTTATCTTGTTCTGTTTTTCTCTAAATGCTAGAAATCTTCTAATCCCTTTGTTTATCTTGTTCTGTTTTCTTTCAATGCTAGAAATCTTCGAATCCCATTGTTTATCTTGTTCTGTTTTTCTCTCAATGCTAGAAATCTTCAAATCCCTTTGTTTATCTTGTTCTGTTTTCTTTCAATGCTAGAAATCTTCTAATCCCATTGTTTATCTTGTTCTGTTTTCTCTCAATGCTAGAAATCTTCGAATCCCATTGTTTATCTTGTTCTGTTTTTCTCTCAATGCTAGAAATCTTCGAATCCCATTGTTTATCTTGTTCCGTTTTTCTCTCAATGCTAGAAATCTTCGAATCCCATTGTTTATCTTGTTCTGTTTTCTCTCAATGCTAGAAATCTTCGAATCCCATTGTTTATCTTGTTCTGTTTTCTTTCAATGCTAGAAATCTTCGAATCCCATTGTTTATCTTGTTCTGTTTTTCTCTCAATGCTAGAAATCTTCTAATCCCTTTGTTTATCTTGTTCTGTTTTCTTTCAATGCTAGAAATCTTCGAATCCCATTGTTTATCTTGTTCTGTTTTTCTCTCAATGCTAGAAATCTTCGAATCCCTTTGTTTATCTTGTTCTGTTTTCTTTTAATGCTAGAAATCTTCTAATCCCATTGTTTATCTTGTTCTGTTTTCTCTCAATGCTAGAAATCTTCGAATCCCATTGTTTATCTTGTTCTGTTTTTCTCTCAATGCTAGAAATCTTCGAATCCCATTGTTTATCTTGTTCCGTTTTTCTCTCAATGCTAGAAATCTTCGAATGGATGAAAGTTTATTTGCCAGACTAGATGACACTGGCGCCACCTATGACCTGTGCCTACAGTACCGAATGAATAGGTTCGTAACATTGAAGATCTTTGTATGTCTTTATGTGTGTCACACATGTTGGCCATAATGGAAGCAAAGAATAGGAACATTTGTGTGTGTTGATGGTGAATTGATGTATGACAAGCTTGATGTTGTGAGGGCCCTTTGGGAGCTAGTAAACAGTGCAGAGGCATAAATAGATCATTACAGTCTAAGGAGAATGGCACTGCAGGGAGTTACCAGGGGGTCTGGCCGGCACTCAGTACTCAAGGGAAAGGCGAGACGGATATACAGTCAGTTACTGGTACTATTGGAATTCAGACTCTTTACTTGCTGCTGAAGATTGGTACAGAGCTCTTATGGAAGTGTCCTTAGTGCTATGATGGCAATTCTTAATTCAACATTTTGGTTTATGTGTGTACATTTTGGGGGGGGGGGGGGGGTTGTGTTTCGGGCATCTTCATCATGTGCTGTGCTGATAAGCATAGGCTGTCATGTTTGCCATCTCACACAATCACCAGAATCACAGATCAGGTCAGTGTCCTTGTATTGCCCCTTTCATATGGCTAAGCGATCCAGGCATTTGTTTCTCTGCCTTTCCCTTGCTCTCTTTCCATTGATCTTACCAGTCGTTACCAAGTTTTTGAGTTCATTCCTAGGAACAAAAATCAGAGACTGTCACATCTCATTTCTCTGATCACACAGGCATTTTACAGCTACACTTTTTTAAAAATGTGATAGAGTAGTCAGTCCCTTGGCCAACCGTTGTTAGTCTCTCATATGACATGCTTGGTAGAAGATAGATAATGATCAAATTGTTTTGCTTTATTCCCGCATAATTTGTGTCTATCTTCAGAGTGATCATGGAACTGAGCAACTCTCTTGTGTATGAGGGTAAACTTCAGTGTGGCAGCTCTTCTGTAGCAGAACAGTGTTGTCACTTCAATGAATCTGCTATTCTGGTAATGATTTTGTTATTAAATAATCTTGTCCTTTGCCTATCTGCAGTCCAAAACTTTATTTATTTTGTATAGTGTTGTTTCCTGTTACCCCACACCCCCACTTTCTTTTTCTGTTTATTCCTTCTGCTTTTTTTTTAATGACTGCAGCCAAGTGTCTATAAATAATGATGTTAGTAATTGCCAGGGATGTGTATATATACTGCATATTCAGAAAATGGTGGGTGGCTGGTTGCTACAGAATTGGTGGAGCGACTAGTGAAGTAATATATGTGCACCTGCTGGTTTGTTGTGACTGATTCTTCCATCAACTATGAATACCTGTTCTAATGACAGACTGCAGGTGTTGGCACCTCTGGCAGCTACCTTATAGATTCAATAAGTGTGTGATTTGTTGAATTTTGCCAGGACTGTTTGACTTTTCAAATGGAAAGTGATGGATATTCTGTGTGATTGTCACTGGTACAGGAATGGAGCAATAACAGAGTAACCTGTTTGTGATGGAGTTGAACCCTGACTGATAGCTTGATATGGCAAGGATCAGTTGCTGGAGTTGTGCCATGATTTGATTTTGTATCAACCACTCTAAATGGTGGACCATCCAGGCATGGAAGAACTTCTGCAGACAGTGGTCCCGGTTCAGTGTCCAACAGAGACAGGATCGCATGTCCCTCCCAGTACATCTCTGGGCCCAGCCCAGCCTCAGAGGAAGGATTCCCTGTATGGGTTCTAGGTTCCCATTTTGGGGGGGGGGGAAAAGAATAGACCCACTCCTCCTCCCCTCTCTCTTCTAGTATGTCATAAACGGTGATTAATTAGAGGTGTTTCCTTCTAAATCAAAGAACATCTGCCTGAGAGGAAAAGAACCATACAAATAAGCCAGACCTGTCAAATAGAGATGTTCTCAAAACTCAAGTTCTTGAATATTTCAAAAGTCTGGAAGCGGGCGAACAACAAACTTTCTGCCAGAGTTTACAGCCGGTGAATGCTAAGAAAAATAATAAAATGGACTCAGTTTTTCTGGTGTCTAGAATGGAAAGGAAGCGAGAAGGGAACGGGCCATTATCCCGTAGTCTAGAATATGTGAAAGCCTAATACTTCAGGCCTCACTTTCAGCTTTTGCTACATGATTACCTGAATAATGGTTCGGACATGTGCGCAGAATGGGAGAAAATCGGTCACCATGGGAAGCTAAGAACTAGGGAACCAGACCTCCAGGGCAACCCAGGGTCCACTGGGAAGACAGCATCCAACTGTCCCTGACTGACAGAGGAGTGGAATGGAACAAAGCCAGAAAGAATACTGCTAATAGAGTATCATATTGTATCATATGTTTTCCCCTCAAAAGATGTCCTAAACATAATTGTTTATGCATGAAATATTTTCTGTCTAGAACTGTCCCTCATGGATGAAGAATGCCTTAAGCTGCAGTTTAGAGAGGTCCGTTGTGTTTGTGGACACTGGGAAGGTAAGCAGACCATTCACCTCTAGAGATAACTTGAGAACAGCACAGTCTTACCTGTGGTCAGTGTTGTGTTTGTGGACACTGGGAAGGTAAGTGGACCATTCACCTCTAGAGATAACTTGAGAACAGCACAGTCTAACCTGTGATCATTGTCATGGACTCAAAGAGCTTGCTTTAGAAAATAGAAACTGGCGCACTATGCGTAGAGTGGCTTGCGCCCGCTTCATAAGATCCTGATCAGGAGTAAATTGTGGGTTTTCTGTCCAGGATATTTTGTTGTGCAGGGTAATGAGCAGGCTGATAGATTGGCTGCTGCTATTCCACTGGGTGGTGAGCTATGTTATGATAAAGTGGAAGTGGTGAAGGCTCACTGGGATCAGGTGGACAGAGCAGCAGAACAGAGTATCCATACATTGACAAATTCAGCGGGGGTAAACAGGGGTCAGGAAGATATTCAACACTGCAGGGAAAACATAGACAGACTTTTAATTTGGTTGCAACCGGTACAAAACATAGACAGACTAGCTAACCAGTACTGTTAGCATATCGACTCTCTGTTGGTTACTGAGGTAGGAAAGGGAGCATGCGTAGGAATGTCCCGAGTGCAGGGATGTCAGTTCTTGATTCATTCATTCATTACCTCTAGAGATTGTAGTAATTGTTTCAACTTGTTTGATACTGTCCTGTCATCTGTGTCATGGTTTGAGAGACAGGGGGCAAGGTCAGAGCATGTGTGTATAAAGGTCAGTCGACTTGCCCTGACACATGTACTTAATTTTGCTTGCTCATACTCTCTCATACGCATGTGTGTGTATTTAGGTATGTATGCAAGTATGTAAAGATGTAGGTGTATGTATAGATGTGTGTATGTATGTATGTAAGTGTAAGTATGTGGGTGTTTGCAAGTATGTATGTATGTGTGTAAAGATGTAGGTGTATGTATAGATGTGTGTATGTATGTGGGTATCTGTATAGGAGTTGTATTTAGGTATGTAAGCAAATATATATGTATGTGTGTAAGGATGTAGGTGTATGTATAGATGTGTGTATGTATGTGGGTATCTGTATAGGTGGCTGTATATATGTGTGTAAGTACGTAATGTGTGTGGGCATGTATGTGGGTGTATGTTTGCATGTATGTGTGTATGTATGCATGTTTGTAGATGTATCAATGCAATTGTAGCAGTAAAAGTATGTGGGTGTATGTGTGTGTATTTAGGTATGTATGCATGTTTGTGTAGGTGTATGTATAGATGTGTGTATGTATGTGAGTGTAAGTATGTGGGTGTATGTATGTGTGTAAAGATGTAGGTGTATGTATAGATGTGTGTATGTATGCATGTATGTGTATGTATGCATGCTTGTGAGTGTAAATGTGTGGTTGTGGACGTATGTGGGTGTCTGTACATGTGATTGTATGTGTGTGTGTATGCATGCATGTGTAGGTGTGTATGCATGCATGCATGTGTAGGTGTGTATGCATGCATGCATGTGTAGGTGTGTATGTATGGAATGAATGTGTGTGTGCATTTATGTCAATATGTACGGGCTGGGCTAGTGGATAATCAGGAATCCCTGACACTGGCACGATTGCTTGACATGGGAGTTAAGCATGGTGATGCTCGTCTTTGCCGTCTTCGGGGCCGAGAAAGGAGACGATATAACCAGCTTCTCATGGGGACAATTAGTAGAAGTACTTTGGAGTGGCTGCTGCTTCGGAGAACTGAGCACGCATGGGTATGCCCAATGTGCAGTGACATCAAGTGTGATAACAAAACATAAAATAACATCTTGTAGGGAGTCGGCAGTCCAAAACTCAAGTTCAAGGTGTCTCCTTCGTGCCCAAGGACTGCATGGCTGTTGGGTGAACAGTCGTTAACGAAAGCAGGCAGGTCATTGTGCATGTATGAGAGTGTAAGTATGTGAGTATATATATGTGTTCGTGAGTGTGTAAGACTGTGTACACATGATGTGTGTATGCATTATTCTATAATGCATATTTCTTTATTATATTCATAACATGCATTATTGATAATAGGCATTGGTACTCTGAAAAATGAGTGCTTAGAAGGGCTGAATGTCAGACGAGCCTGCGTGCCCAATTTGTAACCCTTTGAAAATAAAGTTTGTTTGTTCGTTCGTTCGTTCGTTCCCCTACTTCCTGAGCTTGAAGGATACTAGCTTTTGAAAGAGATGTTTTATAGTTCATTGTTATTGATGCAACACTTGAAGCACATTAACTCTGTAATTCACGGCAATGATAACAGACTATCAGAATGTCTTCATAGTTCACACAGAGAAGCCTAAGTTTATCTGAAGAGTGCTCTATCACCATTATATCTATTATCCTACCATTGCCACATTATTGTAAATAAAACAACTTATTATCTGACTATATCTAACACTTAACACTATCTAGCTGTTGGGTTATATCTGTTATATTATATCTGTGGGTGTCAAAACATGTCGCCTCCATCTTCTTTTGTTTCTTCCCTTGAATGACAAGTTAATCATTTGTCTCGGCTCATTTACATATTGTGTATCACGTGCTGTTTACGGTTCCTGTGCTCCCATCATGGCCTTGCCAGGTCGTGACCTTCAACCTCAGAACGGGATATGACAATATGCTTCTTTATAAAGATCTGTATGAGGTTGTTCAGCTGTTTGTTTGCAGTTGGGGGATGCAGGGAGATGACATGTCTGCTTGTGCTTCTTTGTTTAGTCTCTGATGAGATGTGAAAAGTTACCCCAAAAAAGTTGTTGGTCCGTTTGTGTCAAAAGTATGATTGTCATCCTTGGGTTGATTCATCACGGAGTTGGGATATGGAGATGCATCACCACATGTGGTGGTGGTGATACACCAAAAGCACGTCTCACAATATTATTTTAAGAATTGACATCAAAGCACTCTGGAAACTCCCATAAGTGCTCTGTCTCCATCTTTAGCAGCATGGGACAAAAATCAAATTCCGATGGCACCAGTGAATGACTAATTAATGCCTTTTCCTTGAGTGTTAAGCAGCGGCCAGATCCCCAGGTAACTCCTCGCAGTGCCATTCTCCTCAGACCATAAGGATCTTTCTGCCTCCACACTGTTCGTGGCTCCCAAAGGGCCCTCACAACATCTAGCTTGTCAAACATCAGTTGACCACCAAGTGATGAAGAATCAGCCGGCTCGTTTGCCAACACACCGGCGTCACCTGGAGAAAATATCCAAACAATTCTAACTACCAGGGACCTCTGAAGTGATGCGAGGCTGACACTGATCAAGATCTATTTACACCTCTCCGTGGTCATCTTAGTTAGGGGCAATATCAGTGGGAGGACAACATCAAGAGATGGACAAACAGCAGTCTAAGAGAGTAAACAACCAGGATGAGATACAATGTGTTGGAGATCCATTACAGACAACATTCATTGAGAAGACAGACCTGTGTGATTTGTTGAGAATAAATTGAACTGTCTAGAATTGCCCAGCAGTGATTTGATTTGATATTAATGTATTCATAAATGTCATGTTCAGGTTTCCTGTGCCGAGACCTCTGATGGCAAAGGCATCACAAATGTGACTGAAGCAGAGCTGGTTGTGTCTCTGGTGAGAACACTTATCAAGGTAACCAACATTCATCATCAACTGTCTTAGGCAGTCATGCCTCTCTGCATCTTGTGGTCTCCACCAGCTTGTAGCAGCTAATGCACTGACACCTTTCCTTTCTACAGGGTGTCCCGTACATTTCCATATGTAGGAACAAAAAAATAAACATACCACCAATGCCATTACACAGATAACTCCAGCTTGCTTATACGTGTTCCTTGCAGTGGAGGATACATATCAAAATGTTTTCAATACAGTTGTAGTCATATAGAGCATGTATCAACAAAAAGGGTTTTCACTTTAAATAATGTTTACTTTTTCCTATGTATAGAAACTTATGAGACACCTTGTATTTTATTTTTTGTTAAAGTCATGCACAAAACTTCCCAGCGTCTTTCTCTATCTATTTTTCCTATAGGCTTATCAGTTGTTCTCTGCCACAAGATGCGGCAGCCTAATAATTTTAAGACTGCGCAAATACAGGACATCTTTTTGTAGCATATGGGGCCCTCAAACTAGAAAATGGTTGGTTGTCAATTCTCATGGTGACTAATGCCTTCAGAATTAATGAATGAAACAGTTAACTTAATTTTCATTGGATCATGAATTGGATACACAATATATATATGCTATAAATATAAAGGTCATGGATTTGAATCACAGATTGCATTGTTCCAACCATGAGTTCATTTGTTTATGTGTGGAGATCCATTGCTGGAGCTGTGGAATTTGTGCTGTGTGCAGTGCTCTAGACAGCTGGTCGGTCGTTCTCCAGAAAGAGACCAAGCTATATTGATTTAAACCCTGTACAGTGAATTCAAGAAAAATGAAGAATTAAGAGAATTGCCTGGACGACCACTGGTGTCAATAGTTGTAAGACAGAGATAGCACTATATTGGATGCATTGTGAGGTGGTTTCTATAGTTATAACGTAAAGATAGCATTATATTGGATGCATTGTGAGGTGATATCTTTAGTAATGAGTAAGGTAAAGATAGACCTATATTGTGTGCATTGTGAGGTGGTATCTATAGTTATAAGTAAGGTAAAGATAGACCTATATTGTGTGCATTGTGAGGTGGTATCTATAGTTATAAGTAAGGTAAAGATAGACCTATATTGTGTGCATTGTGAGGTGGTATCTATAGTTATAAGTAAGGTAAAGATAGACCTATATTGTGTGCATTGTGAGGTGGTATCTTTAGTTATAAGTAAGGTAAAGATAGACCTATATTGTGTGCATTGTGAGGTGGTATCTATAGTTATGAGAAAGAGACAGCACTATATTGGACACATCCTGAAGTGGTATCTGTAGCTAAAAGACAAAGATATCACTATATTGGATGCATTGTAAGACAGAGATAGCTCTATATTGGACACATCCTGAGGTGGTATCTGTAGCTAAAAGACAAAGATATCACTATATTGGATACATTGTAAGACAGAGATAGCTCTATATTGGACACATCCTGAGGTGAAGCAAACATAATCACTAAACAGGCTTTTAAATGGGGAAACAAATGGAGCAGACTAGGACACCCGTAAGAAACCCTAAGATGAATGCTAGTGAGAGAGGCCAGAGGTGCTGAACTGGATTCCTTCCATGATATTGAAACAATTGCACAGGATGGAGGAACAGTCTGCAAATCCTTTGTGACTCACAACAGCACTGATGATGATAATGATGGTAAATGAGGTCAGTCCTCTTAACTTAACCTTGACCTTCCTGCTGACTACTTCTCTGTCATGGACTGGAGGTTTTGTTTAAAGGTCCGACACTTCACACCCCAGTTTCAGTATCTATTGAGGGAACTGTATTTTTTTTTCTCTCTGCAGGCAAATGTCTCTGAAGATGAAATAGGAGTGATCTCCCCATACAGGTCACAGGTCAGACTGATCAAACAGAAGATTCTCGGCTGTGGTGATCTGCTGAATGTTGAAGTCAACACTGTTGACCAGTATCAAGGAAGAGATAAGAGCATCATTGCTGTTTCATTTGTTCGTAGTCAGAGTGTAGGGGTAAGCAAGCAGTTACGATAGTCCAGTCTGTTGCTGTCTTTAAACTCCATATATCCTTTATTCATACTCGCTTAGCTTTTCTTGATCAAGGAGTCACTTGCCATATGCCGACCTTGTCATTGGTGAGCCCACGTCTCTTATTTTAGGAATCTAAGCCTTACAATGTGTGGTCCTCTGGCTTAGAGGTTAATGAAATGGTTTCACAACCCAATACCCAACCTCCCAGGGTCAATTTCGGTGGCAGGCATTTTAGAAAAAGACTTCTCTTAGCGTTCATGCCCACTTACGATAGGCACACTGTGGAAAAAATTAGGACCTCACCACATAATATTTCCAAAGTCAGCAAACATGTACTGCAGTTCAACCTCCACTGTGGACACGTCACAGTAAAAAAACAAAAAACTTCATTATTGTTTTAGCTAACTCACCAGGATGTTTTAGATTCTGAAAGTGTTTTAGCTAACACCAGGATGTTTTATATTCTGAAAGTGTTTTAGCTAACTCACCAGGATGTTTAATATTCTGAAAGTATTTTCGCTTCCTAGACATGAATCTGCTTATTAGCCGTTTTCTTCAGTGTTAAGTTCCTGTATTTTATAAATCAGGGAGGTGCTGTGGTGTAGTGGCTAGATGCTTGCCTGCAGATCAGAAGGTTGTGGTCTCAGGTCCTAACGCAGCCAACTTTTACAATAAAATGACTTTGGCTCCCAGGTTGACTCAGGCTCAAATGGGTTCCAGGTAAGGTCCTGGGAAGTAAAGGCGGCCGGCATGATGTTGACCACATCACCCACTGAGTGCCAATTTGTCTATGAAATATTGATCTAGCCTTATATACCCAAAAAACCTAACAGGGTGAAAAAGGCTCCTTTTCTTTTCTATTTTATAAATCTACTACTGGTATCTAAAATTGGGTACTCTTGTCAAATCCGGACGAAGAATAAAAAGCCTTGGACGACTTAGTCAGAGTTCTCTCCCTTGGCCGCACTCCAAACAGTGGTTGGAAAAGCCAACGAAACAAACGACACAAGCAACATGGCAGTTAGACGCTCTCACATAACTAACATCGTTCTTCCGACGCACGACTTAGTTGCCGGGAACGACTATCGTGACTGACGCTTGGCGAGGCTACAGCAACGTGGCAAACTTACGCCATGGCATCTATCTGCACGAGGTAGTAGTCCACCAGACCAACTTCGTCGACGCCGTACACAGTCACATACACACACAAACAATTGAGGGCCTCTGGATGCTGGTCAAACGCACAATTCGCCAACGATTGGGCACCAGCCGCACACTATTGGCGTCATATTTAGCAGAATTTCAGTGGCACCACGCCCACAAACATCAGATTGTCGGCCAGTATTTCGAAACCCTACGTCAAAATTTTCACATCTAACCCTAACCCTACCCCTAACCCTACCCCTAACCCTAACCCTACCCCTAACTCTAACCCAACAACCGCATGATGACTACACAACCATTCACGATGCCTCACGCAACCGTACGCAACCCTGCACGCAACCATATGATGACCACGCATCCCTTCACGATGCCTTACGCAACCGTACGCAGCCCTACACGCAACCGTATGATGATAGGTAAGTGTGTCGTTTGTTTCGTTGGCTTTTCCGATCACTGTTCGCAGTGCGGCCAAGGGAGAGAACTCTGACTAAGTCGTCCAAGGCTTTTTATTCTTTGTCCGGATTTGACAGGAGAGCCTAAAATTGTAATATACAATCTAAAAGAGTTGAACAGGGCTTTTTATTTTTGTTTCATCACCTTCCGTCTCTTACCTTCCAAAAGAGCATAAGTACTCAAGCAACGAATGCCAAGCCGTTTGTAAACGCTAAACTGATTGTAAACACTAATCAGCTGCTAAAACTGATTGGATTTGACAACTAAAGTTTGATATGGGATGGGTAGCTAGTCTCACACCAACCCTCATTATTCGACTTAAATGACATTTATAGCAGGTTTATCATTATCACGTGCCCTGCCAACTGGCAGAGGTGCTCATGCGTCTCCACAGATCACGATCCCTGGTTGCCTGGAACAGCTCTCTTGATGATATCCCTCCATGCCATCGTTTCAGCCCATCTAGCATCATCTCTCTTTGTATAGCAGGCTGCAATGTTATTTTTCCTTGCTGCCCCTATGAGCATTCAGTAAGGCATCAGCAAATCCATTGCTGATTCTACTGATAAAGTGGTGCACCCAGCCAGTCTATCACCTATTTCCTTGCAGGGAATACCTGTATGTCTTCGGATTCTTCTTCACCTCCTCTTTTATCACTTTCTGTGTTGAGGGAGACATAAAGTTCTGCTTCTTGCTCTTCTGGCCACCAGGACCATAGATACATGGTGCTGTTGTAGAGATTCTCTGATTTTATTTTTCCATCTTGTTCCTGGTCTACCTTGTTCTCTTCATCCTTTTCCTCTTTTGATTTTGCCTTGTATGGTGTGATTGTCACAAGGCAGTCTCTTTAATGGACAGACTAACTGATTTGCTATCTTTATATCTAATTTACAATTATTCTGTGCTAATGAGAGCCACTGTGATGTAGTGGCTAGACGCTAGCTTGTGGATCGGAAGGTCATGGGTTCAGGTCCTGGCAGAACCCAACTGTTTTCCAAAATGACCTTGGCTCTCAGGTTGACCACAGTACAGTACTGGGATGTAAAGACGGCTGGCGTGATGCTGACCACATCAACCACCCATTAATCTCAACCTGGAAAAGGATCCTTTACATTATTTAGTTACTCTATGCCGAAATTTTCTCTTCTGACCTTATTCTTCCTTTATATCTCTTCTTGTCACTCCTGCAGTCCTATCTCAGACATCTCATTTCCATGGTTACTAATTCTCTGTCAAGATTTGGTTTGTAAGTGACAATGTCTGGCACTGGTAGCTTATAGTGATGCCTCCAACTGGAAAGTGCCTGTGAAAATAATCTAATGGTTTGTCTGTTACCTCAGATGATTGAAACCATTGTCTTGGCTCACAATGATAAGAGACGCTGGCATTTGATCTCACCAGTCATGTTTTTTATGATTTGTTTTCAGGCAGGAGAACTTTTGAAGGATTTGCGACGATTAAATGTTGCCCTCACTCGAGCTAGACACAAACTGATTTTAATCGGCAGTGCTTCAGCTCTAAAATCATATGAGCATGTGGCAAACATACTGTCACATTTAGAGGCAACAGGAAATGTATCCTTTCCCCATTTTGCCCATGTAACACTTTTTACTAGATCATTTTGCTTGCATCCCTGTTCTGTATCATGTAGTTTCCTTACATCCCTGTTCTGTATCCTATACTTTACTGACATTCCTGTTCTGTATCCTATACTTTCCTGGCAACCCTATTCTGTATCCCATTCTTTCCATATACTCTCTGTTCTGTATCCTATACTTTCCATACAATCTCTGTTCTGTATCCTTTACTTTCCTGGCAACCCTGTTTTGTATCCTATACTTTCCATACAATCTCTGTTCTGTATCCTATACTTTCCTGGCAACCCTGTTTTGTATCCTATACTTTCCATACAAACCCTGTTCTGTATCCCATACTTTCAATACAAACCCTGTTCTGTATCCTATACTTTCCATATACTCCCTGTTCTGTATCCTATACTTTCCATACACTCCCTGTTCTGTATCCTATACTTTCCATACAATCTCTGTTCTGTATCCTATATTTTCCATATACTCCCTGTTCTGTATCCTATACTTTCCATACAATCTCTGTTCTGTATCCTGTAACCTAAATGCATGACTTGGCATGAATGGATTGCTAACAAGTTTGTTTAAAAAGTTATTTTCCATACACTCCCTGTTCTGTATCCTATACTTTCCATACACTCCCTGTTCTGTATTCTATACTTTCCATACACTCCCTGTTCTGTATCCTATACTTTCCATACACTCCCTGTTCTGTATCCTATACTTTCCATACAATCTCTGTTCTGTATCCTATACTTTCCTGGCAACCCTGTTTTGTATCCTATACTTTCCATACAATCTCTGTTCTGTATCCCATACTTTCAATACAAACCCTGTTCTGTATCCCATACTTTCAATACAAACCCTGTTCTGTATCCTATACTTTCCATATACTCCCTGTTCTGTATCCTATACTTTCCATACAATCTCTGTTCTGTATCCTATACTTTCCATATACTCCCTGTTCTGTATCCTATACTTTCCATACAATCTCTGTTCTGTATCCTATACTTTCCATACAGTTCCTGTTCTGTATCCTATATTTTCCATATACTCCCTGTTCTGTATCCTATACTTTCCATACAATCTCTGTTCTGTATCCTGTAACCTAAATGCATGACTTGGCATGAATGGATTGCTAACAAGTTTGTTTAAAAAGTTATTTTGTCTGTGTTGTTTTCAATAGGAACTTGTTGTTATTGTAGTCCTTGACAGCAGTAATCAGATTATAGAGGTCACAGACATGTAAAACATTGAAGGGCAAGAAGGTCATCCCTGTAAGGATACTGGTGTCTGAATAGCAGCAGAGGTGTGGTTTTCTTTTGGAAGAATGTGAAGAATATGATGGAATTATAGAAAAATAAACAGAACAGTCTTCCTGGAGAAGATGAGAGCCACACACACACGTATGAGAGAAAGATGTAGACAGTCTGTGTTCTTCAGACATGTTGTGAGAGGAGATGGACTCAAGGACTTGGTAAGATTGGTGGGGGAAAGCAAAGAGACAAGTACCTGGATGGCTTGGCCATATGGATGGTGTCAGACAGAGCACTGGTCTGATCTGTGATCCTGGTGATCGTGTTAAATGCAAAATATGACAGCCTACCCTTATCAGCATGTCACTTGATGATGTGCCAGCAGGCAGAACAGTATGTGGCAACTTGGAGATATCATTTCTTATTAAAAAAGAAATGTTTTCAGTTTCAGAGGGTCGGAGCATCTGGCCAGGAAGGGCCATAATGATATCAGTAAATGACAAATATGTGACTGTCAAAGAGACCACATTTACATTTTATTGTTGGTTTTGAAAAGTCTCTGGCCAGTTGGTTGGAATGCGGACCCAAACCCTTAGTAAGATCATGGCAGTTTTTTTCTGGCAGGCACAAAAATACAAAGCTAACCCTACACAGCTTGTGACAGCTGTAAAGCCATGCGGCACTCAATCTTTAACCTCAGAGTCATGGCGTAAAATGTGGTCAGTTCCAGTAGATAAAGGCAGCTTATGGTTACTTGTTGTAGATCAATGGTTCCAACAACTGTGACTCGCTGAGCCCTTTTTAGTTGAGAATCTTCTTTTTAGTGTTCACCAGCTGTAACCTCCAGTAGAAAGTTCTGGTTGTTTGTCCATTTCTGGGCTTTGGTCTTGATCCAGAATTTGAGTTTTGCTGGCACACCAGTTTTACAGATCTGGCTTATTTGTATGCTGACTGCTGGCCCCTTGACTCTCAGGTAGATGCACTTCAGCTCTGAAGGAAACACCTCTAATTAGTGTCTCCTAGGACATGCTTGTGATGGAAGAAGTGGGTCTATTCTTTACTCTCCAAAATGGAGCCACGGAACCAATGCAAGGACCTTTTAGAATCAGTGTCTATGGCGGAGCCACTTATGCCTACTGTACTCAATATATACAAGGTCTGACAATTCAGTGATGAGACTGATTTTTTTATGGCTAAGACAAAAATGCCATCTATGTATGAAGCAAAGCATGGAATCTAAAGAGGCAACATTCATCTATGATCTGGCAACTTTTCATCGTCGCTCGATAAACAGACAACAAAGAAGCCGCAATTGTGTTGACCTAGTCAGAGGTGCATTGTTATGTAATCAGCACGGAGCAAAAGCTAATTTTGAATTCTTTTTAAAACTCAGAAAAAGCGCCATTGAAACAGTTGAATTGATGCAGTTAGTTAATGAGGATATTTGTTTATCTCGTGCACAAATTTTCAGGTGGTAATCACGATTCGAAAGTGGTGTGGAAATGATTACTAATGTACCTAGACCTGGACACCAAATTTATGTTTGTAATGATGAACACATTGCAAAAGTCAGAGAACGGAAACAAAAAGATAATTGTTTTACTGTGAGGATGATGGCAGATGAATCTGGTGTTAACAGAGACCATTCATAAAATTTTAGTTTAAGATTTTGGCCAAAAAAAAAGTTGCTTGCCGGTTTGTGCCACATTCGTTGCCTGATGCCAAAAATATTAGCCGGTTGAGTACCCAAGAGACATCATCAAAAAAAGAATTGTTGATCTAGAAAAAAGTGTGTGTTCTCAGCCTTCCACCCTATTCCCTAGATTTGTCTCCCTGTGATTATTTTCTATTCCTAAAATTAAAGTTGCGATTGAAAGGACGCTTTTTTAACGATATTGATGACATCCAAAGGGCTTTAACATCGACTTTAATGGCCATGAAGAACTACAGAGGTTGATCCAGTGTTTGTTAGATTGTGCCATTTGCTGTATCAATGCACAAGGGGCCTACTTTGAATAAAATACAGGTTATATCTTCAATTGTGGATTATTTTAATTTTTATGGAATTAGTCTCATTAACTAATTGTCGGACCTTGTATATCTTACAGTTAATATTCTTTAGAAGTGAAATTGTCGAGCCGATGAAGGTAGGGTAGTTTATCCAGGAATGTAGAATAGAGGCCTTTTCTCCTGCCATTGGTGCATCGGGCATATGATGCTACAATCATATTATTATAGACCAATTGGCTTGCAGTGGATGACGTGGTCAACATCATGCTGGCCGCCTTGACTAATCTGGCTTCCTAAGGTGTCATTAAATATGTTGTCGGTGTTGCGAACGCGCTTTGTAATGCCGAGGTGCTGGGTTTGATTCCTGCTGCGGACAATTTGTATTGCGCTGGTTTTGACAGTGGTACCGAGAGCTGACCATTCAAAAAACAATTGCAAACTACTAAAGGTAAAATTTCACTAGAGAAAAAGGATACACAACCAGCTTAAAGTTGTGTCACCCACCACCACAAGAAAGCCTCCTGCTTGCCTGTAACATACACCACTTGTTCCAGCGTTACTTGAGAAATATTTTGTATGAGTATGTGGGTGTGTTTTATTATGACATATATTCCTGGCATTGTGTTTTATTGTCTGTATACCACCATGCTGGTTCTGAGGACACAAGACAATGTGTGCAAATGTATGCCAGATTATAAGGTGCTCAGTAAGAATTGAACGATCGGTTCTTAATTTATAACGTACCCCAAACACGAAATCCCCGTGGGAAATCCACAGCTGACCTGACAGTCCATTATTTCAAGGGGTGGAAGTGTGCTGTTTTGTGGTGTTTTTTTTTTTTTTTTTTTTTTTGAGTGTTCATTTAGTGTCTTCTAATGCTAACCCTAACCCTAAACTTGGCTGTAGGTAAATCGCGAGAAACTACAACCTGAACACCCTAGAATTTATTGGGAATGTCTCCCGTGACGTTGTCGTGACGTCAGGGGTAAGTTATAAATTAAGTACCGAACGATCTTCTCATGTATGAATTTTCCACTACTTGCAAATGTATGCCAGATTGTCAGGTGCTCAGTAAGAATTGAACAATCATCTCATGTATGAATGTTCTGCTACTACCAAAAGTACAGAAACTAAATTTTTCATCCAATCTTGTCATGTTGTAATGTGTATAATTTCTAAATTTTGTAAATACATATAATTCATTGCTGTAGATTGTAACATTAAAATGTTTATTTAGTTACCAATTGTGACATGATTTCTAGAGTATTGCTTGCTAATCTGCGGCACATGCAATAATAAATAGACATTGGTTGTTAGAAAGTCGGAAGGCATTATTGTCTGAACTTTACCATGGCTAGAGAATGTTTTTGAGCATACAATGTTGGTACTGGACTCAACTCAGCTGATTTATTTGCTTATTTTATAAAATAATCATCAATGAGTGAATGTGCTTGATGCTGCCCTGTGCTTTGATGCCTCAGGACACCTGTTCTTCATCACTATCTTCTCAATCAGTGATGCTTCCAGCCTGGTCATTGTCTTCTGTTCTAAGTGGGGCCTGTCTAGCTAACCTATTTGCCTGCTCATGTCCAAACACATGGCCCGGACAAAATATCCATGTGATTATCACCACCTGCGACCTCGGAAGTGATGCGACCCATTCCATTCGATGAAAACCGCACCCCACCTTCCTGAACATGCTTTGTTAATCCGAAATTATGACATGTGTGGCTGAGATTGTCTCCGCCCATCGGGAGGCTGCAGTTGCCCCCCTTAAACTCTGTTCTCATGCTGGATGTGGCAACGTTATATGCCAAGTTCTCCTCAGCCTGTCTCTGAGGTCCTGTCCACTGACCCATCAGTGTATATAATCACATCTCCTGACCTAGAGTTGTTCTCTGTCAGCACTGAACCTCTGCCTTTGCACTCCCACTGCCCATTCCCTGTGTTCTTGTTCCAGTGTAATTACCACACTCTGTGTAGCTCTTCTGTGTCCTTAGGACACCAGTTCTTCTTCACTGTCTTCATCTACATCTTCTCCATCAGTTCTTCTTCACTGTCTTCATCTACATCTCCTCCATCAGTTCTTCTTCACTGTCTTCATCTACATCTTCTCCATCAGTTCTTCTTCACTGTCTTCATCTACATCTTCTCCATCAGTTCTTCTTCACTGTCTTCATCTACATCTTCTCCATCAGTCTTCTTCACTGTCTTCATCTACATCTTCTCCATCAGAGTTGCTTTCAGCCTGGTCATTATCTTCTGTTAGCCCTGGTGGCCTGTTGTGACTTGCTTGTCTGATTACAACCTGCAGACCTTGATCTTTAGCAACTGTGGTTAGGGTTTGGTATTCCTCTAGGCTGGTTCTCAGGTAATATACATCCAGGAATTTCAGCTGGTTAGAAGACATCATGAAATGTAGCACAGCCTCGTAGGTCAATGAAGGAACTCCACAGATGTGCAGGACTTGCAGATGAGGCAAGTGTCTGGATAAAATAGTCAAACATTTGACAGTGAGGTGGTTGCAACGATTCAAGTTGAGAATCTGCAGTTTGGGTAAGTTCTGTGGACAAGTACAGTCAAATATGTTAGTAATTTACTGTCTTATTATTATAATACTTTGGGGGGGGGGGGGGGGGGGGGTTAGGGGGGGGGGGGGGGGAGTACAGAGATGCTGAACCACATGTGGGGTGTACCAGGGCTGATACTGGTCACAACCTATCTACAGCTCTCTGTGGTCATCCTAGAAGCAGGTTACCAATAGATAGTATTGACGTGTCCTTTAAAGGTTTGAGTGCATCTGCCTGTGAGATAAGGAACCAACAGTCTGCACACAAGTATGCCAGGTCTAAAAAAAACTGAAGATGGTGGAATGTCCAAAGTGCTGTGATGTCAGTTCTTGACTCATCTCCACTGGAGCATATATATACACATACATACATACATATATATACACACAGACCGACGGGTGTCACAGAATGGCAATAGCCAGTGCTATCTACCCAGTAATGGACTCTTCTGTCCCGTTGACGTCCAATGGCAGAAGACAAAATTGTTGATGATGATGATGATAGGGGACGTTTAGGCACATTTAAGGGGTGCTGCGCTTAGGCCGCCAGGTTCTGACACCTATGAGCCTTATGGTGTGAAGTCTTACCTTTGTCAACTGGACAAGAACGGTGTCAGTCACAATGTAGCCACAGTTCTTTAGGCTGACAGCAACAAGGTGAGGACACTGTGTCCACACTGCACGAAAGATGTTGTTGGTCAGGTAGATTCCCTCCAGGTCTAGATGTGTCAATGTGGGAGTCAGCAATGTCTTCAGTGATTTTAGGCTCAGTTTCTTCTGTCGTTTCAGTCGATGAATCATGGTCCTGATAGTGTAGGATAACCAGATTTTAGAAATTATTTCAAAGCATCTTAGGTAGAACTTTTAGGTGCTCAGTCTTATCAGTGGTTTATTAAACTACTTCTTCTTATGTTAGCGTTCACTGGCTGTAAATTCTGGTGGAAAATTCTGGCTGCTCATCCACTTCTGGACTTTTGTCTTATTCCAGAACTTGAGGTTTGCCTGCACATCCAATTTACAGATTAGGCTTATTTATTTCTATGCAGACTGCTAGTTCCTCGCCTATTAGACATATGCACTCCAACTTTGAATACAATACCCCTTTTTTTTTTATCGTTCACCGGCTTTGAATTCCGGCGGAAGGTCCAGGATAATCGTCCGCTTGGACTTTTGGCTTTCACCTGGACCTGATTTTTGCGTGTACAACCGTTTTACTGTTCCCTGCCTCATGGGCAGCTGTACTCCAACTTCGAAAGAGCATCAATACCCCTAATTAGTCGCCTTGTACGACATGTCTACAAACAAAAATATTTCTTTACTGTATGCATTTGCCACTTTGTGTGTGAGACTGAAGATTTAAGGCCACACAGCTAATGCAGTCGCCACGGATTGCGCATGTAAGGATACTATTTTTGCCCCTGACAACAAAACAAAAAAAGTCATCTCTCTTACCGAGTGTCAACTACCTTGTTTCTTCTACACTATATCTGGATCATGTTGCAGGCCGGTAACAGACACATCTGCCGGACACCCGTGGAGCACACACACATCTGCCGGACACCCGTGGAGCACACACACATCTGCCGGACACCCGTGGAGCACACACACATCTGCCGGACACCCGTGGAGCACACACACATCTGCCGGACACCCGTGGAGCACACATACATCTGCCGGACACCCGTGGAGCACACACACATCTGCCGGACACCCGTGGAGCACAGACACATCTGCCGGACACCCGTGGAGCACAGACACATCTGCCGGACACCCGTGGAGCACACACACAATCTTTAATGTACAAAGATCATAAAACCTATCGCAGTTAGCCTCAAGAGCTGCATATGCCTCTTAACCGAAATGCAGGTCGTGCTAGCTTTACAAATCACTAGTAACGCCTTCCCATTTCCGCTGATAAGCACTGGGCACAAACCCATACCATTCTCGCACACACTGTCCCCAACACGAGGATTTCGAGGCGCGCACAGAGTGAATGACCAAATTTGGGCGGGCAGATACTAATACCACAACCAATGCATTACAACCCCAAATAACTGCTTTAACAAAATCTACGTGAACAGTTCTAACCCACACAATAATGCTACGAGACGGAATAAGGAATAACTTCGTCAAACACCGACCGAAACAAATTACAGCTACAGTCTAGCAACACACTCCTAACGGTCGATAATACACAACGCTTTAACAGTCTCCTTTCCGTGTCACTGTCGCAAAGTCCTGCACAATACCCCCCCCCCCCCGATCTTTTTCTTAGCAGCGCTTTCGTCTCTCTTGACCGTTCATCCAAGAGCCGGTCTTGGTTCAACTTCGGGCTGCCCGTGAATTCTGTCAAGCGTACACCTCGGTCGCCGCGACTTATCCCTTGATCGGTCTGTATTGGTCTCAATTTGAGTTTATGTCTGGGTCACCTCGTACAGACACGAAGATTCAACATCATTATACTTTCTCATCCCATAGCCGAACTGACATCTGACACCGGGGATTTGAACCTAGGTCTCTCTAGCGAGTGGCCAACACTTTTAGCTGCTCGCACAGAAATCAGTGATTTCACGTGGCACATACAACGCACTTACGTAATGATGTATTCATCAGGGAAGTCTTGTAGATCATAATCATCTAAGTGGTCAAGGACTTGTGTCATTGCACATTCAAACAGTGTGTAGATCTTGGTTCCACCGTGGTATGGGCTCTGTTCAAGAAAGACATGTTTTGGTTACCAGTCGACAAACAGGCAAATGGTAACTACATAGTACAGTGGTACCTAAGTACTTGGTTCATGATTGTTTGACTATACCAAACGAACCCCCACCCCCACTCCCCCTTTTATTTTTAGAAATAAAGAAGAATGAGTAATTCATTCCTGTGAAGAAGAAAAAATACAGTAGAACCTCGCTTAACGAGCACCTCTCATAACGAGTAATTCGTATTACGAGCAGAACAAATTGTAAAAAAAATGACTAGCTTAAAGAGCGACGTTTCACATAACGAGCGGCGAGGAGAGGAAAAGTCCCGAATTGTGAGCATGTTACATCAGTCTGTTTAGCACTCGTTCCAGTAGCATCGTAGTGTCGCTTGTGATCACACATTTTCTCACACTTGTGTTATATTGTGATATATGTACATGAATCCTTCAGGCCTACAAGATGACCAATGACCTCTCTGAAGAATTTAAGTTCATCAAGATCCAGTTTCTGCCCCTTAACACCACTCCGTTACTCCAGCAAATAGACCAGCAAGTTGTTTCTAACTTCAAGAAGCTCTACACTAAAGCACTCTTCGAGAATTGTTTTCAGGTGATTGAAGGGACCAACATCACCCTCAAAGAGTTGGAAAACCCACTTCCACATCGTTCCTGCCTCAAGATGATCGATAAGGCGGGGGAAGAGGTTACTAAGAGAACCCTAATTTCTGCTTGGAAGAAGCTTTGGCCGGAGAGCGTTGTCGATTTGTGACTTTGAGGGGTTCGAGACAGTACCTGTGGAACCTGTAGTCAACGAGATTGTGTCTTTGGCCACTATCATGGGGTTGGAGGTGGATAACAGTGATATCGAAGAGCTTGTGGAAGAGCACAGCCAAGAGCTGGCCATCCAAAAGCTAATGGAGTTGCATTGTGTTTCACAGCAAGATGTTTTTGGGGGAAAGTTTGTCTAGGAGAATGAGGAGGTAGCAGAAAAGCAACAATCTTCGGGCGAAATAAGAGAAATGCTGAAAGCATGGCAAACTGTTGCATCTTACATTGAGAAGCATAACCCTGATAAGGAAGTGGCTATGCGCGTTGCAAATTTATTTAATGATTATGCTGTTTAGCATTTTCGCTAAATTTTGAAGCGTCGACAAAAACAAAGGTCTCAGGACATCTTTCTAGTAAAAAACATAAAATAATTAGCTATGTATCATAATTATTTCGACTTTTTCTGCAAATCGAATTCGCATTCCAGGTGAGTTCGTTCCGCGTTTGAAGAAAAGATGAAGATGATTCTCTCTCCTTAACAATTTGTTTACAGTTTTCTTTGAATAAACATTATAATAGCATTTTGTAAGTATTTTTTTCGACATGGAACGCATTATCGTATTTTACATTAATTTATATCAGAACAATTGTTTCGCATAACGAGTGTTTCGCTTAACGAGCATGATTCTGGAACCAATTATGCTCGTTAAGCGAGGTTTCACTGTATGTACTATTGATGGACTTTTATAACATAATCTGTATTCTGCGTAATACTCAAATACGTAAATACAGAAACGATTAAATTTAAAAAAATTTAATCACAGTTTATTTTTTTGAGAAGATTTGAGTGCCACTAGGATGATAATGAAAAGGAAAGATGAGCTGATATTGCTTGGAAGGAGAGTCCCCTTCAAATACAACTTCATGAATGTCTCTTCTCTCTTTTTTTGCTTCTTAAGTGGTTATTTCTAGCATTAATCTCGCGTAAGTAAGTATATTTTACCCCACCAGGACATCACACAGAGCGATGAACACGCGGTGACACAAAGTGCCAGGATGAGGATCAACCGTGCAAAGGTCCCGGAAACCGTGTTCAACCATTAGGCTATATTGCGGTCCCTGGCAACAGCTAGGATGAGGCTTCAAAGTAACGAAAAATTGTATCCCTTAAAAGGGTTGACGAAAAAAAATTAAGCTACTTGGGCCTGGTTGAGGCTCATCAGGTCTGACTTGTACTAAAAATCTGCCCAACGAACTTTGCTTCTGCCTTCTTCTTATCAATATGTTTCAGAAATGTGAGATTGTCTGGTCATTCCAGACAATGCTGTTACGGCTTGTTCTGTCTCTGTTGGGTGATAACTTTTCTGCAAAGTCGTTCACATCTACCCGTGACTTTGTCTCGAGAGAGGTAAGACAGCGCGCGATATCGTGGCTAATTTCAGTCATACAAGTTGTAGCTCGCGGATCGTATTCCAACAAAGGTTGCATAGCAAGCAACAGTTTTTGCGTCTAAACAAGAGTATGACATTCATGCTCGTCGACCCCTGCCTCTCCTTCTAGAAACCATGCTATTAATTTTTTTTAAACCTTTAGCGTTTACAGTGGACACAGTAGTAGCACGTGGTAATTTTGCTTACATTATAACCTAATTCTGATATGACGTAATTATCTTCTTATATGAAGTTAATGCCCCTCCCCCCCCCCCCAACCACTCTCTCCCCTCTCGATCCACGGTATTCTAAGAATTCATCTTCTTTTTCTTCTCCCTTGTTCATCGACTGTAAGCTCCAGCAGAAAGTCTTGGTTGTTCATCCGTCTGTATTTTGGCTTTGTGCCAGGGCCTGAGTTTTGCGTGTACATCCGTTGTACTGACCTGTGAGAAAATTGGTTGTTCCTTGCCGCTCGGGCAGATGCACTCCGACTTCGAAGAAAGCCTCAAATTAATCGACTCCTACGACATGTTTGTTCGGGAAACAGTGGGTTTATTCTGGTTTTCCCCACAATGTGGCCCCAGAACCCACATGGGAAGAATGCATCTATAACAGCAAGCTCCCAAACCCTGATTGTCAAACAATGATATGGTCCATGATTCACATTCATACATCGCCACAGAAAAAAATGACCTTGGCTCCCAGGTCGACCCAGCCTTGAGTGGGTACCGGATGCAGTCCCAGGAAGTAAAGGCGGTTGGCGTGATGCTGACCACATCACCCATCTTGTGCCGACTGGTCTATAAAATATAGGTCTAGCCCTATACGCCTAAAGGCGTGGAAAGGGGTCCTTTATTTTACTTTTTTTTATTAACACAGAAAAGCTGCTGTGACTGTTCATAGATGGTCACACTATTTCGTGTGGTTTCAAGAATGTTTCCATCGACATGGATCTTATATTGTGGTGCTTCGTTCTTCCTGCAGTTGACTTTAATTTGTGTTTAATTACAATGTTACCATAGTTGCTCATTGTGTACGGTCGTAAAATCCAAGTAATCATCGGCCATTTACTTTATAAGCCCGCCATAGTCTTCTTCTTCTTCGTTCGCTTTTAAGAGTGTTGTTGACACACACTTTTGACCCAACGTTTTCGATTTTCGGAAGCCCATAATAAGTCGTCTTTTACCACATGCTTGTCACAAGGCAGTGGATACATCTCCCAACCCCAGGCTTAAAACTGCCAAATACCTTTTCAAAGTTCCTCAGATATGAAGCTCGCACAAACATTTGACCATCTCTGTCACACCAGTTATACCGATGAGCCGCCCGGTAGCCTAAGGAAGAAACAATCTCCCCTAGAACCTGCTGCCTGGTGTAGTCCTGAAGTAACTCCAGCTGGAGCAGACAGTCCAAGTTCACAAACCCTGGCAGCAAATAGACACATCTATCAGTAAATATAATTCTCTGACATGCCAGAGGCTTTATGTCCCCCCGATAATCTGTTGACTTACGCTATACCTCTGAATACAGAATTGCTAATTGTTTGTTCATTCAAGGGATCAACATCCTGGCACATGATATAACTCATAAATGCTCCGTTCTACTTCTAACTCAAGCCTGAGTCTGAAGTCTCTCAGCGTAGTGCACGAACTCCTTCGAACCAGCAAGGATCCTGAAATACTTTGGGTAGATTTTTAACTCTAAATTTTTGCACGGGTAGCACAGTTATGCTACTCTTTTTCGATTTTCAACTGCCAAAATATTTTTTTACGTGCGCAACAATACACATGGGCGTCCAGAGACCAGGGGAAATTACTAGAAGTCCACGTGAAAAGAATGCCAGTCTTCTCCGGGACCTCCAGCACTCGAGGCGGATGCCATACCTCGAGACCACCCAGCCCCCGAGCTGCGAACGAAATCATTAACATATACAGATATATTGTTTTAATTAAATCATCGCATTATTTTTTAACTGCAGACAGGGTGAGAGCTGAGCGTCTGAGAAGAAACAGACTAAACACAAATGTTGACAATGGTCCTGAAATCCCATGCTATAATTGTGAAAGACGTTTCTTAACGCGGGCGGGTCTTGCTATCACCATGGGTTGTGAGTCTCATTCTTCCTCATATCGCAATATAACATCTTCGCCTGGACAGACAGAAAGGTGCCTTTTGGTCTGCCGTCCAGGTTGAGATTTTTAAATCTCAGGATGGTATGGTAAACCGGTGCTTTATTAATATCCTAGCCCAAACAGGGGTAATCCACAGGTCACGGGATGGCCTAATATTTCAGGGGGTGGTAGAAAGGCTGCATGCAGTCGTGGGACCTAGGCTGAATGTACTTGTGGGACCTAGGCTGCACTCTCTCGTGAGACGTAGGTGGGTTGAGATTAGGACCAGTTCTAGATATTTTGAGGTCGTTAAAAGCATCAGAAAGCCGAGAAACCCAGTCTTACCACCCTCTAAAATGGTGGACTGTACTGTGACGTCATCTGGGGGTAGGATAATAATAAAGCACCTGTAAACCTTTAGGTAGCGACCTAGAGGGTACAGATCCACCGATCGATAAAACACCAGAAAAGGAGATTCTTGGCAACCTGGTCAGAGAGATATGTGAGCCTACGAACTGATAAGTATTAGTGAGGATAGCAAGAAACGCAAGATGGTCGACTCCAGTCAAGCAATATACTCGAGGGCACCAACACATAGAGAACGTTGGGTAACTGAGGTCCCACCCTGATTCACATTTGCGCGGTGGGGCTTGCTTAAATGCATAATAATATTGTGCGAAATAACCAACAAATATAGTAATATTTATCCGTGTAGGTTTTGGGGCTCTACTGGGGGTGGGAAAGGGCAGGCACGGTCCCTAACTAGCATGTCGTACAATGCCACTGATTAGGGGTATATCTGCCTAAGAGGCGAGGAACCAACAGTCAGCCAAATCTGCACATCGGCCGTGTACGCAAAACACAAAATCTGGGAGTAATACCAAGTGCAGAAGTGGACAAACAATCCAGATTTTCCGCCGGAGTTTACTGGCGAACCCGAAGAAGAAGAAGATAATAATACCGTATTTGAAATAACATGACAAGTCTAAACAACATTTAAAAGAATACTTAATGTACATGCGATGATGGGGACTTTCAGCATCCATACACAATTACACAAATTGTGAGGAGGAAGCTGATATTCGCTTTACTTCTGACATTTTTTTTTCTGGGAGAGTTGGCCGCATGGTTCGCAAGCCCACAGGTTTCAGATACCCCCTGAAGATCTGAAGATACGTAATAAAGATGAAGGCCTGAAAAAACATTTTCACGGTGTATACTGATTTTCTTACCATTCTCGTCTGCTTGCAAACCCTCCTTGAGAACGCCGTACCTCAGTATATAGGCCAACCGCTTGGGCAAGCGCATCAACGCCAGTTCTTCTTCAGATCTGCGATAATGCTTTTGTTTATATCCGTGTGCCTCCATTTTCACGAGCATCTTTATTATAACTTAAGAAAATCTTGATTGTGTGTGAATCACGGTGCCGTCTCCATAGCGGAGGTTGACTGTGACCTACACACTGCCGAGAATCTGCTTTTTAATGTCCTCTGTCCTGGCCGTGCTAGCCGACCTCCTGTCTGCACTTCCTGGAGAAAATGACCAATGGACTATAACTGTCCCCGACCTCTGAAGCGACACTTGTCACACTGCAAATATTCTAAGAATTTACAACAAAGCTCCGATTCTCTTCTTCAGAGGCTGTGAAATAGTCATTGACTGTAACATTACAAGAACAAATACTCCCCCCTGCACACAGATCAATATCTCAAACTAAATTACAAATAATGTAACCCATTGATAAGCTTAACGAAACTAACAGGATTCAAGATGGGAAGAAACAACTACTAGTAAGCCTCAAACAACCATTAACGGAAGCCTCTAGAGTATAGAGCTTGAAAATAGTGATACAAACACTAATGTAGAGCTTTGGGAGAAAACTAACTAAATTACAGCAAGGTAATGATCGGTCACAAACTGTGAAGGCCTTATAATAGTGTCACTATAATGTAATTCCACTGGAACCTGTAGGTGCAAGAAAATAAAGGGAGATGAAAACTACGGGTACAAGAAGTGGAGACGAAGGTCAATAAAAATGGAAATGTCTGCATTAGTTGTCAACGGATTGGAAGGTTGGCTGAGTACCTCTGCTCGGCCCAGAGACATAGGGCAGAAGAGGAAGAAAACTAACGGAGATTCGCGCCATTTCTTATTGTATTTGTTGTCTCAATAAAGAGATCGTAACTAGGACCCTCTGTAATTTATGTTAATCTACTAGAATAAATGCGGGACATAAAAGAAGATGGATGACGTAATATTATTATCAAATATACCAGAAAGACGTCATTATATAATCTACACGATTAACTTGCTAACATGTAATAATACATGAACGTCAAGTGTAAGAAATAACACACACTATATGTGGCAATTATAACCATCAAGGCGCTCGACAGAATATGACTGCTATCCACAACACACATTCATGTTCATGACTGATATATATTAATTGTGGCAACAACGAACGAACGTGTACGATTGCTTTAATTGGTGAAATCAAATGCATCAATTCACGCAACGAAAAAATCACCCCTTTCAAAATGACTAATAAGCTAAAAATAGAATATATGCGAATACAGAGCAATGTAACCAGCTGCAAACCCAGTAACATGCGTACTTCTATATTTAGTTTTCTGCTATATATAGTCCAAAGAAATGGAGCCTGAGAAGTAACAACGATATTCAAAATATGTTTAAATCACTGTTATTTACAGGCTTTGTGAAGTCTAATATAATACAACTTGGGGGGGGGGGGGGGGGGGGGGGGCAGAAAGACAAAAAGTAAGTCCACAAAAGAGTTGAACAGGATTATATCACGAGGCAGACCAAAGCGAACTACACAGATGTCTAATATAAATTATTTATTGAGTCTTCAGTAATCACTCATGCGTAGATTCTACAATACATTCTTGAACACAGGGCGGTTTTTTCTTGTAGAAAAAAAAAAAATGCCGGTACTCGAAACAAAGTGCCTCTTACAGTAGCGCTGAACATGATGGTAAAATAAAAAGTGCTAGTACTGCGTACCGTCAGAAAAACCCCAATAATTATTACTAGTATTTTTATGCGCTAAGTGACAAATAAATAAAATAATAGGCACGTGTTTGAAATAATATGTAACGTACCTCCCTGGACATATGCTTTACTTCAAGTGTAATAAGGACAGATATGGTCACCAAGTAATCAAACTGTTGGAAAAATTAAACATTGATGGGAAAGATCTACGAATAATAAAGAATATGTATGGGCAGCAAACAGCAGCTATACGAATTAACAACTGTTTAGGTACATTTCAAAGCATAAAGAGGGGCGTAAGACAAGGATGTGTACTGTCACCTGGTTTGTTTTCAATATACAGTGAATATATAATGAGATCTTTAATTGATATGCCCGGAATTATGGTTGGTGGGCACAATATAAAATTTACGTGATGCTGATGACACAGTCTTGATAACAACAAGTCAGAAAGAATTACAGGAAATGATAGACATTGTGGTGTTAGAAAGTGGAAGAATGGGCCTCAGTTTAAATAATGGGAAGACAGAAGAAATGATAGTACCAAAGAAACGAATTATTCCTAAATGTGTAATAAAAGTCGATAGTTTTATTTTAGGACAAGTACAGAAATTTAAGTATCTGGGCACATGGAAAACATCAGATGGAAGATGCATAACTGAAATAAGAAACAGAATTGGACAGGCAAAAACTGCATTTTTTAAATGAAAAACATCTTGTGCAATATATCCTTGTCATTGAGAGTGAGAAAACGAATTCTTGCTTGCTATATACATCCAGTTTTAACATATGGCTGTGAATCCTGGACAATCGGTAGGCAGGCCAAACAATTTCTAGAGGCCTCAGAGATGTGGTTTTACAGAAGAATTGTTAGAATACCCTGGACAGCAAAAAAGAGCAACCGAGAGGTTTTGAAAGAAGCGGGAGCCCGAAGACAACTTATCACAGACATCAGAAGGAGACAGTCATCATTTTTCGGCCATGTTATGAGAAGAAGGAAAATAGAACATGTTGTGACCACTGGAAAGATCTGCGGAGAGATAGAGGAAGACAACGAAAGAAGATGCTTGACAGTCTTGTTGCATGGCATGGAGGTGTGTCGGCACACGAACTGATACATGCTGCAGGAGATCGCAGATTATGGAGAGGCATGATCGCCCACGCCAGTCGGCAAGGCATCTGATGATGATGGTCACCCACTCACACTGGACGGCGGAAACCTGTGTAGCTGTAGTGCGCTACAGTATATTGGTATGTTACAGTGGAACTGGGTAACTAGGATTTGCTCCAGCTAGACAATCGTCCGAAAAGTGACTCCGTGAGACAAATACGGGGGAAGGGGAGGGGGGATGTGGGTTAAAAAAAATGTTGAGGACTGGATTTTTCTTCGCTAGAACAAATTATGGGTTATTCCTTCGAGGTCGGAGTGCGTGAGGCTGACAAATCGGGGATTTTACCTTCGAAGTCGGTGCACATCTGGTGACATCTGTGTGGCTAATTAGGGATTTTCCGTCGTCTGTCGAAAGCATGAAGCATCTGCCTGAAAGGCGATGATCCAACAGTTTGCATGCAAGTAAATTACTCCGTAAAACGGATTTACACGCAAAACTCAAGTTATGGAAAAAACTTAAGTCCAGGAGTAGACGAACAACCAGGACTTTCCGCCGGTGAACACGGATGCAACAAAGAAGAAATGTTAGGAGAAGCAAGCGGACTGCAAAGATTCGGCTCCACACACAACAATCCTAATTTTGTAGCCACCAAGAACGACCACCCGAGTCAAACAGAGAAGGCAGACGATATATAAATAATATTATATTCAGGGAGTCGATTGTCGCAGGACTTTCTTTATTTGTTTCAAAACGTTTGTGATTTCATTGTCCGCTTGCAGGGATAAACCTTGCGAGATTATTGATTAAAGTAAAGAAAACGTATGCATATACTTAAACACACTGGTAATGCTGGAATCAGTGATCAGGTCAGTCAGCAAGATCCCTGTTTTATTTTATACTTAAATTTAAATTAGTATCTTTTTACAGTTTTACTTTCTTTGTTATTTGAATCGATAATTTTATAGGGAATTTAACAAAAGACCAAGAGACCAAGATTAAAACTTGCGAAAAGCATCTCTGCTCGGTGAACTTAACATTTCTTGATTTAAGACTAAATTTATTTAATAAGCATTGTTATTTATCAGTTTAAAATTTAAACTTTAAATAAAATGAAAATGTCCACCATATGTTTTTCTGTTGCCTACGGATAATAATTTATTAATAATAAGCGCTGCCATTGCAACGCCCCTTTTAATTAATTGTATTGCATTGTCATAAAAAAAATGCCCAAAGTGTAGATTCATTATTGTGGCTGCACTGTTCTACTTACATTGCTTTTAATTGTAATAGTAATATAATTGAATAATTAATTGACAATCATCATCCTCTGTACTCTGTTATGAGATAATTTAATAATTATTCAGGATTTTAAAAGATAACAACAGGCAGGGAGCCTTATCAGCCAGTCATTGGAGTCAAGTAACTTTCAGGGCACTTTGAACAGATTCTATGAGAACTGAGAAAACATCTTTTCAGTCCATATGTGATAATGATATAGTCTCATTGTGCAGGAGTCTCCTCCGAAGCAGTTGGTGGCCAAGACCCTTCAGACCTCTCTATAATTTGATATTTTGATTGTTGTTTGTCATCCAGCTATTTCAGATGTATACTTGTATTTTTACTAATTTCCCACATGATACAAATTTCTGAATTCCATCTTCTTTATCCCATGGCTATGTGATGAACATAATAAATCTACTATTTTAATGACACAATAGTAAGATTATCTGAATATTCATCATATAATTTCTGACATCCTCAAAACCTACAAAGGTGTGAACAAGACAGTATTTCAGTTAGTAATACATATTAGTTCTTAAGAAAGAAAATAGGTGCTTTTCAGCTGAAATGCTATAGAAAGATTCTCAAAATACCAAGAACAAAGAAGAGAAGAAATACTGAGATTCTTAAAAGATTTGAACATCGAGGAAGATTGGCTGATAAACAGAATATCGAGGAAGATTGGCTGATAAACAGCATCTTGTCTTTGAAGCTGAAATATTTTGGCTGTATTAAGCACCACAACAGATTGGAAACAATAATAGCAGATGGCATGGTACCAGGAAAAAGAGGTGAGGCCGACCAACACGAAGATGGGCACAGGATGTAAGTAACTCTTTTGATATGAAAGTGAATAAGGCAGGAGAGCTGGTGAAAGACCAAGTTTCTTTCAGGCAGACCATGATGAGAGCGATGTCATGCAAAGGACCTTTACATGATGATGATGGGTACAAATTATATAAATGTCTTCAATAAATGAATAAACAATGTATAAAATGACAAATATTTACTCCGAGAACTCAGTCACTACTTTATATCCCAATTATAACCTTGAGGATTCAACAGGATTTTTTGTGAAAATGACTACTAATACATCTCACGTCTTCCTTTGATATGCTACATAAATTTAATCTATTTTTAAAATTTCTGTGTATAATGATGAGTGATCCTGTAACTGTGGCTGCTTAGCTCTTGTTTCTGCAGTATCCTGATAATCCTTCTGACAGATCACGCTATCACTGCTTCAGTACTCTTGATCATTTTATTTCTCCTTGCCCTGTAGTTGTGTCCACAATCTCCTTTGGGGTCTTGGGCTCCAGCGTGGGGAAGAACAAGAATTGTCCCACAGTCTCCCTAATAAGCATGTCCTAAGAGTTGACAAAGTCGGAATGCATCTCTCTGAGAGGCAAAGAACCAACAGTCTGCTTAGAAATAAGCCAGATCTGTAGAATGGATGTGCACACAGCACTCACGTACTGGAACAAGACTAAAGTCCAGAGGTGGATGAACTACCAGAACTTTCCAACAGAGTTTACAGCCGGTAAACATGAAGACAAAGAGTATCCACACAGCTTTGCTGAATTGTCATGCTTATTGTAATAATTTATCTTCTGTGTCGTTGTAGTACCAGCTGTGATTTCAGATTGTTATGTTGATTTTTCTTTCATCTGTTAGATGACACTAATGAAAAGATCAATGGCTAGCGACTTGGACCCGTTGGCTGTTTTACTTGTAACCTCAGGCACCAGAGGCAACAGACTTCTGTTTAGATACCCATATTCAGAAGAACCAACCACAAAACAGAAAACCAAAAAGATAATTGGTAAAAACCCATATACCATTAAAATTGCTGAAAACCTGCTGGATGTTAAAAAGGAGAAGCCATATTCCATTTTCATGAAAGATAGCGTTCTTGCTGGAATCTCTAATCAAACTCTAGCAAATTTTCTGATCGTCAAATCTGAGTTGTGTGGGGAAAAGTTCAGTGTGCAAATTGACGACGTCAGATTTGTCGGGTTTCCAACATCTTTGCTACACTTGAAGCGGGACTCCAGCCAACAGAACTGTCAGAACGTGTCCTCCCGACAGCACAACATTCTGACGGTCAATGTGGTGTTTGTGCTACGGGCTCAAGTGGTGGAGTCTGTGGTCAACTGCTACCAGGAGCTGGCCCAGCAGCTGACCGTGGCCATTGCACAGGAGGAGAAGAGGTGTCAGTATTTAACCAGGGAGGCAAAGGTAAAATAATCTGCTATGTTATTGGTGATTAGCAGCCCTTTTTTTTTCTAGAAAAAGTGCCGGTACTCCTCACAAAAGGTGCCGGTACTCAGCATAAAGTGTTTGTTACAATAGTGCTGCAACAAATTATGTCTTTAAAAAAAAACGGTCCTAAAACAAGCGATGGTAATTAGTAAGACAAACGTATGTATAATGTTGTTTTGTTATTAGTAATTAGGGAGTGGCCGACTGAGTGGTTACAAAATAAGGCTCTCATGCAGGAGACCCGGGTTCGACTCCCAGTTAGGGGATGGGTTTTTCTGTTGGGTCAGAATTAAACATCTGGTACAATAATTTCAACTTACCCCATGACATCAGATGACGTCACGGGAGACATTCAAATAATTTCCTGTGTGGTAAGGTTGGGGGGATTTCCCCCTTCTAGAGTGCATCGCAAAAGCGCGTGCTTGTTGGCGCCTCTTGTGACGTGTGTTTACAGCACGTGAGCAGTCTTCATCTTTGCCGCTTCTGGTTGCAGCAGTTTTCATCTTCGTTCCGGCCATGAATTTTCTACAATTAGTAGCATCTGTACGAGACAAGGACACCAGCGTTGCCTTCCTGCAACAGCATGACATTCTGCACAGAACTAGACGTTGCAGAAACAGTTATCATATAGATGGTATATTATCGCTGTAGGAAAGACACACAATCGTTTGCCGGTGTCCAAAGTCCACCTGTCGTCTGGACATACCCGTACAGCAAATTGCGGACCTCTTTCCTGCAACTATACCACCACTGGCAAGAGGATACTCTCGGCGGTGGTGGTAAAGTCGCTGGAGAGAGGTCCGCAATTTACATGTGACTGAGGCCCTGTTGGGGTATATTTTCTTCCTCGATAATTTGGGACCGTTATTCGGAGGATAGCCAAAAACACAATTTACATTTAATTTTAAAAAAAAAGTTATGTGAGGATTGAGCGCAGCACCTTACATTTATAAGGCAGGTATGATATCAACTACTCTACACATTCACATGACGAAATGATATAAAAACATGACCAGTATGGTACAACGGGCAATAGTGCATCAACAAGCAGCCGACTGCGAACCAAGAGACATATATGCCACACCAAAAAACACTAGAAGATAAACGACAGCAACAGCACACTTGCACCCCTTGAAATAGTGGACTGTCCAGTCAGTTGTGGAATTCCCACGGATTCCCTCTGTTTAGGGTACGTAAAAAATATTGTACCAAACATCCTAACCTGCACAGTATGTGGCGACAGAATCGCCATGCGGCCTTAAATACTCAGGCTCGCGACCACCCTGTCTGTATCGCCCTAAAAAAATGGTAAAGCAGACAGTGGTGAGTTTTTAAAATAATTTTGTTAAAGTAATTATTGTGTGTGTATAATGCTATGTTGTTATTAGTAAATAATAAGCTAGATGTGTGTATAGTTTTGTGTTGTTATTAGTAATTAGAAAGGCAGAAGTGTTTATAATGCTATGTTGTGTTGTTGATAGTAATTAGTAAGACAGAGGTGTGTATAATGTTGTGTTGTTGATAGTAATTAGTCAGGCAGAGGTGTGTATAATGTTGTGTTGTTGATAGTAATTAGTCAGGCAGAGGTGTGTATAATGTTGTGTTGTTGATAGTAATTAGTAAGGCAGAGGTGTGTATAATGTTGTGTTGTTGATAGTAATTAGTAAGACTGTAGAACAGAAAGTGTATGTAAACAAGTTTGGTCAGCTCAGTTACGCTCTCCACACCTGGAAGCCTGCTCATATATTATGCCAGCCCCCTCTTTGTGATAAACAGATTGGCACTTGTTGGATGCAATTAGTGTCTTGAAGGAACTGGTTGCTTGTACTACCCAGGACACTTCCTGGTACCATTTTAAGGCTGGGTCAACCTGGGGGACCACATCAGTTTTACAAAAAATCCCTACATTGATGGGGATTCAAACACATGACCTCAGTTCTGGCAGGCAAACATGCTAGCTACTACACTATTGTGATTGCCTGTCTTGCTTGCTAGAAGAACATTTAATTCCACTCTCAAACATCTTTAATGTTTCATCAGTTCTGGTATTTTTAAAAGAAAGTAAGAAGTAATGAACTCTTTCTACCTGTTCCTCTTCTTCTGTTATCCTACTGCATGTACGGTAAAGCTTTGCAGAGAAGAGTTAGAGGTAGTTTCTTGTCTTCTGCTAGTTGTATAGCTTGTGTTAATGTCATATTGCATTTTTGTGGTATCTCTTTTACTCCCTCCACCAATTTCTTATTGGGTTGACCTCTTGACTTGTTGTACCCTGCTGTTCTCATGTAGCATGTTCTAGCTCCTGACTGTTTTTGTTCCATTCTGACCAAATGATCAAACCATTTCATTCTTTGATGTTCTGTGAAATCATTTACACCTACTATTGTTCTTAGTTCTTCATTGTTGGCTGTGTCTCTTCTAGTTTTTCCAGCCACATTTCTTATGCATCTCGCCTCACATGTTGTAGTTTTGCGTCTATGTTCTTCTAAGACTGTACATATCTGGCATTCAGATTCCAGATCTTCAGGCTGGCCGACAAGCATCTAACTACCGTACAACCTTGGATCTCACAGTTTTGGTATTAATAATTTCTAAAAAAAAAAAATGGTTCCTTTATATTTTTCTTTTCAGATTATAATGACAGCATTTGAGGAAACTTCTGTGAATAGTGATGATGATGTGGTGGCCCCCTTGAGACAGATCATTCTCCTGAGCAACCTGGCCAGAGAACTGAAGTCTGCCTTTGACAGCCTCCAAAGCTCTGGACAGGTGCTGTTCTACATGAACCAGTGGGTGGAGATCAACTTCTGCCTGCCCCACAAAATCCATGCCATGCATAATCCTGGTCGAACAATTCAGCTGGAGTCTATTTATAGGTAGTTAAGCTTAGAAATTATGCCTTGGGAAAGGGAGACATTGTGAAGACCAAATAGGAACGGATGTTGATAGAAGACACAAGGTTAGATGAAATACTCCCTGTGTGGGTTCTGGGACCCCATTGTGAGGAAAACAAGAATAGACCCACTGCCTCTCCAACAAGCATGTCCTAGGAGCTGATTAATCTGAGGCTTCCTTCAAAGACACAGTGCATCTGCCTGCGAGACAAGGTACCAACAGTCTGCATACAAATAAGGCAGATTTATAAAACAGATGTGCACGCAACACTCAGGTTCTGGAACAAGACTAATGTTCAGAGGCGAACAAATAACCAGAACTTTTCACTGGAGTTTACAGCTAATAAGGGGAAAGAAAACAAAGAAGGAGATAAATAACGAGTGCAAGAATGTGTGAACAAAGAATTAGGAGTGGATCCAGAAAGAGATGAACATCCAGGACCTCCTGCTAGAGGTTACAACCGCTGAATGCACACAAACAAAAATTTGGTTTGTAGAAAATGCTCTGGTTGAGAGTAGTTTAAACTTCTTACCTGTTCAGTCTCAGGTAGTTATTCGTCAGAGTCCATCTTGCAGTTTTTAGACCTTAGAGCAACAGTTATTTAGTCTTAAGTCAAGTCAAGTCAGTGACCCCTCTTACTCCAGTGGGGCTTCAGTCTTAAGTCAAGTCAAGTCAGTGACCCCTCTTACACAAGTGGGGCTTTAGTCTTGTCAAGTCAGTGACCCCTCTTACTCCAGTGGGGCTTTAGTCTTAAGTCAAGTCAAGTCAGTGACCCCTCTTACTCCAGTGGAGCTTAAGGTATATGATGCTAGACTCATGTTTATATAGCCCAGTCAGACCCCAGTTACTGATTTGATCTTCATCATGCCAGCAGCCTTTACTTCCCATGTGTTCAGTCTGAGGGAATCTAAATTTAAAGCCTTGCAGCTGAGTGAGCTATAACAATAGCTAAGGTAGAATAGACTAACGTAAGAGAAGACTGGGACAGAATCATCAGTGAATCTATTGTGGGCTCACTGGTAGAGACAAATGAGACCTGAAGCATTGAGCTTTAGACAGTCTGAGCCATAAATAAGCTTGGCTTTCAGGTCGACCTAGCCCTAAATGGGTACCAGGTACAGTTGGGCACAGTAGAGGTGGGTGGCACGAAGTTGACCACATCACATTTCACATGCCAGTTGGTCTATAAAATATAGGTCTAACCCTGTGTGCCTAATATGCCCGAAGGCATGGACTAGGGTCCTCTGTGTTTCAGTCTAAACCCTGAAAAAGACATCATCTCATTACAGGTCGACAGTAATCAGTCTTTAGCGCCATCTACCACGTATCTTCATAGTGTACTCATCATTCCATCTACCACATATCTTCATAGTGTGCTCATCATTCCATCTACCACATATCTTCATCGTGTGCTCATCATTCCATCTACCACATATCTTCATAGTGTGCTCATCATTCCATCTACCACATATCTTCATAGTGTGCTCAGCATTCCATCTACCACGTATCTTCATAGTGCGCTCATCATTCCATCTACCACGTATCTTCATAGTGTGCTCATCATTCCATCTACCACGTATCTTCATAGTGTGCTCATCATTCCATCTACCACGTATCTTCATAGTGTGCTCATCATTCCATCTACCACGTATCTTCATAGTGTGCTCATCATTCCATCTACCACGTATCTTCATAGTGTGCTCATCATTCCATCTACCATTATCTTCATAGTGTGCTCATCATTCCATCTACCACATATCTTCATAGTGTGCTCATCATTCCATCTACCACGTATCTTCATAGTGTGCTCATCATTCCATCTACCACGTATCTTCATAGTGTGCTCATCATTCCATCTACCACGTATCTTCATAGTGTGCTCATCATTCCATCTACCACGTATCTTCATAGTGTGTTCATAAAACTCTGAATGTTTTGCACTTACATGTCATTTTAGTGTCCTACAAACCTTTGAAATCGAACGCATTAACTACCTGATGCTTTGGCAGAATAATTGTATCTACATTTTCCACAAGGACCTGTATTACATTGAATACTTTGTCCGCTGTGGGAGATTTTAATGTTGAACATCAAATGGTATGAATTCAGTATGTGTGACAAAATCTGAGAAATTTCTGAACATCCTTGGTAACAAAAGTTATAAGACAAAGAAGATGGCGCTAAATTGACACAAACTAGTAGAGAATCACTAAGGCGCTAAAATGGGAAATAAAGGGAAGCGAGGACAACCAGAGAAACCCTAAAATGAATGTTGATGAGAGAGGCCAAGGGTGCTAAACTGGATTCCATTCATTATGTCAAAGAGATTACAAACTATAGAATGGAGAAAAAGATTGCAACCCTTATGTGATATATTATAGCAGAGGACATTGATAATGTTTGAAGTTTGTCAGTGCCAGCAGATGGTAGTTAATGGGTTAGAGTGAGGGAAAAAAATTTGCTTTCAATGGCTGCCTTCTAATTTAAGCAGTGAATATTTTGCCAGGTGTTTGTCCTATGTGAGGCCATATCATGGCATTCTGCTGACCAAATCTGAGAAAGAACTGCTGAACTTCCTTCCCCTGGACAGTTCCCCGTCCCTCATCAGACTGATCAGGTTGACGACTCCGTTGAAGAACCTGAAGATTCTGGCTCTAGAGACAGACCTGAGTCTCACACAGGTACTGGTCGTGTTTGTTCATCTAGGTCAACTCTGTCTTTCTGTGGCAGATTTTATATTAACTCTTATATAGGGTCCGGTGGGATGTTGAACACTGCACCCACCCAGTGCCGACTCATCTATAAAATATAGGTCTTGCCTTCTATGCCCAATACACCTGAAGGTGTGAGAAATGGTTAGCTGTGTATCCTTTACAGGACCTTACAGAACCAATCCCAGCATTTTTTGGCTGTTGTGGTTTTTCTAGGCATGTTTACTTCCAATACTTTGCCATTGCTTTCTGGACGGTCGGTTTCTTGATTTCACAGTCAAAACCAACCCAAGGCGCAAGGCTCGCAGATGGAATCAAACCTGGTACCCAGGCATTACAAAGCCCCTTTCGCCACGCCTAAGCCACAGACCATTATATTTTGAGACATTCCACTGATAATTGTGAGCTGTTAAACAGGACATCCCAAGCAAGTCAGTTTAATCGCCCTGCCCCCTCCAGCGGGAACTGATAAGTGGAGATAACTTCTCAAAATGGAATCTTTATGAACTTGGATCCAGTTCCTCATCAATGTAACTTTTCCAACTTACCTATGATGACCTGTTTACAAGACATACCAGCCTGCATCTACACAAATGATGACCTGTCTACAAGACATACCAGCCTGCATCTGCACAAATGATGACCTGTCTACAAGACATACCAGCCTGCATCTGCACAAATGATGACCTGTCTACAAGACATACCAGCCTGCATCTGCACAAATGATGACCTGTCTACAAGACATACCAGCCTGCATCTGCACAAATGATGACCTGTCTACAAGACATACCAGCCTGCATCTGCACAAATGATGACCTGTCTAAAAGACATACCAGCCTGCATCTGCACAAATGATGACCTGTCTACAAGACATACCAGCCTGCATCTGCACAAATGATGACCTGTCTACAAGACATACCAGCCTGCATCTGCACAAATGATGACCTGTCTACAAGACATACCAGCCTGCATCTGCACAAATGATGACCTGTCTACAAGACATACCAGTCTACATCTATACAAATGATGACCTGTCTACAAGACATACCAGCCTGCATCTGCACAAATGATGACCTGTCTACAAGACATACCAGTCTACATCTATACAAATGATGACCTGTCTACAAGACATACCAGTCTACATCTATACAAATGATGACCTGTCTACAAGACATACCAGTCTACATCTATACAAATGATGACCTGTCTACAAGACATACCAGCCTGCATCTACACAAATGATGACCTGTCTACAAGACATACCAGCCTGCATCTACACAAATGATGACCTGTCTACAAGACATACCAGCCTGCATCTACACAAATGATGACCTGTCTACAAGACATACCAGTCTACATCTATACAAATGATGACCTGTCTACAAGACATACCAGCCTGCATCTACACAAATGCTTATGAGATCAGGTTGTGAAAATATTAGCTAAAGAAACATTGAGAGCAGTTTTCCTTCAAAATCAAGTGATGATATTTAAAAGCCGAGTTAATGTCAAATTTTCCTGTAACCCTCAGTGATAGACATGGGATTACTGCATGAGTCACCTGTCACATTTGTGGGAGCCCATTTGTGTATTACATTTAATCTTTAATTTTGTTCATATTTATTTATTACTTCCTTCTTTATCTTTATATACCGGAAACAGAATTTTAAAAAGTGTATATATATATATATATATATATATATATATATATATATATATATATATATATATATATATATATATATATATATATATATATATATATATATATATATATATATATATATATATATATATATATATATATATATAAATATAAATATTTAAAAAATAATTTTTTTTTAATGTACTAGTGACCTGTGCAAATTTGTTTTTAAATAATTTTTTTCAATAAATTTAACAGGGACATTACTTTTTTTTTTAAAGGATTACTGGAGCAAAATGGTTATGGTTGTTTTAGATGTGAAACATTCATTGATGTGTGAAATTTTTGGCCTTCATATATTTAAGGCCATGAAATAATAAAGTGGGTGAGCAGTATTGTGTGTCCTTGCCTTTCCTTGAACTCTCCCCCCCCCCCCCCCCCACCTCCCAAAAAATATATAACATGGGAAAATTTAAGTTAATTTCATATCCTCTGTAGGAGTTGCAGAACCAGACTAATTTTTGGCTGTTTCTTTTTTTACTTGTGAGTTTTGCATTCAGTAGTTTGCCATTGCTTTCTGAGCGGCTGATTTTCAATACTATTGTTGAAAGCAGGGCAAGGCAGTCTGCAGCTAAATCACCTGCAGCTGTGATCAAACCCAGCATCTGGTAATTATGAACATTTTTGCACCCACTCAGCCACAGATGCGGGGAAGTAAAATATGTACAGATGCGTGACCCACTGACCTCTGACCTAAAAGGGTACAGTAGATGAGTCTCTCTTTGCTAAATAGATAAATACCCAAAGAAAATGAATGAAGGTAAGACTTTGTATCAGATTCAGTCAAGATCATTTTGTATGACTAGACCTCACCTTAAGAGAAGACACAACGCTAAAACAATGCTACTTTAACACACTTAAGAACCAGCATCACATTACTCAGGACATTCACATAAGCGCTTGGTCCCCATCTTCAGCAGCCAGCACAGAAAACAAGAGTGGTAAAAGACAGACTAAACAAAATTACAAGCTGCAGCTTCATCCACGAGTAAAAGACAGATGAAAAGTAAACAAATTAAAAGAATATTTTGTAAAAATTTTTTGTTTTTAAATATACAGAGAAGAGCATTAGAGAATGAGTAGAAACCAGCTAGGAGGGGCATGGATTGAGCTGCACGCAGTAGCAGAGTATAGACACCTTGGTGTGAACTGTTGGGAGCTTATGCTCCACTAGGGGATACATGTCAGAAGAAGAGCGTACAGAGAGAATGAGTAGAAACCAGCTAGGAAGGACATGGATTGAGCTGCACGCAGTAGCAGAGTATAGACACCTAGGTGTGAACTGTTGGGAGCTTATGCTCCACTAGGGGATACAAGTCAGAAGAAGAATAGCTTCTGTAAGTTGTTGAGTTGACTTTCCTGATGGTACTTCACAGATTTATCAGCTGGTGTGCCACATGATCTACTGGGGATTTGCCATGTTGATCTACCCACTGTGCCAGTCGAACATCTATGTACTGTCACCTTCTGCAAACACAGCAGTAAGTTGTCTGTCATGGCTACAGCTGTATGTGTTCTGTTGTTCGTCTTTCACAGGTGATGATGACCAGTTCTTTCATTCAGTGGTGACTGGTTTAGGTTTTGTGAGTGCCCAAATGGTTGATAAGACCAATTCTAGCACTGAATGTTCTTGAGCAGTGTGGGTAGGGAATAGATGCTGCATCTCTTTGGTGATTTGTTTCAGTGTCTTTCCTGGCTTGTCTTTTCTGAATTGCTGCTGCAGTTCTAGCAACTTTATGGGCCACAGCTCCTTGATAAAGAGAGAAGTGCCAGGATGAGTGGTCACTTGCAGCGACTTCCTAGGTTTTAGGATCACTACAGAAGTCTGTGAGGTCTTGAGGCTGTCATTGAAATTGTTTCCTCTGTCCACCTTGAGAGTATTTACCTTTGGTAGCTCACCATAGAAATTTTGTTTGGGCAGTCGGTGGTCAGGCATGCAGACTGTATGACCTGCCCAGCAAGGCTGTGATTGTTTTGAATCGAATAAATACTATAAATACAGCTATATGTAGGTCTTCTCTCAGTGGTTATTGTTGCATGTAAGCTGTGTCTCAGTGGTTCCTGTTGTATTAAGTTTGTCTCTCTGATGTTATTGTTAGATGCAAGTTGTTTCTAAGAGTTTATTGTTGTATGTAAGTATCTGTCAGTGGCTACTGTTGTATGTATGTTTTCTCTCAGTGGTTATTGCTGTATGTAGTTGTCTCTCATTGGTTATTGCTGTATGTAGTTGTCTCTCATTGGTTATTGTTGTGTACAGTACAAGTTGTCTCTCATTGGTTATTGTTGTGTACAAGTTGTCTCTCATTGGTTATTGTTGTGTACAAGTTGTCTCTCATTGGTTATTGTGTACAAGTTGTCTCTCATTGGTTATTGTTGTGTACAAGTTGTCTCTCATTGGTTATTGTTGTGTACAAGTTGTCTCTCATTGGTTATTGTTGTGTACAAGTTGTCTCTCATTGGTTATTGTTGTGTACAAGTTGTCTCTCATTGGTTATTGTTGTGTACAAGTTGTCTCTCATTGGTTATTGTTGTGTGTTAACTGTTTCACAAATGTTCACCTGCTTGACTGGTGTTTTCTACAGGTAGACTCAGAACTCAGTAAAGAGTTTGCAGTCTGTTTCCCAGGACTGCACCTTGTTCAAGAGATGTCCCGTTTCTCCTTCCCATCGCACATGTATGACAGCAGCCTGATCATCAGCTACCCAAACACTCACCTTCTGGACAGGCATTACCAGGTAATGTCACTCCTGGCTTCTGTCACTTGTAGTAGGGTGATTTCACCTATGGTTGTTTCATTTCACCTGTGGTTGGGTAATTTCACCTGTGGTTGGGTTATTTTACCTGTGGTTAGTTTATTTATAATGAGTGATTTATTTGACATAGTTGACAGCCATGGCTATCGAGTTAACTGTATGTGTCGATTGCTTCCCACACACACACAAATGGTTGACACATTCAGTTTCGGGGGATAGCTTTTATTGATTTTTCTCTCTAGGCAGGTTATGATCCCTCTCTGATGGGATTCTGTTTTCAAACAGCGTGGTCAAGGCTGCAAAAACTATTGGTCATCATCCTGCCTGGACATAGCACACTGCAATACACACTGCCCCCATGTAAAGTACAAAGTGTCCTGCATTGGAACCGTGCACAAAACAGCATCCATGACAAGCGAACAGAACAGTCTGAGAGAAATCACAGCAAGTGAGAAATAACACCACTGTTCGTCACCATCTGGAAAACTGAAGTGGCATAGTTGATAAGGATCGTGCCTTCAGAACATTAAAATAATGTAGATTTAACTCTGTGGTAATGAACCTGACACGATGAAGCAAAGTGTGCCAGGCAGTCCATCTTATTGTCTTCTTTGCGTTTACCAGCTGTACACTCTGGCAGAAAGTTCTGGTTGCTCGTCCACTACTGAACTGCAGTCCTGCTCCAGAACCTCAGTGTTGCGTGTGCATCAGTTTTACAGATCTCATTCTCTTGAATACAGACTGTTGGTTCCTTGCCTCTCCGGCAGATGCACTCCGACTTCAAAGGAAGCTCCCCAATTAGTCGAGTCTTACGACATGCTTTTTTGCGAAGGCAGTGGGTCTATTCTTGTTTTCCCCACAATGGGACCCCGAACCCACATGGGAGGCATCTTATTGTGTTTGTCCACATGATTTAAATCCTATGTAAGTGAAGTCAATAATAATGACAGTACAATAAACAAATATATTATTCTTATGTAAGTAAAGTCCATAATATGTACCAGTACAATAAAAAATATAATTTACTTATGGTTCATTCAACGGATCAACATCATGGAACACGGGTGTAACCCATAAGTGCTCTGTTCTACTTCTAACTCAAGCCTGAGTGTGAAGAATCTCAGTACAGTGCACAAACTCCATAGCACCGGGGAGGATCCTGAAATACTTTGGGTAGATTTGTAACTCCAGATTTTGCCGTTAGGCTACTCTTTTTCGATTTCCAACTGCTACGGTTTTTTTTAACGTGCGCAACAAAACATGTGAACGTCCGATCTTACTACCCAGAGACCAGGAGAAATTACTAGAAGTCCACGTGAAAAAATCCCACCCTTCACCAGTGTTTGAACACAGGACCTCCAGCACTTAAGGTGGATGCTATACCTCAAGACCACTTAATATTCTTATGTCAGTAAGATCCATAATGTGTACCAGTACAATACAAAATATAATAATCTTATGTAAGTAAAGTCCACAATATGTACCAGTAAAATAAAAAATATGATAATCTTTTCTGTTTGATCCAACACAGGCTGTATTGTGGATGCTGCAGCACCGGCTCTTAAACCAACTACATACGTACGTCAACTTGGTGCCACCAAAGAAGAAAGATCTCTCAGGGTATCAGAATCAGACAGCGCTGTCTTCCACTCACTGCTCAAACTCAAACAGCCAGGTCTGTGTTTTGGTCAAGTCAGTCAGCAATGTTTAACACAAATAAGTGACACCAAGAATGGAAGCCTACACCAGCAGATACGGTTCAGTTTCTGTTACATTTTACTCTCACGGTCTTTTCTTTTTTGTGTGTGGAGAACCTGCATGGAGTATTCATACAAATAATCACATAATCACAGTGAGATTTCAGTTGGTGGATTGATCTGTTTGTTAAATTTGGCTTCTCCAGCATTATATCTCACATCTGCTGAAGGCCAGTCCCAGACTATCTAGATGCTGAAACAAGACCTTTACATTTATGGGCTCGCAGTATATATGTCGAAGGAACTTTGCAGTTACAAAGCATCTGTCGTTACATCTGGTCTTCAAATCATAGAATCACATTGTCTATGAGTTCACATCCCACACACACTTATCATATCTCAAGACCCCAGTAAAAGTCAGTCAAGTCCAGGACCCTTTTCCACGCCATCAGGCGTATAGGGCATATAGGGCTAGACCTATATTTTTATAGACCAATCGGCACAAGATGGGTGATGTGGTCAGCATCACGCCGGCCGCCTTTACTTTCCCGGGACTGCACCCGGTACCCACTCAAGGCTGGGTCGACCTGGAAGCCAAGGTCATTTTTGAAAAAAGTCCGGCTCCCAAGACCCCAGTCAGTTGCCTAAAACATAATTGCTCTTTAAACATGGCTCATGTCTTCACTTGTGTGTTCTGTTTATCTCTTATATTAACCCATTTTATCCCATTTATTACCTCAGCTCCTTTGTCTGGTGTGGGTATTAATTATCTAAACCCCTTTATTATTAAACCCTAATGATTACTGTAAGAAAAATGTTCTGTTAAACATCTCCACAATTTGTCAAAGGCCTGTTCATGTATCCCAGAAACTGACAGTGATATTCTTCCTCTGCTTACCCTCTTGCCGGTCTCCTTTCCTTTGCAATGTTACCATATTTCGGTCTATCTAATCTGCTGCTGTTTCATCTGTTTCCTAGACTTCTTAGTAATTTGTGCAGCAATTCCACTAACATGTTTTTGGTGGTTTTGATAGCTTCTGCTGGCATATCATCTGAACCAGCAGCTTTCCCGTCATTCAGGAGTTTGATAGCTTTCCAATTTCTTTTTTTGACTATTTCTTTTTTTTTTGACTATTTCTTACAGTTCGTATCCAGCTCCACTGAGACACGCTAGATATCTGGGAGATCTTTTGGAACTAATCTGCTTAGAAGTTCCTCACAATTGTCAGTTATTCAAAAGAAGTTTAATGTTAATTTAGGACTTCCTCATAACAGTTTTTGCTTAATTAATTCACTTTGGTGAGATTTTCCAGGTAGTTTTCTTGTGGTAAACGTTATCTTTCACTACCTCTGGCTTTTCTGCCAGGCCACTTAAATATGTCTTTCATCATACGTTTTCATGTTAGGTCGTGGAAGAGTCCTATCTATCTGTTCTGATGGAAGACCTCACTGTGTGTAATTTGGAACATGCTGCCAGCAATTCAGACATTGCCAGCGTCAACAGTGAAGAGAGTGGTGGCCAGTCAGCCACACCGTATACCAGCCAGCTGTCGAAATCCCCATCCCAGGAAGCAAATAGTGACGGCTCTGTAATTGCTGAAGGAATCAAGGCTCAATACAGCTTGCAGGTAGAGCTTGCCAAACTTTCCTTTCTTTCTATCTTCTGCTTCATGTTTTTAATCACTGAAAGCAATTTTGCAGCACAACATTTCCATTTCTCCTCAGTAATTATCTAAAACTACATTTTATAAAATGAAGAACATTATGAAGTAGATGCATGTCACGGGAGGTTGAGAAAAGATTCTTGCATGCTGTAAAGAGCTAGTTTTCATTCACGGTTGTGTGAGTTATCAACAAGCCAAACAATAACTTGAGGTCTTGAATTGTGGTGTTACAAAAGAATTCTTCAAACTCCTTGGACAGCTAAATAGAGCAACCCAGATTGTTTTGAAAGAGGATAGGGCTCAAAGATAAATTACCACAAACATCAGAAAGATGCAGTCGTCATTGTGTGGACGTATTATGAGAAGAAGGAAACCGGAACATGGACTACTGGAAAAGTTTGTGGGGGAAAAAGACACAGGAAAACCATGTGAGAAGGTTCCTAACAGCTTTTTGTCATGGCGTACAGAGGTGTCAGCATACAAACTGAAACATGCGGATGAAAATCACAGATTGTGGAGAGGCATGATCACCCGCACCAGTCGGCAAAGATCTTGATGATAATGAATTATCATCATCGCTGTCAAGTTCCTTCTCAGCTGTAATGTGATCAGCCATCTCCACAAGTTTGTCTCTACAGTCAGTGAATTAATGTCCTGAAGTCTGTCCATGCCGTTGTGCAGGAGTCTTACAGATTTGTCTGTCTGTCTCATCCTCTATCTGGGCTGTTTCGCTGGGTTTACCCAGGGGCCAACATTTGCAAAATGGGGACCATCACAGGCTTGAGCCCCAGCATTGAAATATCATCAATACAAGACAACTGGCAGTGATCCGTGAGCCACTTGCTTGGTCTCCACAGGCCAGGTTTGACCCACTGACCACCTGTTGAATAGCCCTGCTTTATCTCTGTCTTCCTGTATTTCTGTCTTCCTCTGTTTTCTTCCGTCTGTTTGTCTCTCTCTCTCTCTCTCTCTCCCTCTCTCCCCCCTGCCTGCCTGCCTGCCTGCCTCCCTCCCTCTCTCTCTCTCTTTCTCTCTCTCTCTCTCTCTCTCTCTGTCTTCCTCTATCCCTGTCCCCCCATCATCTGTTCCAGAAGAACTTTGTCTTGATGGCTGTTATCCCTGTGTATCAGTCAATCATCATCATTATGTGCTTGCCAGTAAACTCTTAATGGTCATGGTTTCCATCGCATTGGATCACTGTAGTCTTGGAGCAGGTCTGTGGTCTTGTCTAGCTTGTGTGGTCCTTTTATCTCCTTTCTTCCCCTGGCTATTTCCCCGTCTGTTTAGCTAGTTATCACTGTCTCTAAAGTTATTTCTCCTCATAACTGTTATTGGTTCCTACAGTGACCATTTATGCGGTACAGAGGGGAAGGGGGCGGTTATTGAGCCTGAGGATCTAGGACTGCGTGACTAGTGCATTCGCCACAAACTGTGCAGGTTAGGGTTTTATTTTTGTCGCTGACAGAAAAAAACCATAACCCTACCGAGGATTTGAACCTGGTTCTCTCACATGGGAGCCCCGCTTTCTCAACCATTCAGCCAGCTGCTGCTGCTCCTTTAACAATATATGTTATCTGTGTCTCATTTCTGTAAACATATGCAGTGTTCATCCTTGTTTGATTGATGTCTTCTTTCATTTATGTCTCTGTGAAAGGACTCCCTGCTGAACGAACTGGAACCCCAGATGAAATCCGCCATCCTGGGATGTGCCGCTGCCAAAAACCCTGAAGACCTGCACCTGTTTGCCAGATTGTGTCCCTATTTTAATGGGAAGCACCACCTGGAGGAGATCATGTTCTATGAGAACTTGCTGCGGTCACAGCTGGAGACCGTCCTGGACAAGTTCAAGGAGGTTTTGATTTGGTGTCAGCATGAGGATCCAGCCACTTCTTTGTTGTAACTGGGGTCTGTGTTGATATATAATGTTGTAATTTGGTTCTTTCATGTTACACAATATTGTAACTTGGCTCTTTCATGTTACATAATTTTCTAACTTAGGTTCTCTCATGTTACACAATTTAGTAACTGGGTTCTGTAATCTTTAAGCGTTCTTAAATTTGGCTCTCCTCCGAACATCTACCCCCGCATTATGGCGGCAACAAATATCCTTACGGGGCTCAGACCTATTAAAAATATGCGAACTTCCGGCGACGAACGAATCGCGGCAAAATTAGGATCGGCTCCGTATAACGAAACAAATGCTGTAACAGGGTCTCAGCGATATGTTAATTGCGGACCTGTTTCTGTGACTATGCCTCACTGCCGACAGTGTATCCCCCACTGCGCGTGGCGCGGATGGGGCTAAACTAGGTGGCTGGGACTCACAAGCAGCAGCTACCGCATCTACTGCAACTTCCTCCAGTTAATTTGCTTGTGAGTCCCAGGCACCTAGTTTAGCTCCCCCATCCACGCCGCGCGTAGCGGCACGGGGGATACTGTCGGCGGTGAGTGGAACCGCGGTTTGCTCATGCCAAAAAGTTTGAGGACAACGACGACGCTAATCTGCGTCAGCGCATGTGGTCTCCCCACCATGTGGCTGTTATTGTCAGTAATGTTGCATGTCTCAAAATTGTCAATGGTCGCTAGTATCGTCTGCTGCTAGTATTGTCTGCAGAAACGCTCGAAAGTGTCAACGGTCGCTATTATCGTCTGCTACTATCGTCTGCAGTGTTGCATCTCTTGAAATTGTCAGGTAATCCTAGTTTTGCCGCGATTCGTTCGTCGCCGGAAGTTCGCATATTTTTTTATAGGACTGAGCCCCGTAAGGATATTTGTTCGGCGGCCAAAAAGCCGGGGTAGAAGTTCAGAGATGAGCCGACATTTTTAATCTGTAGACCTGGAAAATAGGAGCAAAATATTGTGGACAGCTGAGGGCTCATGCCAGAAACAAATGTAGAGAGATTTTATCTATTCAATACAGTGTCATGAAATAACCACGTTTGGCCATTGCGACATCTGCTGCCGCTTAGAGGTTAGAAAATCTGATATTCCTGGTTGGAGCGTTGTTTCTGAGAGATAAAGTGCTGCAGTAACATCCATTTTTGGCAGACCAGTAGTAGATTTCAGGGTTAAAAACATGAGGCTAGAACATGTGCTGGCTGAACAATCCACTCCCCAACAGAAGTGTGTGCCATATGACTATTTAATTTTACAGACTGTTCATATTGAATATTTTATTTCACTGCATAAACTAGGGCAAGTAACAGTTCTCTTGTCAGGTGCAGGTGGATACTAGCCATAGATCCGAGAATCATTGTTATCATGTGCTGCGTTTTCCCCATACGGGTTCCGGAGCCCTGTTTGTGGGGAAAGCA